GATAAAGCAGGGCAGATAAAGCAGGGATATACTCCTGTTTAGCAGTTTTATCGTCCTTTGAGCTCGTAAAGCATCTGAAATGTCAGCCATTTTACAGCCTAATAAACGAATGTTTAACGCGAACCCCGAGTCAGATGGCATTTTAAAGAAGAATGTAAAATAGACCCGTAAAAGTGAAAACTTTTTATCATATGAATGGAACGATTGTATGATTCAGATGAAAGCTCTTCGAATTATAAAATGTACGAAAAATAACTTATGTATGAAAAAAGTAACACCGTGAACCCGCAAACTTCTACAGTAGTATTAACATTATGCTGGTTGAATGTAGAAAATGCGCATATCAGTCGCAACGTTTAAAAATCTCCGGTTATACTCTGGCGAGAAACAAATGGAAATGTTTCATTGCAATTTTGTATGATTTTTCTTAGGATAATGATAAAAAAATTCACAGAAATTTCTGATTGAGACTTTTGGTTTTTTCCCTTAAAAAATAAAACATTAGCAGACACTTTACAACATCGCAATTTGAGATACGCATTCTTTGACCATTAATGCACTATTGTGGCTTTACAACGAAATTGAAAATTAGGTCATAATGACACATTGTCTACCGCGGGTAAAACTCAGGCACCGCGGAAAAATACTAATCGGGCCTAATTATTTGCCCATGTGGTTCTGAAAAATCAGTCATAATGAGCGTTTTGGCCATTGCAATCACAAAATTGCTCTTGTACACCAGCGTGATCATTCTAATCAGGCGTTTTAACACCGACGCCCTAGTAAAACCAACCAGTAAAATGGTGCGACTCTTTCGCACCAGGGACTGATTTTGAATCAAGAGGTTAGCGATCTTAGACTCTCACTCGTTTGAACTTTTGGGGCGAATCAATGAATCTTTTCGTGTGAAACTTACAATTATGCGCCTAAATGGGACTTAGATTTTTACCCCTTTCAGAGGCGTCAGTGTTCTTTAAGAGCCGCTTTTCCCAACTCACGATTTTCTAAAAGGAGGGTGTCTCTTCATAAAAAATAAAAATCCGAATGTTGGAAATTTTAGACCGCTGCAAATTTCGGGGTAAACGGTAGGTGGCGTAGTCTGTCAATTTAGAATGTGTGATAAATTAAATACTGATGAACTATTGGTAATCATCAAAGCGTGGAATAATCGAGTTTTCTCATTTTGACGTTTGAGATTGATAACTCTCGTAATTATTCGAGCATTGATGTAGCCTTACAGGTAAGCGTCACGGTAAAACGAGAATAACGTGACCCAGTCCAAGCGGGTGTTGCGGCGATATCGATAAGAACAAATTTGAGTTCTCTATATTTTCCTCCAATTCCTTTATATTCCTCTATATTCTCCACTTCTCTATATTTTTCATTTTGACACCATATGTGTGTATTTATCTTACACACGTTTTACGATGTACTAAACTTTCTGTTGCATTAGATTGACGGTTTGTTTGATAGTGCCGTGACTTTATTAGTATTCTGGATTGATGTGATCGCATTTGGGGATAGGAAGGATAGAAGTACATTCCTTTGGCACCGACAGTATACATAATTGTATCTTGGAATTTTATCTGTATATTTTCTATCTACCCGGTTTACACAAACTGATTGCGGTGGACGCACGGGTCGGAAGACAATATGTTGGAGTCTTTCACGACCTCTCGAGCATGGAGCAGGAAATTCAGGAGGCTGCACTGCACTGAGGATTGGCCCAAAAAGGCCGAAATGCGTCTGCAGTTGCCTTCCTGAATGGACGTAACTAGTGTTGCACCAAACAGTATTTCTCTTTGCGGAAAAACTGTGCTTATCAGGGCCGGATCTATCTACTTGCCGCCCATGGGCCGCCTGTATTTTGCCGCCCCCTTCTCATTCGTTTTGAAAAATCAATATCATCAAATGAACCATCAGATGAACGTGCCAGCGCAGCGGAGGAGGGGTGCATAAGACGCGTTTACTCGTGTTGAACAAATTTTTCGGGAAAGCTCTGTCAACAATTTACTAGCAAAGGTTCAAGAAACTTTGCGCGAAGGTTAAGTTTCGCAAACCTATCTCTGTGTGGACAAGGTCTTCCTTTCATAAGAAATGAACGAAAAATGAACGAAAAAATTATGAAAGAACAAACATAAATGTGGATTCATGATTTCAACTTCCGCCGCCGCGCCACGCCGACCGCACCGAGTTTGACGCAATGCGTGAAGTATTCCCGCAGTCTTGTAGGCGCTATGCGTTTCACGCTGACCGCAATGACCACTCTGTGTTTGATGCAATGCGTGAAGTATTTGTGCAGTCTTGTAGGTGCTAATATGTGTTACATGCCGATCGCCGCGCCGAGGACTTCTCCTTTTCATCTCAAGTCCTCGTAATCATTTCTCTCTAAGTCGCGCCGTTCCAGGCCAAATTGCGTGTTTGATTTCTATCTTAACTCGACTAATTGAAGGTGCTTTCTCTTGTATCACTGAAAGACGACAAAATTAGAAATTACCATATTCTCAGGAAGTGAGAGATTTTGTCGCCTCCTCTCGTTTGTAATTTTTTCTTCTAAATTCGATTTTTTTATACCTACATTTAAAAAAATCGCAAAATTTGCCGCCCCTTATAGATTTGCCGCCATGGGCCGTGGCCCATGTGGCCACCCCTTAATCCGGCCCTGGTGCTTATACGAGTTTTTCCCTCCGTATTGTTTCAGCTGAATGCTGAATTTTTAACGCGCGTTGGCAAAAAACTCCAACATATTGTCTACTCGTTGTTCTGCGAACCAAGTCGAGAAATGAGAGAGGGGGGCGATGGAGGAGAGAGAGAGAAAACTATCACCGAATGTGATAAACATCACCGTGTTCATAAGGATTAGAAAGGAGTCGCATATGGCAACTCTTCTTTCGGATTTCCATTTACTGTGAAAACAGTATGGAAAAGCTGCAAAAAAGTTTGAACGAAGACATAAGTTTTATTAGTTCCTCGTAACACGGTGTGAAGGAGAATGGAAAAGTTCAGAGTTAGAATTTTTGATCCATCCTGTGTTTTTTCTCTCTTCTCTCGCAGACCTCTAAAACACACATCTTTCGTCGGATGCATTTCGGAGAAAAAAAGTTCTACAACTTACAGACCTCAAACTATGTGCAAGCTTCACACTCGTTTTATAATGAGTTTTCAGGGTTGTGTGTGATGAGATCTATCTCAACTCGCACTATAGTTCACCTTTAGAATTTTTTCCCGACTCCACCTCTTTTACCGAGGTATTTATTAGTGGTCCTAATGCCGCGTTTTCCTAAACGAAAATCCGACATAAAAATGTGAAACCACCTATATCACTCAAGGTGAGTGTGTCAAACTAACTCGAGCGTACCCGACGTACCTTGCATACTTTTTTTCCCCTAATATGCTTCAGGGTATTTGTCCCCTCATCTTTTTTTCCAAATTGAAAGATCAGATGCGCCGGTCACAACATCGTGTTTTGATGCTTGACTTTTGTAGGTAGATCATCTAAAAATAATAAGATCTGTCCAAACAGCAAGTTTTTACGTTCGATATCAACAGAGATACCGCCCTTTGAAAAGTCGGGCTTTTGACGTCGTACACCGCGGTAGTGACACCCTTGGTTTCTTTCACCTTCCTTTCATCAGTCATAGTGTGACTCAAAGCACCAAACTCAACGTGAAACTGAGATGAAAGCAATGTGGAAGAAACCAAGGGTGTGACTATACCGCTGTGGATGACGTCATAAACCCGACTTTTCAAAGGGCGATATCTCGGTTGATATTGAACGTACAAAGTTGATGTTTGGATCCTATTATTTTTAACCTCTCTATATACAAGAATCGAACATCAAAACACAATTCTGTGACCAGCGCAACTGACCCATTTAGCAGTCGCATTCTTTTTTCCTAATATTCTTCAGTTTTTTTCTAATTTTTTTTTCTTCGGCAGCTAGTGTTAGATATCCAGCACTAGCTCTTAGGCTTACCGAAGATTTACAAGATCTACGGTTTACATTAACAGAGGTCTGGTGGTAGACATGCTAAATTTCTTGGGAGCGTACAGCCAGACTGTCTATTAGTTACTGACAAGTGTTTTTCTCCGAGTAGAAATGTCTGTTTTGTGCTCTAGACGGCATCACTGATTTTCTTGAAATTGTAGTTCAGCACGACCGCGCAATTATATGGAAAGCCATCAACTGGAGGTAACGCTGTTTCCCTCTGTCCCTGCAGGTACATGCTAGTCCTGAAAACGGAGGAAACTTTTTACTATCATTGAAACTCCTTCAGGCTAATTTTCCATTCCTTATCTCATTTCTAAACCTTTCTCTCCCCTCGCCTTTAATGGAGTTAGGAAATTTACTTAACTATGAACAATGGTTATTTTTCTTCCCTTCTCAATCTTCCTTTACTTTTCCGTTTCTCCCTTTTTTGGTGATATTTTTTCTAACCAAAATTCAACTGACCTTTTTCCTTCCTTAATAAAAAAAAAAAAAAAAAAACAGCCAGACGATTACCGTATCGGCTCTGTATTCTTTTGATTCTATAGAACTTGCATAGTGTAATTTAGGAATGATTTGATAGGACATTATAATGCTAAAGGCTGAAGGTGGCTGTTTCGGTGGTTCTCGTTACAGAATGAGTGAATACGTTTCTCTCAGTTTTCAAGTATCATAATTTCAGGGGAAAGATTCCCCCTCTAGACTGCCAAAATTTAAGTTTCGCCAATTTATTTTCATTTATTTGGATGCGGCAAAAAAAAAAAAAAAAAATTAGGATACATATTATCTTAGTTTCATCGAAGCCCCTGTGACCGTCTGATGTTATGCGCTTCAAACGATCTCTTCGCGTTCTCTATAAGGTGTTTCCGCTTAAATTGGCCATTCATTTGACTATCTGGCTAAATTTGAGCTCTATGCAAACATTTTTTTCGTGCTTAAAAAGGTTAGACAGACTCCCAATGACTTATTAGTACCAAGCAGATGCTAACGGACTCGTTTTGATGTGTTTCAGGAGCTAGACCAGGAGCTGCTCGACATCGACCTGACGGACCCGGACCTGCACAAAGCGGCCACGAAAATTCAGGCGTCGTTTCGAGGTCACAAAGTTCGCAAGGCTGAGGAGGAAGGGGAATCGAATTAAGGCCATTGAGATCGCTCTCAAGTCCGGCCAAAATTGGCCATCCCTTTTCGATCCCACAAAGGCAATCAGTTCCTTTTGTAAAATGTTCCGTTCTGAGCTTGCACTTTCCTTTTCCCTCTACTCTCTCTTCGAAATTCACTCTTTACATATTTTAGGTCGATGACGTTACCCAGACCAGTGGCGACTCTCGCAAGTTGGCGATACTGCCATTTAAATGCAGGCAAAATAATCGACATCTATTGAGACAGGCATCCGCACCTAGAATCGAGTGATTATAATGGAATTAAATGTTCGAAGAACAGTGCTACCAACTTGCGAGAATTGCCACTGACTTTGGACGACGAGTCAGCCACTGGCAAAAAGCTGGTTTCCTAGGAATTAGATTGCAGGTGGTGATTTAAATTTTTATTTAATGATTTTGAGATTTGTACGGCCTTTTAAAAATAGTAAGCCGTTGTCTAATGTATTCAAAAGCTTTAATTGCCGTACGTAGTCAACATCGACATTTTCCTTTATTTTTAAAGTAAGCGTTGTCATTTTGAAAAAAAAAAATAATAGTCGATATGTTCCTCTCCTGAGAGGACAATAACTACTGTCTAGGTTATTCGATGGATAGCGTTATATTGCGTCTCATTAAACAAAGATTTGACACATGAAAGATGATTCACAAGTAGGACTTCGATCTGATTGACTCTCATTTTCATGTCGTAGCATTCAACCTCGAAAATATTCAACCAAATGTTCCAATGAGTAAAAAGATGAAATTTTATGATATCAGAGAGTTCGATATCTCTAATGAATATTCCTGTTGAAACAATATCGTTGATTCGCTGATGTAGTTCTAGCCTCGGTGATTCGATTGGATGAGGTCCTCCATGAGAAAAATAAGCTATATAAGTACTGTGCGAAAGTTTTTGACTGAAAGAGTACCATTACAAACTAAATAAATTGGTTGATGTGAAACAGAATTTTTAATCGCAGAGCCACGGCTCGAAAGTTGGTCAATTCCTAAACATCTCAAACTGGCTCCTCGTCCATAAAACCTAACCTCTTGGTTTATTATTTTCGCAGTGTTTACTGAGTTTTTATCTTTTCTGGATTTTGCAAAGAATATACTCGAATTTCAAACTCTGCTTTAGGACTCTTTTAAAGCTACTTGTTCCTTTGAACATTTTTAAAGAGTTTTTCTACCTTTATAGATTTCTTTTTTTGTGAATAATTCTCATATATTTACCGCAAGTTACTTATCTTAGTTACTAAATCTAAAAGTCAATTTTAAATATATCTATACACAGCGTAAAATTCTCAGCTCCCATCCTACCAATTTATATTTTTAGTAAGTATATTCATTTTGTAAAAGTTATGGCTCAGTTGACGGATTCAAAGATCTCGTTGTCAAAATCACACAACATTCCAGTGTTTTATCCGTAATTACCTGACGGGAAGTTCCTCAAATAAATTAAAGATTTCAAGGAATTTCTCAACAGTCTTTCACTTCCTCTAAAATGAGCTAGAACTTCAGGATTGTGAGACATCGGTGAAAAGAGTAAACTCCCAGGTACAGCAGTATACGTCTCTCCGGTCAAGACCAACCAGAGGATTGTATTTAACATCCGGAGATCATGCAATTGCGCTGATCCAAATCAAACACCACCGAGCAAGACAATTTACTTTGAATTCAGATCTAGATCGAAGTCAGCGAAACGGTCTCTTCTTTATTCTCTAATCGGGGGATTCCGTTTTCGATCTTGATTTGATTCACGCATTCTGCAGACTGTAAGTCAAATTAGTTTGCTATTCGATTATTAAAGATCTCAAATTATTGTTGTACATTAGCTCTGTCCACTGATGATTCTTAATCCCGCAAGAACACTCGCCCACTTTGAACCTAGATTTTTACTTAACAATCAAAACTGTTCTACAAGACAGCGATTAGTTATACATAAGTGAATACACAGTTTCATTTACTATTCTGGTAGTTGTTGTTTCCTTTTCTTTTGTAAATAAAATTGTAATTTTTATTTAATTAGAAATAATTAGAACGAACTTTATCTCTTATTGAGCCCAGATGAAAAATCTTCACACAGGTTTTCTGAAGAATGCCAAAAAGAATAAAAATACAAATCAAATTATGAGGTCTAACTGTCACGTCTCCTCAAAATCAAACAGAAGTCAGGTAATATTTTCTCAAAGAAATCAAAAGTGCAAAATAAAATGGTTCTCCAAAATTACTGTCGGTTAAATTAATTTATAATTATTATTCTACAATTACTGAGCAAAATCAAAGAGTCTTATTATGTACCCGGATAATTTTTTCGAAAACATGATATGAGGTTTTAATTATTTGGTTTAGGGAATTGAACCACCATAAATGATATTTACTCAAATTTTTAGCACGTTGTATTCAAAGTTGAAGCACTAGTAAGAACACAATGACGAGAAAGAATCTAAAAAAAGCTTCTCTCCATTGATCTATACAGTTAGAGTTGACAACAATGGTGGTCAGTGCCCGTAAAGTATGAATAATTCAAGAAAGGGTACGATTGGTAGCAATTTGAATGTATCCAGCCCTTTCATTCATTCGAATTTTCAGTTATAAAGGGATCAAAAGGTAGGAGCGCGATACTCCGAACAAAAGAAAGCACTTCTTTTTCGTTTCGGCCACCTCCGGTTTTGACCAATGGAGTTATTTTTATGCTACGTCTGAACAAAATCGCATATCGTGCCTAAAACGATTAAAACTTGCGAGAAAAAGTTTATTTTCGGATGTCAATAAATGATTCTGACGAACCCAGTGCTTTCACAAAAGAAGCATCACGCGAATAGTTTGTTTGACCTATCATGTTGTACAGAGGCAGCGTGTCACTCGCAGATTAAAAATAAAAGGATGAAATGGGTATTTTATCCACGTATCGTTGGACTTGTTTACAATCGACGGGTTAGTAGTTGCGTCATTCAATATTCGATTTATTCATGATTCCACCTAAAGAGTATTGACTGTTCTGATATCGATCATTTTGACGCTCAATTTAACTCCCTCATTGAATGCCTCATGCTACCTAGTCAGACCATACCGAGAAAAAACGAAGTCTAATGGAATGTCTAAAATTCCGGTGCATTACATATATGTAAAATTAGGGAGCTTTAACCAACAGATTTCTTAATAGAATATAATGAATGTGTCTGGTACGAAGGACTAGACTAAAATCAAAAGATAATATTAAGAGGGATGACTATGTTGATCAGACGACTTATAAATGAATTGCAGGTCCTTTGAGAGGACGAATAATCGGCTAGCTATATAAGCACCTCCTTCTCCTTGCTGGCCGACAACCAGTCGATTATTCGATTCTATTTTTGAAGATGTTGCGATGCAGTTGTTGGTCGTCCTATCGACAAACCCGACCAATCGTTTAGCTACATTCATTCTTCCTTTTGTTTCATGCACACGACAAACACATAATTTCCATTTTCGGCCTGTAGGTGCATCCAAGTATTTAAAACCTAAAAAACTAACGAGTGATGTAACAACAATTTGGGCGTATTATTTTTGAATAGTTTTCTTGACAACGTTGCATTTTTTTCCACATTTTATCGGAAACTCTTGATTGTAAGCATTTGCCCGTCTCATCAGAAGTAATTCCATCTTATATCAGCAGTTGCCCATGTGTTGATCCAAAATTAGTGAAAGCCTAAAATATTTTAACAGATTGAAAAGTGTGGTCAACCCTTCATATATTATTAATCAAGAGTTTTCAAAAATTATACTAACGGATTTTTAAATTCTTTAGTTCAGGGGCTCATGTTTAAAAAAGAAAAACTTTCTGCAATATGTATATAAGCAAAATATATGAGTAGATATGGATTTTTTGAAGACTAATCATCATGGATTGTATTCTTATTCTTGACATATTAGTTCATAGATTCTAGTATAATCAATAATTATTCCATTTTACCACATTCCAAATAATCGAGGGTCGACACATTAAGTTTAACGAACAGTTTACTGTCATGATGGTTAACTTGCAGCTGCCCCTTTAAAATTTGTTATTTTCAATAATGATGCCATTTGTTGCGGTAAATTGTGATAATTTTCTTAGTTGAAGTGGTTTGATCTCTCTTTCACAACAAATTGATTTACTGTAATTTGTTTGTAGCTTTATAAATTAGTGATTTTCAGTGTGTGGGGAAAATGAATGAATGATTCATCATAATTGACGCAGAAAAATTACATTTAATTCGGAAGGCAAAAAGTGTTTTCAACAAGATCAATATTCTAGTTTCTTGTGAATTTGTATCAATTTTTGATTTATCAGTTCCCAGTGAAAAACAGATCCTTCTTGAAAATTTTAACACTGGGGAAATTTGTCAGTCAATAATAATCGAAAATGACCGAAATTCCATTGTGCAAAATATTCAATAGAAGTTCTTTTTTATTTTACTGGACTAGGAATTGAACTTAAAAAAAAATAACTTCTGACCCCCTACATCATTAATCACGTATCATGTTCTGGTACTTTGAGTTCTTAGCTCTAGTCTGGTGCTCTTTATGAAGTATACTGATTTGCGGTGAAGAAATTGTAAGATAACTGTTATTTTACTGGTTTAAAACATTACTTTGTTACTTTAAGTCTAGTTGCAAAAATACACGAGGCTTTATTGTAAATTACGACGGCATCAATTTTTTTTCCAGTAAATTTGAATCCTCACATACTTTCATAGTAGCGTGCAGGGCCCGATTACCGCACAGGCTGGCCAAGCTGAAGCCTGGGACGCGATCTTCTTAGGGGCGCCAAATGTTGAATTTTATCGAGACTATGAAGGGAGAATAAAATAAAATCCTCGTCATCAGGTGCAGAGAAATGTGTGGAATAGGTAAATCTATGCTCCCCGAGCCCTTTCTCTGGGCCCGGAGGCCAAAAAAAAAGGAGCAGGAGGGGGGAGGGGCGCAAAGGAATCATTAGCCTGGGGCGCCACATTCCTTAATCGGGCTCTGCTAGCGTGGGAAGCTATCCGTAAAATACCGAACTCTGTTTACCTCATCTGGACTTACGTCTCCAATAGATAAAATTGTCTCCTGTTGGCAGATTTCTAAGTGCCAAATCATATTCCTTTATTGTCATCACTTTAACGTGGACCAGTTTTGATGTTTCATTATTTGTGTTTAAAAAAATGGGGTTCCTACTGTTTTGGCCTCGTCCTCTTCCTGCAAAAACGGGGAAAAATACAACTTTGGATCCCGCATGCGATAAAACTTCAAAACTGAGTCAAAATTTTAAAGCAAGTTAATCAGCAAAAATCATCAACATCATCATCAACAAAATCTGTCATGCAGTAACTTTTTAAATGTTTTTTATCTCAGTGCCAAGGAGAGGCTTCCACGAGCAACTGTTATTCACTGAATACGTGCTTTAGATCTAGTTGCCGAAAATTTGTTTTCTTTGTTTGAACTACTTGCTCATGGTTAGCTTTTACTATAAATTAGGCTCTAAAGTACCCATTTTTATTGATCGAAATATTGCACAAATTTGAGAAAATAAAGAATGACATTGTAAGCACGAAACACCAGCGAGCTTAAAAGATGGCTCAATGCATAGAATAATAAGTGCACAAACTGCAGAACACAGCTGCACAAAATTGTATCAGCCGCAACGGGGTTCTTCGATTGCGTCTATCAAGTCGTGGTGTGATATTTCAATACTTACAGGTATTTTTTGCTCGAAAATATGAAGAAGGGAAAAACAATTTAAAAACCTGCTTTAAAAAGTACGTTTCCTCAGAGAATCTGCTTATAACATGTGCCGTTTTCAATTTTTGGAAATGGCTGTACACTTTTTCAAAGAAACAATAGAGCTGCAAACAGTATACTTTTATGTATGTCTACCGTTCAACTTCTTGGTGGCTGCTGGCTGATTGTTGAAAATAGACACACTATAGACAATGGAGGCAAAAAGGATATAGGGGGGGGATCCTATTGATGGAAGCGCGTGGTTGCAATGGACAAAGGTAGATAATAGAATAACTAACGGAAACTCACGAGACACCCAATAGTTAGTCTATCATTTTCTACCTTAGTCTATAGTAACCAACCAATAGGATCGCTCCATACTACCTAAGTCTTCTTTGTTTATCGCTTTGTTTATCAATTTCAACAATCAGTCCGCTGAACAGCATCCGTGCGAGTTACTCTCATTGCAGCAAGATCTCTCTCTCTATTTCATTTAAAACATGATCATACCCTTAAAATGTTTAAAAATATCTTATGAAGTTTCCTCTCACAATAGATGTATATTTTATAAAAAAGAGGCTCCTTAAAAATGCTATTTTTTCAACTGATTTTGATAAAAAGTAAACAGTTATCCATCTGATGGAATTTTCCGTATTCTGAAATTAAAACTAACGAAGTTTAAGAGAAAAAAAACAAGACAAAAAAGAGCATAAATCTTTATCCTCTTGATTTTTAATGAACAAATATTGATAAATATTTCAGAAAAATAATAAAACAAACCTTAAAATACATGTATTTTTTTTTAAAAAATTGTCTTTTCAATAAAAGCAAAGGAATTAAAGTACACAGAGTAGAGGATATACTTATGGGAACAAAAAGTAAATTAGTGGAAGACAGCACATTTAGTGAGTAGCATAAGAGATAGGTAATTAGTTTCGTTTAAGTATCTAAAAGCTACGTTAACAAGAAAATATCCATTGGTTTTGATGTTGAAATGGAATTAAATGGATTTGGAGTGGTGTACTCTCATTTTCCACGGTAAGTCATGCCAACTTTTACGCAAGTTTCTGGTACACCTCATGTGACTTGGCTGCATTTTTAAAACGTAGGCCGTGATGAAAATTAAGTGGTAGTAAGTAACAATGCTTATGACACATACTTATTATGAATAATAAACGGAATCCGTGACATTAATGTCTCATTAATTCATTTTTGTAGTTTGAGATTTAGTGGCTGAGTAGATTTAAAAGACTGGAAGGAATTTTTCTGTAATTTTTGTTTTTCGTTATTTTATTGTTGAACGCTTAAAACAGACATTAAAATGCTGTTTGATCCATATCGGTAGCTTAGAGCAGGAGGGGTCATATCTGTACGTATTTGTGTCGAGATGCCAGGGGGCTCTGTCCCCTGGCCGCTCTCTCTGAATTTGCCACGCTCACAGAGGCCTCTCTAAACGAAGTACGGAGATAAATAACCCAATTTTACAAAAATGTCAGTTACAAACCTCTAACTCTAAGCAATTGATAAATGTATTACCAAAAATGAAAGCCAAAGAGGTTAAACTCCGCATTTAAATATCCAAGAACAGCAAATAATTTAAACCAAGTCACAGAAAAAATAACACGATCATGGTTGATTCCAGGCACAAGCAAAACCAACGACCAATATTACAGTAGAGGTAGAGGACTTTTCTATCCCTCAAATAATGCAATGGAATGCAATTTTTGAAATAATACTACTATCATGAAAGAAGTTATTGTATTTTCATTTAGAGAGGACGAAAGTTGCAACTTTGAACGTAGCATTTGGCCGGGCTTGAAAATAACCACGTGCAAAGCATATAAATTAAATGTAACTTTTCCTCGATGAATTAAATCCTAATTTTGAGGCCTCCATTGACATAGATTGCGACTTTCAAAAATTGAAGTTTAAAGTTCTTATTTCTCAGAAACTGTTGTAAATTGTTGTGTTTGTTAAATTTTAAGACCAAAATCTTTTCGCATTAACCAATAACGACTGAGATTCAAAATGCGCCATTGAAAGTATCATTTTACTTTCGTAACTGTAATTATTGTACCTCAGAAGAACGAGGATATTCCCTTTAAGTGCAGCAACAATAACTTTGCGAATGAAATTTTACTGAGACTAAATCGCATTATAGTTCTTCTTGCATTTTGATATATCATAATTTTTTTCATTCTGAAACTTACAATGACCGAAATCAAAAGAGAAAGGTATTACTTAACTTCATTTAACTTTACATGCGCCTCTAGAAACGCCTAAATATCATTAAACATTCATACTTTTTGGAGATATAGGAACTTGATATTTTTCCTCTTGAAAAGCATTCAATTAATTTAATTTGCCTCATCTTTTTGAGATGATAAAATTGACAGGCCTAACCTAAACTGTCAACAAAAGCAAGAGAACAAATACGATTTTCTTTGGGAAAAACTGCAAGTAAAGAGAAGAGCAAAGTACCGAATGCAGTGAAGTATAACCAGAATAGGAGTGCTAAACTTTCATCAATTGCTACTTACTTAAAAAATCAAAGTTTAAAGTCAAAAGAAGGATTTTCGAGCCTCCTAAGATCCTTTGAAATTGTTCATAGGTTTCAATTTGTAAATGAGAGGATATCTCTATTATGACAATCACAATTTTATTATAAAATATGAAGTTTTTTAATAACAGTAAAAAAAATTCAACTTTTAAAACCATAACTCTTGAACATTCAACCTTTATATTATTTAATTTTTTTCTTGGATTTTAATTTTTTTCTAAAACCATAACCATTAATTAATGAAACTGCACGGTTTAGTAGATATATATACAATATATGGGATGTTAACAATTGACTACATTTTATCATACAATTTAAGTAAAAGAACAGATTGAATTGCTTAAACATTAAGTGATATTAGTCTTTTGATCTTGCCATAATAGCAGCATGATAGGGGTATTATGGAAGATTTTACTTAATAGATTCAGATATGTTTTGATAAGTACAATGATGTACTGTGAGATTAAGTACCAATATTCGAGTTCCAATGGAAGAAGTTTCAACTGTCCGAAGCTTTTACTCGTTTATACTTCGCGTTTTTTCATTTGATTTTCATCATTGGTTTTACCTATTACAGTTTTTGTGGGCGTATCACATGATAGCACTTTTTCATGAAACAATCGTTTAACTACCAACTTCATAAACTATTATTAGCTTTCCATTATTACGATATACTTTTATCGGTTTATATTCCATTCGAATTCGTTAAATGTTGATCCATAGTAAGTCGGACAGTCGAAATGAAACTCGATAGAATAACGTAAAAATTACAAAAGTTATTCGTCGATTTCACTACTCGATATGCAGATGGAAATTACAAGCAAGTGAACTGTGATGACGGTAAAATTATTCAGACCATTTTCGAGCTGCAGATCGACTCTTCCTAACGGCTGGCTCAAATTTTTAGAGGAAACAATGAAACACGGTATATACAGACCGTTTCTAAATCCGTCGTGATCTTGTGAATACTCAAGCCTTGACCAGGCTAACAATGAATATTCCGCATTCTCGGCGATAGAAGATACGGTCATTGCACTTTTAAGCTATAATGAAGGACTCCTTGGTTTTGAACCTTAAGATTTCAATGATAAAAATCCACAGGGATCTCATCTACCTGCTCTGCTTCTTTTCATTGCCTAACGAAAGCTTTATCCCTCGTAAAAATACAGGAAAAATTATCCTAATAATAAAAAATTACAACCTTGAATGAAGTAAATTCAGATCCAGGTAGTTTCCTCTTTTACTTGTATTTCGGATTTTGAGTGTGATGTCACATGGAAGTTGCCTTGAAAAACCACCCACTTAAGCCAAAAAATAAGAATGGTAGCACATTCACTTATTTCCTGCGCAACCCGTTTGAAAGGGATGCGCACAGTGACAAGTATTTGACTTTTAGCGCTGAAAAAAACTTTTGAACTGATTTAAAGACAAAATGAAATTGATTTTCAGACCATTATGATCTGCAAAGCAGTATTTTGTTGGTAAGCATGACTGTTTGCTCAGTTAATTTTTACGCATCTCTCAGTTGATGACTGAAATATTAGGCATTGATGCTCTATTTTTGTCACTATACTCAAAATCCTAAAATATTTACATGATGACAATACTAAACTGAGTGGATGGGTCAGTTGCATTCGTTATAAATTTAGTTTATACTCTCCTTGAAACTTCAACATAAAAAATGGCAAGATCTGTCCAAGCGCGGAGTCTAAATGTTTGGGGTACGGCATCAGCCAGAATGAGCCTTCCTACATTTTAAGTTGCCTGATATTTTCGCTATCGCCTCGAAACTTTTTGCAAATTCCTCAAAACTATAATCAAGAACATAACCGCAAAATTTAACATAAGACTATTGCATAATTTCCTGATAGCAAAAGAAAACATGAGCAAAAATTACCCAATTCCCGATTCAGTTTGAGGGTGATTTTGGTTGGGCCCGTTAAAATATCAAACAAAATCTCAGCTACCGACAAACGCGGTGGATCACACGCACCATGCTTTCGTTCATTCTGGTTTTATCAGTAATATACCCTCAGCAATCACTGTAAATGTGTGCACAACTGATTGCAAGAAGGAGGAAGCTACGGTGTATGTTATCTCGAAAGATGAAGTTCATCGCCGTATTTTTCAAACGGCAAAATATTCGATTATTGGATTGAAAACCTAGCCTTTGACAGATCTCTACTTTTTTGCGGTTTACCTATAACCATCAAAACACAATTCTGTAACTAACGCAACTGAACCACCACATGGTTGTTTGCGACACTGATGGTTGATTTCCACTTTATTCCATTGTGTCGTATTCGACCTTCTTGATGACAAAGTACCGGTAGATGGAATATCCAGCGATGGTGCAAAGAGTGGTACCAGCCAATAGACTGCCTACCACTAATGGTGCTGTCTCACTTCGGTAAGTCCCTGCGCCGATTGCTGGACATTGATGCGCTGTAATAGAGAATAAAATCGATTAAGGTATGATATTTATTTCACTTTCAGGAAATGGTTATTCCTTTCTCCTTGTCAACGCACAAAACACTATGTTTGAACAAAAATACCACACACTATTGAAATCTCGGAGTGGATTTCGGTGTATAATTATATCCACCCCAGGGTCTACATAGCGCTCAAAAAACCCCTAGTGATATAAAAATTGAACGAAATCTATTCTTTGTCTGAGGAACGAGGTGATTTCATAATAGATCCTTGATTTGATTGCATTGAACCGCCAGGCTAACCATCCTGCAAAGTTCTGACAAATTATCTCGAAAGGTCTTAGCCAACGTACCCTAGCATGCAGACCAAAAGGGCGAATTCATCTGCATATTTACCTACTAATAATTTTACACAAAGCTCAAGGTATTCTCTTCTTTGTTAATCAGAAAATAAGTTATTGAACCCGGCGCATTTGAAAAGTTATCTACTTTTCTCACACGCAAAAGAAGTCTAAAAACTATACGGTTTCAACTATTTTCCTGGCTGATTTTGGTGCCAGATGGAAGGTGTGGTTATACCTGCCTGTGTCAGAGCAGAGTCAACTTGGATAAAGTTAATTCAACTAAATTTCTGTCTGACTCAACAGTGCTTTTAGCTGGTGCAATCAAACCTCTGGCTAGTGCCAAATTAGCCAGACATTAGTTGAAATTATTATTTTGTCCGTGTTGTTTTTTTCTAAACAATGAAAACATTTTAGGGGTGAAAAAAAAAAACCCGGAAGATCCAGTGCATGGAAGTCGAGGAGACACACTCAGGTCCGCTGCATTTTATTCTGATTTTTCTTCTTCTTTCTCTTTTCCCTCAAATTGAAAGATGACAGGAGAGAATACTCACGCGGGCCAAATTCGTCGTTCTTGAAGATGAAAGGCTGAATCCTGAATGCTCGGAGGAGAACTGAGGCGGAGATATCCTTCTGAGACTCACTGCTTAAGGCCACTTCGATGTCATGGTTGCATGTGAACGATTTGCCCACGGGTGTGGGGAACAACAATGAGCTATGCGACCGCGGAGTGCTGAGTAACACTGTTCGTGCTGTAAAAGAAAAATAACATAATAATCAGTAGAAATAATAAAATGTTTATGCGGTAAAGTCAGGAGAAAGGGCCACGGAAAAAAAGGCACGGGCTTGTTGGATGATATGGTCAATGGGCATTTTCAATCGACTGTGGTAGAACCCAAATAAATTAGGTTACTAACACAAATGTTGAGGCCTAACCCCAAATTAAGTTGCGGTGCAACCACAATTAATTGGAAATGTCCATGTCATCCAGTATAAGGGCAGTACCACAAATTTAGGGGATAACCCCTACCTTTCTCCTTTCCGTTATACTCAAGAGGGAAATTCAAAGTCAGCAAAGGAAAGACACCGATTCGGGTTGTTACATATTATCCGTTTTTGGAGATGCATGCTTTGAAATACTCTTCAGAGCAGCCATTCAAAATTTCAAGGCATAATTTTCAAAATCAATCATTTCATAAGCGTTGAAGGGAAGTCGTTCTTAATATTGGTAATAGCACCAATAAATGTTATCTGCGTTTTTTGAATCATGATGTATATCCTTTTTTGACTTTTACAAACTCCAAAAGAGTCAATTTTGAGATGTCCTTTGCGCCAAATTATACTAAATTCACACCTCCAAGCTTTTAGGGGAAAATCTCAATTAATTTCGTTTTTTTCTCATCTTAAGGGCCCTCTTTCGTGACTCCATCACAGTTGGCTCTTATTGTCTTAACCATTAATTTCCTAAGAAAGGAAGAGCAAATTGAATTAGTAAATTATTCAACACGAAAACTACGTAACCTGATTGTGACGTATCGGAAATTCCGCTTACTTAAATAATACAGTAGAATTAATAATACATAATGAAAATTAATAATCTGTTGAAGTATGATAAGAATTCTACGTAACGACGTAAATCGAGATGGCTACTGAGTTCATTCATTGAATACCAGATTGATAAGTCGCAGCAAAATTGTGGAAAGATGCATTTACAAAGTATGCATTTTGAGTTCAATGGGGTGTTCAAAAGAAAGGTGACGCATTCAGATTTGTGACGCCAGGGACTGTTTTAACTCTTATGCGCTTTGATGTATCAGGTTCGGCAATATCGAAACCTACTATGTCGGTAAAAATGAAATGAACACCTCAAGCACGACAAGTTAAACAATTTATCTAGGCACTGACATAGAAGTGTAGGTACGTAGATGTGATTCAAAAGTTGGACATTATTTGTTTAACATTTTTTTATAATGTGCCTTGATATGAGCCTATGGACAAATCCAATAAACTCGTTGGAGTATTAAGCATTCAGACAATTTGGAATCAAATTATTTAAATTGCTTATTTGACACTATACCATTTTTTTTTAAATTGAGGTCAATAAGTAATTAATTTATTTTGTCGACTTACGTGGAATCTTAATGCGTTTGAAGTGTCGATCACTTGTGTTGAATCTGAGTTCCATTGTCCCTACAAACCAGTGCTCACCACCAGGAGTCTGAAAAATGTTTACAAAATTGTAAAATTGATGTCCTATATGGAGGTAACCCTTAATGTAGTATAAATAATCCGCGTCTGTGACCGTTAATGGAAGAAAGTAATCTAGTCCACGGAGGATGAAGTATTTTCAACTAACAATTTTTCATCAGTTTAGTTGAGAATCGGAATTACAGATTTTGTTGAAGAACTTTGTCTAGTATCCTGAAGAACGAGAGTTCATTTTAGGGCAAATGGAGGGCATACACATAAATGCAGCCAAAATATACTGTAAGCTTGTGCCTTAAACATTACAATTTGGAATTTGAATGCATTTTTTGAAAACTGTGATTTGATCTGCCTAAACACATACTGTATGTAGGCAGTAAAGCATTTTCGTGCGGTAAGTAGTGTGAAGAAAGGAAAATCATGGACGAACATGGACACATATATTTAACGGGCTAAATGGCACGGATTACATCTTTCCAAAGGAGTCCTTAAATTTTGACGTGAAATTGGCCAGTTGTTTCTATTCTCATTAATTTTGATCCGGCTAATAAATGTTATTAATTCTCAGTGAATTTTAGTTCAACAGCAAACGCACGTAACAGCGTATGCCCTCTTTTAGTTTAAATTTTGTGATAAATAAGAAGAAGAAGAAATTATAATAGCAGAGGGTGAAAAAAGATAAAGAGATTAGAAAAAGAAGAATAAGAAGATGATAAGGAAGCAGGAGAAGGAGGGGAAAAGGAGAAAAAAGAGAAAATCGAGAAAAAGAATAAAAAAGAGGAGAAGACATCTTTACCTTAGCAAAATAAAAGCTGAATACGAACGTGTCCCATCGCAAAACTAACTTAGCTTCGTCTTCGTTAGAACAATCGCCGTCAATGGAAACCATTTCCGGGAGGTAAAGAGATGATTCCTGAAAGAATTTAATTAACATTTTCAACAATGATTGTAGAAACACATTCGTAAAATTCATTATTGAGACCAACGTTCCGATATTTTAACGTAGATGGCCAATTTCCATTGGATCTCTACGTGGAAATATCTCTAAACCTAACTCGAGGTAATTTCAGTGGTATTCTTTTGTAAATCATTGCGGTATATAGTCACAGCACTATCCCCTCCTTTTTGGCTCAGAGAAGACGAAAATAATCATACCTAAAAATAATTGGACTTGATGATATGTTTATGGAGTATAACGTTTCTCCCAATCACTTTGGCTTCATGAAACTGACTCAGAAGCTCTTTTCAGTTCAAATGGAGCTTTGTGAAATGTTCTGGAAAAGTGTTAAAAACTTTAGAACACTCTTTTTTTGTAAGGAATAACAGAGCTTAGGTTAATTTTACGCAAAGAACAGTTGGGCCGCGTTCAGCAGAGAAAGGCCGGATTTACCTACTTGCCGCCCATGAGCCGCCTGTATTTTGCCGCCCTCTTCTCATTCGTTTTGAAATATCAATAAAAACCATCAAGTGAACGTGCAGCGGGGAGGGGTGCATAAGACGCGTTTACTCGTGTTGGACACATTTTTTTGCGAAGCCCTGTCAACATTACTGGCAAAAGTTCACGGAACTTTGCGCGGAAGTTAAGTTCCGTAAACCTACCACTGTGTGAACAAGGCCTTCCATTTATAAGAAATGAACGAAACAATTATGAAAGAACAAACTGACCGCGCTGTGTTTAGCGCACATTCCCACAGTCATGTAGGCGCTATGCGTTTCACACCGACCGCTGCTGAGCGAACTGTGTTTGAGGCAATATGTGAAGTATTTATGCAGTCTTGTAGGCGCTATGCGCTTCACGCCGACCGCTGCTGACCGCACTGTGTTTGACGCAATGCGTGAAGTATTCATGCGGTCTTGAAGGCGCTCATATGTGTTACATGCCGACCGCCGCGCCGCCGCGTCGAGGGTTTCTCCTTTTCATCTCAAGTCCTCGTCATCATTGCTCTCTGCGTCGCGCCGTTCCAGGCCAAATTGCGTGCTTGGTTCCTCTTTTTACTCGACTAATTAAAGGTGCTGTCTCTTATATCACCGAAAGACGACAAACTTAGAAATTATTATACTCTCAGGAAGTGGAGATTTTGTCGCCTTTTCTCGTTTGTAATTTTTTTTCTAAATCCGATATTTTTTTACACCTAGGTACATTTGAAAAAATTGCAAAATTTGCCGCCATGGGCCGCGACCCATGTGGCCACCCCCTAAATCCGGCCCTGCAGCAGAGAGGAACCAAGTCACATCTGCTTTTACCAAATTCGACTGAGTAATTTAATTTTTTATTAGAGAACGTTTGCGCTGATTCCATCGAACATTTCAAGGAATTTCCTTCGTACTATGCAGGAAACTGATTGCAATTTTCACAAAAAATCGGACAATCGTTTTCACGTAAAAAATTAAATTTGACAACAGCTGATATGGTTTGGTTAACGCGGTTCATTTTCTGTTGAATTAATAGAAATTCAGCCGATGATTCCCGGACGCGAATTTTCGTTGAACTAAAAAGAAATCTCTTTGTTTCAAATGATATTTGTTATTTGAAAGAGATTCCACGTCACTCTAAAGAGATTTCCGGTTGACTCAACAAGAATTCTTGTCAGGGAATTCTCCGATGGAAAATTTTTCTCTGTGCACCATTACCTCTTCGACTTTGTCAGTAGTTTGATATTTGAACGTAATATCAGCATCAACCTCGAGAAGTATGCAAGCGCCTCCATCTTCATTATTGAATCGGTACAAGAAGGTCTCCGTTGGTTTCTCTGCAAAGGTCAAAGGTGAGTCATCAATATAGGAAACTGTACTTGGTAATTACGGTATCATGAGGTACGGTTACATGAATGTACACCAGAATTATAAGATCACAGTGGAGATTTACGCTATTACAGCCCTCAAAAATTTACTAATCTACTCGAAATTTATAATACTGCATACTAAAGAATTTTGTTATTGATCAAAAACTCAAATTCTATGTTTTCGACCCAACTTGACAGAAATCATTGATTTGCTTCCGTCTACTGCGGTCATTTTCTCCTCAGACAAGTTAAAAACGATAAAAATAAGGAATTAAATAAAATAATGAATAAAAGGTGGGAACAGAAAAAATATTAAAGGGAAAAAAACGAATTTACCGTAATCAGGAGAAAATAAAAAAGGCACCGTGTCCGTCAAACAGATAAGATAACACTTTAAAATAGACACTTTATGAAAGTTTCGGAAGATGCATGTATTTGAAATTTTAGAAAACTTTCAAGTAATGCCTCAGTTTTACTCACCTGTGGTTGTTGTGGTTGTCGTTTTTTCGGGTCTTTCTTTTTTTCGCTCGGGTCTCCTCGTTGTGGGCGGGGCCTCCGTTTTTAAAGCGCCTACATTCAGCTGAAACTAGAACCGATAAGAAACCATTTCAAAAAAATGTTCAAAGAGGTGTCATAAAGTTTGTCAATGCAAAGCTGCAGCTCACAAAGTAAATCTAATTTAAACCGATGAAAACGCCTGAAAGCAACTCTTCGTGCTCTCCGGACGTGTATGTTGCATACGCTGTGGATTGAAGGCGCATGTGTCTTTTGGAAACAATGTATCATGGCAGAAGAACGTGTGTACCTTGGGACAATGTTTTTTACAGAATTCTTTCACAAATACTATCAAGAACTTAACCTTAAAATTTGAGGTGCATGGGTAAAACATTTTTTAGTTCATAAGGTTTTAAGTTCCAAAAAACTAGGAAAAAACTCGGTGGAATTACGGTGTTCTTGCTTAGCATGGTAGCATACATAGCCATCAAGCGAATAGCCCCACCCTCCTGCCTATATCCAGGAGATTCCTTTTTGTTCGTTTGTTGGACTTTCGAAATATTGAAATTATATCGAGATGTGACGTCACACTAAATGCGTCTATGAGCAGCAACTCGCGCATATTAGGAACGCTTGGTGTTATCCCTAAATGCGCTTTAAAACAATCGATGTATTTATCGAAGCAAGAGAAAATAGATCGAAATTTATCGAAAATCGGTTATTAAAAATGGATTCAAATAAAGGTAAAGTTGTCAGTTTCCGAGAATAATTTCTTAAATTGGCTATAGAGTCCCTTTATACTGAGAGTTAAGATAACCCCCAGGGAGTCACAAGCGGGAATGAAGATTACACAAATTGAAAGTTTTTCGTAATCTTTGATCGGCCCATTCTCAAATTCCTTTCTCCATTCTTTCTCTCATTCCGTTTGTGCCTTACCGAACCCGTGATTCCTCGATCCATTCCAGATTATAATATTCGCAATTGGTGAAATCGTAATCTTTATTACCGTTTGTGACACTGTGGAGGCCTAAAATACGGGAACCAAGCAGAAATGTATTCATTGTCTTGGTTCTCAGTATAAAGGGTATCTAGATTAAAATAAAGGTGAAGCAGTATTGTCAGTTTCCGAGGATAATTTCTTAAATTGGCTTATGCGCAAGTAACCTTTAGCCTTTTTTAAAATATCTTGATTTAGGGGGTTACCTTCGGCGTGGGCTGAACATCATCTTTGATTTGATCCTCTGTGATTGGATATTCTGTCGTCGTCGTTGTCGTGCTCCGCATTTTCACTTTCGTGATGTTTAGTCCGTGGCCTATCGAGATGCATGCTGTCGCTGCGAAAGAATATAAATTGATTAAATACAATTCATGCCATCAATCTGCAAGAAAATAACTACGATTTCAAAATAAAGACACAATACAATTAAACCTTCCTGTGTTTATGGTTACTTTGGGTTACTTTCAGTTACTTATTTTTCAGTCAAATTAACCAATTTCGACAATATTTCTGGTTAAATAGACCGTGGCGTTAGGTCACTCTGAGGTATCTTAGAATGAAGAATGTTTCCTGCTGAACCGGACATATTTATGTTAAAAGGAACTATGTCACGCGCAATTCCTATGCACGTAGTTCCTTTCAGAATAAATACGTCCAACTGATGTGCGCGTATTGTTTCTGTCGACGACATTCAAAGGTCGCGACCTGCTAGTGGCTGGCGCATTAGACTGTCATCAATGTGATCTAGGTTTAATCTTTCAGCCATGCGCCTGATTTCAGTGGGATTGACAATTTTTATCCCAAAAATTTGGTCAATATATCCGAGAAAAAAACCAAGCAAAAAATAATAACCGCACATTTAGGTTACTTTGTGTTCTACTTTCCACGATCGCACAAAATCTCAGTTTTTCTTACTGTGTTGTTGAATATTGTCTCAAAATTTGGAGAAAAAATTGCGCGCACTATTCGCACGGTAAAACGGAATACGCTGAATTTATCATACAAAATCCACGTGATTTTTGGTACAGTTATAGACTATTATAATTATTATCGAAACTGTTGCCTAGTAATTGCCATCTGTAGCACCAAAATACACATAAAGAAAATTCTTGTCAGTTCTACAGTAGATTGATACCAACTAAGATATGAGATTTGCATTTCTTTTGGTAAATCTCTCCAAAACTCCGAGCGTTTCTGCGTATCGATTACACGAATACAAACAAAATATAAACAAAAATCATCATAAATAAGGGCTGTTTAAAAATTACCAATCAGTTTGTTTTTGCTTCATCATACGGATCAAGTATTTCGACGGTGTAAGTCGGCAATCACATAACTCTGTTCGCGACGTCGCAGCCTTCCTGTCATACTTTATTTTTTAAACGAAAAACTACTTAACGGCAATTCTTTAAAACTGCCGTGATTTTTCTTCTCTGTGCGAAGAAAATTTTGCAAAAACTTAAAAGAATTATGTCAATTTGTTCCCCCTCAAAAAAATAACATAGAGGCGGAGATTTTCAGACACCGCAAACGAGATATGTGATAACCGACTTACACCTTCGATTTGCATATGTTACACCCATTTGGGAAAATTACTTAGTTTGTGGACCGAGCAATTTTTCTGTCTCGTCCGTGAGCAGGTTACTCCCGTTGCCCAGCCTGCGAACTGGCCGATGTTCTTGCCCAGTCTGTAAACTGGGCAGCCAGTCCGCAAAATGGTCGGTCAAAAGTCTGAAGAGAGTTTTATCTTTAGCTTATATTTTCAGTATCTTGAGCGTGTGTGTTACATATTCAAAAAAATGCAGGCGACTTTGCTTCACGCGGACTAGACTGAGTTGACTGTAGGGCCGTGATACAACTATTCGTACACCACGGATATGCATGTTGTATTTTAAAAATTGAAGGCACTTCCGCTTTTCTCACCTCTTCAGAGAAGCACATGACTCGTTAATTTTAGCACTCTGATTACGGGGTATCTGATTACGGCGAGAGTATTGCCAGTTAGTAATATGAGGCCAGGGCCAAAAATGAAATCGGTCATTCTTTTAAAGACTTCAGCGCCAGAAATGAAAACGCGGGAAAAACAGTAGAGACTGTAATAGTTATCCCGTTATAGAGGGACCATGTTTTTGAAGTGTTTAAATAGTCGCTTTTTCCTCATTGTTCCATTGAAAATTTGGCAATTTTCAGAACTTCAGTTCGGGTTCAAGGTTTAGTCAAGAATGGAGCATTGATATTTTAACATGCAAACTGAAAGAGAGTGGAAGGATGTGCTACTTATAGCTTACATTTCAGGGCTTTGAACTAAAGCGTCCAAATGTCACGCATAGTACTAACGTGTCATGAACTCACAAAGTAAGGTTATGCTAAATGAAAAACCTTTAAGTCACGCTAATCACGAGATATGCATGCATGTGTCTGACTGTTATTGATTTGCTCTAAATTTAGACTCACTGCCATCAATTTTCCACCTTTGAATTTGATGGAGTGAATTTCAAATGGTAAAAATGCCCAAATGGATCAAAGTGAGTACAACTCAGAGGCTCCTCTAACTATTCATATTCGAGATAGCTTATGGGTAAAATACGGTGTTCGATGCTCTTATGTGGCAATACCTACTGTAAGTTAAGACAAAATTGAAAAAAAGAGTGTAATTTTGGAAAAACTTACCAATGAAAAGTCCTAAACTGAGGTGTATGGGTGCCATTTCTCAACTCCTCAAGACTCCGTGCAGCACGCAGCAATCAATACGAGGGCGGGAGGGGATCTCTCTGCGCAAGGGCGCGCGATCACCCTTACATTCCATGCGCGGCTTACCACTTTTCATCCCTTTTTGGTCGATGCATGCAGGGTGCCGTGCTCAGAGGCAGCCGCCATGTTGTTGAACATTACGTCACACAGGGGGTTGAAACTTTGATTTCTCGCGATGGAATGAATTGTTGCAGTGAGACAGCACTGTCGTTTAATGATATTTTTCTACGTTACAGTAATACTAATAATTATCTATACTTTAGTTGTTTGTACAGTCGCACCTTTTTTAGTTTTGAATGCAAAAGTATTTGAAAAGTACGACGTTTATTTTGCTCTTTTATTTTAGTTGCGTCGTACTCCCAAATTTCAAAAATGTAGATTAAATACTACGTTGCTCATATATCTTCCGTTTCAAAGCGTTCCACATTTTTTTTATTTTGCTGGTATTTATGATATTGATATTGCAATTTTCAATTTATGGCATTCTTTTAGAACTATACACACTCCAGTTGATTGAGAAGTATTTAATTAGGCTGTGTTATCGTTCTCAAAATGCAGGCTCTCTCTCCTCTGACGATATCCGTTCGCACGAAACAGACCCTCTGATTTTGAATAATTCAAGTACACGAATATCATTTCACGTCCATGTCTCATTACGGACTTGAATTTGTCACCTCCAGGGAAGAACTACTTTTTCATTTTTCTTTTTCAAAGAGGCAAAAATGAAAATACAACTCCTTCGTGAGTTTAAAAATTACAATAATCCGATATGATATTTTCGGGACAAAAGGTAATGTCTACCAAAATTGGTAGAGTCATTTAGGAGGGGATTATGTTTGCGTCCGACAGAAAACAAATGTATTTACCATACTTACTTTCACATGTGAGCTGCAAGAAGGCTGTCTCCGATGTTCTGGTCAATATTTTGGCATTGCTTGTCCCACCGAGCTACCAACATGGCGTTGTCACAGCAAAATCATGTTGCGTTGAGGCACTTGTGATTCCGCGTGTAATGGCATGACTATTGATGACGTCAAGCGGGTACGCTACCAACTGTGGGTCTCATCGCGGGTGTCCTCACGTGGGCTGCGAAGACGGTGATAACCTTTTAACTCCATCCACGCTTTTTTCCACGATTGCTCATCTTCTTCACGACGTGTCCCTTTTAACGACGCTCTTAAAGTCAGAGTGTTTATTCGCGTTGATAGCTGACGGCTAAAAAAACACTCCTTATTTTTGATGTCGGAAAGATGTAACACCAAGTCACATATGGGTTATCCGCACCTATATCTTTGGAATGAGCAACGGCATCTATATAAAATCAGCCCTCCTGAATTTTTTTTGATCTTAAGGGAAGGGACGTCAAGCGTTATGAAGTATTACAACAGGGGAGGGGGGGTAGTTCTTTATGCCGACGAGTGCGTCATGTAATTTATGAACGCTCCCTGAGTATCATACTCATCAAGATTAAAACCTCCCAAGCTCACGGGTTTTTCATCGCGATGGGTCTCATTTTTGATTCTGCGGCTCTTAGTTCCTCCTGGTTGCAGAATGTTGAGGTATCCACTCCAAAAACACATTTTCGTAATCAACCAATTTGTTAAGATGATTGATTGAACTCAGAGACAATTCTGTGTTTCGCTCACTTGTCTCGTCGATATGCACATACATTCAAGCGCAATGCATTCAAACGGAACATCGGCTCAACAACATGATGGCGGAGAGGAGCGTAACATTTTTAGATAAGGGTACCTTTACTTAATGATTCTGATGTCTAAGCATGGAAGTCGATAATCGCTTTTCTTTAATTAATTTTTTAGCGGTAGTGCAGTTTCATCAAAATCGACACTTGAAATTTTGGTGAGCGAATTGTTTCATTTCAACGCTGCTCGTCTTCGTCTGAGAACTTAAAAACGCGCTCACATATAGAAAACAGCTGGGACCGAATTTTGTCGGCTCTTTCCCGAAGAGGTGCCACATCCATCGATAAGTCCAAACCCCAATACCAGCCAATCAGAAGTGCTTGGCCGGACTTAAGTGCAGTCGAGACTCGTGCCAAGTATATTTAAGACCGAATTTTTTCGGTCCCTGATCACTTCTCTAATAAGTGCGTATCATAGCTTGCCCGCTTGTTTTTAAACAACATTTAAATTTATTCATTTTTTTTTTGAAAAAAAAAAAATAAATAAATAAATAAAAACTGTTTTCCTAGCGTGAGTTTTTCTGCTATTTTTAATTAAAAGCAATCAGAGAGGTAGCTCAGCACCTTCCGTAAAATTTTGTCTATTTCGCATCTTGTCACTTTCCGGCCAAAGTATCACAAGCGCCATGCAATGTTTCAAAATTTCCGCCGCCATTTTATATTTTCACAGGTAATTGTAGATTAAATCTGTTTAAAAATTGCACTGAATTTTATCGGCAGCACAAAATAAATTCAATTAGGTTTTCGGACAGCTTCGTTGAACAATTTTTCCGGAAAAAAAAAAATAAAATGGTGACGGAAATTTCGAAACTCTGCATGCCGCTTGTGATACTTTGACCGGCAGGTGACAATATACGACTGGCCGATAAGCTAATTTTATTTAAAGTTCCGGACCTCTTTGGGAAGTTCTGTCCCGGGTTGTCTCATCAATCACCAACACCAGTGGACACCATTGTTACTAGATTCGACCGATTACATCCGTTATTTTCGATTGGTCGAACCTTTTTTTAGAACCATCTCGCGAGGTGGTACCAAAATCACGCACCAGCGTTGCGATTTGTTAGTCATTAAATTGGAAATTCCGAACTCAAATAGAATAAGCGAATTTTATTTAGTGGTTTCGTACTACTTTTGTGCCCGAACCTCCGAGCTATCATTCTGTTTTAGTTCAGAACCTCCGATTCAGTCCTTAACGAATCGCAACGTTGCTGCGTGAGTTTGGTACCACCTCGCGAGGTGGCTCTAAATAGGGTTCGACCTATCGAAAACCAACGGATCTGATTGGTCGAATCTGGTAACAACGCAACGGTGCCCAATGGTGTTGGTGATTGATGAGACACCGGGACAAAACTTCTCAAAGAGGTTCGGGACTTCAAATAAAATTCGCTTAGTGGCAGCCCAGAGGTTGCACAAAACACTGGAAAAAAAACACATTAGATCTAGAGTCCAGACTCTTAAAAACATCGACAAAAAAATACTCTTGTTTAATCAGATTTAAGCTTAAATCAAGAACCAAGCCTCTTAATTTGAGCGGGTTTCCTTTTGATTTAAGCTTAAATCCGATTGAATCAAGAGTCCTTTTTCTTGTCAATGTTTTCAAGAGTCTGGACTCTAGATCCAATGTGTTTTTTTCCAGTGAAGTACCGAATCTCCAAATAAAATTCGCGGGATGGGGACGGTGATTTGGCAAGGCGGAAGCTATCGGTCGGACACGAACCCGGTGCAAAACACCCGGGCAACATCCGATGTTTTGATAACGGCTCCTCCGCTCCCGGTTGATGACTCGAACCCGTTCGACATCCCTTCGGCCTCCGTCCCTGGCGCGACCCGCGATCCGCGACTCCCCGCGCCCACGGATTGGCAGCTCGCCATCTGTCGCGCCGCTTCCCACTGCAATCGTTAAAGTGCACACGTCACCGTGACGTCACACCCGGCTCCACGCAACAACGTTGGCGTCGCGGTTGCAGCCTTTAATGGACTGACGCAGCGATGACGTCGACAGTGCGCTTACGATTCCACAGATGAAGATAAATAAAGTCTATGAGAGAGCCCCCGGCCGCTTTGTGAGGAATCGCCCACGCGTGCTTTTTGATGTGCTTTTACAATCTTTTCAGCCGCTATCACACCTACGACCCTCCGACTGTGCACTCTGACCGAGTGCGCATGCGCGTAGCTTGTATTTTTATACTGAGAGTTAAGACAACAACCCCTCATGAAGTCACAAACGGGAATAAAGATTACACATATTGAACCTTTTTCGTAATCTTTTACGAATAAAAACAAGCAGTGAACTCCAACACAATGTGTTGATAAGGCGCGTCATTAACTCGCACATATCAACCCCTTTAGTTTTCATTTACAGAGATTTCAAAAAAGGCAAGCAGCACAACAAGAGAATTCACGATCCAACACTGCAAGGTCAACGACGCACCTTCACGAGACCGTGTATTGTGAATCTAGAAAGCTATTCGAACAAATTTAAGTTTTTTGATCTGCCTCAAGCAAAATCTTTTCAGATTCTTGAAGAAAAGTGCTACGGAAAAATTTAAGCGAAGAAAGGAAAAATTCTGTCGAACTCCTAGAAGATAAAGTCGATTTAAAGGTATTTTGGGGCTTATTTTGGGAGTTGATTTCGGTAATTTTCGTTGCGCGAATCGTGTTTTACGTGAAATTCTGGTCAAGAAACATGTATCAGAATGCCTAAAATCGTACCTTGTCTAGTGGTCCATTGTCTTAAATATGTCTTGATTTTGTTATTTTAAACGTCTTTTCATGCAAAGAAGCTCAACCATGCCCATGCTTTATTCATTCATGAATTGAAAGTAAGCAATCCACATCCCGAAAATCTACCGATTTGCCGTAAAAAATCGCAGAAACTTGATATACCAGGTCGATGTACCCACTCTTTGAATTTACCAATCAATTTAGTGAGTGCACGTATGTGAAAGTCAAAATGCTATAGTCATTTTGGGTGCATTCATTTTTCATGAAACAATTGTAAGTAATTTCAATCCCGAAAAACCATAAATTTTCCGTATAAAATAAAAAAAATCAAAATATGTCGACTCCCTGACGTGAAAATTAAATTCTACGTGTGAAAATACTTATGTATCGATATGCTGAACAGAATGCCCGCCTCTCCTCGTAATTTACAAACCGTTCCTATACTCATCTCAAAATTTTTCTCAGAGCTTTGTGTTATTATCAGCTTCCATTTAAACCCCGGTTTGATGGCCGAATCGGCTGCCCAAAAAGCAAGCCATTTTTGAAGGGCTCTATGAGAAATTCGTGATATTATCAGCTCTCAGGAAATCACTCCATGGGTAAAATTGCTGGTATAAATTTTCGAGTGCTTAAAATAATCGTATTCAAGAAACTAAGGCATTAAACTATGGAGTCAATTTCGTTTTAATAATATAACGGGATTTACTTGTCTTCAGGTCAAAACTCATACAAGAAAGCCCCTTGCAAGAGGCTAATTTTTTGTAATTTCACTCAATTTTTTCTCCTTTTTATAATTGAATTGCTTGTCAAATTCTGAGGTCAATCATATTAAATTGTAATTTATACATTTCTTTTTTTCCCCTTCATTTTATTTTTTGTTTGGAGAAGTTTTGTTGATTTCTTCGGATTTCAAATACTGTAACTTCTCTTCTAATTGGCCGATTTTTATGAATGAGACCTCTTTTAATTCGTGTTTTAACGGAAAGTAAGGAAAAAATTGCTAAAAACTCGCGAAACAATTTTTTTTTTTAAATTGGACGAATCCTAGCGTGACGGTGAAATGGTTAATGAAGCGTAAGTAATTGGGCGAGGGGCTGAGGATCCCGGCCTCGCTTGGCGACCGTCATTAGCCAAGTCTTTGTAAGTTTAATGCGATTAAAAGAGGTCATGGACTATATTTTACTAAATGGAAAAAATGGTTGTCTATTGTCATTTTTGCATTTTAATCTTTGATATTTATATATAAGGTGAGTATTATATATAGATGCAAAAATTAAAACATAAATTGAGTTTAACAAATTTTATCTTAAAATTATTCCATATTATTTAGATACCATTGAATTTTAGCTTACTTAAGTTGAGCTCAAATTTAGTTGCTTTTTCTGTTGTTTTTCGTATTGTTCGTCGAGACGCCGACGCAGTGATCAGGAGCGTGGGGAAGAGAGGGGTAAGTGGATTCCTGTATGAGCCACGTTTAGCTAATGGTCTAATGAGTCTCGAGGCTCATCACAGATTGCACTTACACAGATTGCACTATCATGAGTGGCGGTAGCCACCACCGGGCAAGTAACCTATCCTCCAACAATTGGCAACACAGCACAGCCCGGTCGAGGCAATGACACCATAGTTACACGAACTTGGCTTATTTGGGTTTTTCAGAGCACGGGTACCAACTTTTGAACAGTATAACCGAGGTTACAGATCTGTCAAAGCAACGTTTTGAACAAAACGGAGGAGTTAGATTCTCATTCCGAGAGTGCCGACCTGCTCAGCCATCCTCGAATCAATTCGCTTGATTCTGCTTATATATGCATATTTTAAATCAGCGCGTCGCATTCTTAGGCTTTTTTTTAAAAAAACCAAGTAACGTAGACTCTTGGTATTCACTGCACATGCACATAAACTAGCGACCCCCAGAATGAGAAACAACTTTAAATCATAATTATTGATGGATAAATAAACTTTTTACACGCTTTGGAAAATCTCAAAAGTTCGCGGTAGTCACTTTTCGGTAAGGAACTAAGGGACTCGGTTATTGTATCGAGCAGGGTTCGAAACGATCGCAAAGGCGGTATACTACGTATACGCGCCAAAAGCACGAGGTTTTTGGAGGATATGGACATTTCCAACTAATTGCGGTAGAACCCCTATTACTTTCGGTAGTGCCCCAACTGATTGTGGTAGTACCCTAATAAATTAGGTTACTAACCCAAATGTTGCGGTACAACCTCAACTTGAGTTGCGGTATAGCTCCACTGAATTGGAAATGTCCATATCATCCATCGAATTGGGATAGTAGCACCATTTTAGGGGATAACCCCTTACACTTATTCCTAGGTCCATTCTAGATTATAAGCTTTGCAATAGGTGAAAATTTAATCTTTATTTCCGTTTGTGACCCTAAAAACTCTCGAGGCCTAAAATACGGTAACCAATCAGAAATGAATTCACATTGTCTTAACTCTCAGTATAAAGGGACTCTAATTGTACCGTCCGCAGTGGACCAATAGTGACTCTCTATGTTTCCCACGGCTATCGAACAGAATGTGGGAGAAATAAAGTCACCGGACTAAATACAAAGGATATAAGATTAAGAATAACCACAACATACGTCATTATACTAATTATACGTAAGATACTATTTACGAGGTTTTATTTTGCGTTGAATGTCATTTTAATGATTTTATACCTTCGGTTTATGAAACAATATAACCATGTGTAAAAAAAAGTGTCTAGATGTGCTTGATCGATGCCCTTCATATACGGACTTTAGCCCATAGATGTCCAAGCCGTATCTAATTGACCCGCGGCTTGCGAAAAACACCTGGCCCGTGGATTGTATGGGGCTAGTACATATGAGCTTTCGATGTAGGTTTTTTAAAAAGAAGAATTAGACATCAAATCGGAAAAAAATCGAGTGCCAACACAGCCGCAGTTAGAAGAGACGTAACCAGGCTTCTCGTTCTATCTCCCGAATCTGAGCGCCACCTCAAATGCAACATACAGCGGAGATTTGCGAGTTCGCGCTTGGCGCCTTCAATTTTGCAGATGCAACACAGACATCCGTCAAGCACGAATAGTCGTATCTCTGCGCCTTTATCAACGCCCGTCCATTCCCTTGCTCTATATTAATGTTGTATTGGTTCCATTGGTCTTATTTTTAATGGTGCTTCAAGGTCTACGTGAGGAACACAGCTGAAGATAGGAAAGATGCAATCGGGCCTCGTTTTTTAAACTTTTCTCTCGAATCTGACCGACACCTCATTGGCAGCGTAGAGCGGAGCATTGCGCAGCTCACGTCTCGCGCCTTTAATTTTGCGGATACAATACAGACATCCGTCCAGCACGAATATAGTTGTATCTTTGCACTGTCAGCGACGCGTGGATGAGGTGTGTCTTAGTGTTGGAATTTTAGAAAAATTAAGGTTAAGTTTGCTCAAAATATACTATGATTTGTCCAAATCTATAATCATTTTGAAAAAAAGCACAAATATGTTTAGAGGCTCGTTAAGCGCCTTTAAAGGCTCACCTCTAAAAATTGATATTTCAGCGAGAGGTGTGTCGCGTCAGGGAATTTCTTTTGACGACTACCCCTAAAAGTTCCAAGCCGGGTCTTTACCCGACTATCTCTTCTGGGGGGATTGTATACATGTCAGATGAAGAGAGAGAGAGACAGAGAGAGGAGGGGGGGTGAGAATAAAGAGCTAGTATGATACCAAAAAGGTGACGAAGTAAACAAAGAACTATGTCTTACCATCAAAAACATTGATAGAAAAAAGATTATACTTCAGGAGCAGTCCAAATTGCTGTATTTAAGTAAGGGTCAATTTGACCTGAATTGAAACTTTTGCGTGTAAAAAAAAAAAAAAAAAAAAATCTTGAACATCTCATGGCTATAGACCTTTAGTCAAACTGAGGTAAATCACAATTGATTTAACAACCCTTGTTCCCATTGGTGAATGAAAAAGGCGCGTTGCTAAACTAATATGATGCCTTATGTGTAACAATGGCGGATGTGGAAAATTACATTTTCGAAACACGCTTAAATACTGTTTTGTTCACACAAAATTTAATGTTTGGCTCTGACATAATGTACAGATCTCGAAGATCACATCTCAAGTATTTTCTCAAAATTTGCTCGATGCCAAAACAGTTTTTTGAATGTGTTTCGAAAAGGTCATTTTTCACATCCGCCATTTTTACATATAAGTCCTCATATATGTATATGAAAAAAATGTAAATTTGTTTTAAAAAAAAAGAAAATAAAATGAAAAAACATGTGTTGAAAGTGGTAGGCTAAAGAACGATAAAATTTCCGCAAAGCTTACACGAGATGATTTTCGATGAAAATCTAAGTGCACTCGGTTCCCAACAGGCAAGTGACTCAACTATGTGAACCAGAAAAATCATTATCCCTAGAAAATCCAGGCACTCTTCGTGGTTCCGCGTGCAATTTCCCGATCGTCACGGCGCTGTTTCCGATGACGCGTGATGGATGGCTCGGTCACGAAAAAACTCCGACAGGGGGACACCGCCGCGCCGGGAAATTAAACTGGGAAATTGCTTGATGTTCGACTCTTGACAGCTGCATAAACATCCGAAACGCTCCCAAACAAACCGAGCTGCGCCAAGAGGCAGGTTCAGGAGCGACTCATTCCACCAGGGGACATAACCTGGGGGACGCAACAACATGACTTCAATTTCGGTGATTGGACTAGTCTCATTCGCGCTCTTCGCTTTTCAGGTAGGAACAATATACAGACGTCGATTCTCGGGTCAGTCTAATTTTAGCTTCGTTTTTTTCACATTCTCATCGTATATTCGCATTTTCGTCTAGACTGTTGATCGGGTCAACCGGGAAGGCTTTCCCCTCAAACTATCTAAGGACCAAACATATGTGGAAGTAATCGCTCGGGATATTCTTTCGTGGTTAAAAGGTGAATTGATGCATCTAGGTGGTCCAACGTGCTGGTTATAATTATGGGCAAGGAATCGAGGATTTGTTTTCTGATTAAAAAAAAAAAAATTACAAATTACAACCACAATCTCATCACACGTATGCTTGATTATTCAGTAGATGGAAACATAGTGTCATTGACCCTCAAAAAAAAAGAAAAGGGACGGCAACAGCGCATAATATTATTCAATAGAACTTGTATACATTTCTCTTACCTAATAGCCTCATCTAACCCTTGAGGCTCACAAGCCAGGTGGCAATGTATCCGTAATGTTTCGTTTATACATACATGTAAGTTGCTTTCATAGCGCTCTGCGACGCCTAATCGCCACAAAACTCGGTCCTTCCACATATACATTTTGATAAATTTAACCCCATTAAACCACCAAAAACTGTTGAACTAACTGTAATAAAAAAGAATATTGAAATGGAAAAAATATAATATAGTAAAATTAACGGAATTAGTTTTATTAAAGTAGATAAAATATAAAACCTCATTCACTCAAGTTTTCCACAAATTAAAATAAACCAAAAATGAAATGGAAACAAACATTTCGTTTTTTCAAAGCTGTTATTAAGAATTATGGTAGTTTAGGTACGTAACCAGTGAGTCTATTAACTATTTGGCAACTCATTTTCTGCATCCTTCTTATTCTTCTCTTTGTGTATAGGATAATATCGCTGATTCATGTGTGTCCCCCAGGATAGTATCTTGTGATACATTGTTGTGCATTATTATCACTGTGTATTATCTTGTGTTTTATTGTATCAATTAGCCCCTGAGTTTAAAACCATTGTTGCATTATCGAAAGGAATTGGGTTCAGAAGATCGAAACAGTTTTAAAATACACATTTTAATCGCGACGAAATCTATTTATTATAAAATGCTAATTTCCTCCTCTACCCATCGTTTTCTATCACGCCATTTATCCCTCAGTGACATCAACCATCGCAACCGTTTCTTTCAGAATTCATTAAGATATTTTCAGCTATTTTCGGCTACTAACGACTGATGACGGCATCAGGACACTCTTGATGAGGCCGTGGAAACACTCGTCGATGACGTCAACAGGTGGTTGCCTCCCACGGTTGGGAGAGAGCGGGGGGAGGGGGATGGTAGAAAACGGGTAGAGTAGGAACTGATCATTTCCTGTGAACTTTTCAGCGTGCAAATTCGATGAAAATTTATAATGTTACTTACAGTGCCATTGATTTACAGGTGCATTTAAATTCATCTTACGTTGTTATAGAGCTAGATAATTTACTCATAGAGCCAAATGGATATGTCGGTAAAAAAAACATTTATGAGATCACTGATTTAAATTTGTTCGTCTAGTGTCCCGAGCAGCTGGTAGAATGTCAAGATCCTCCAGCCGACGGAGCTGTAAGTAGATTACGTAATTTTTATTTTTTACCGCGGTAAATAGAGCTTTTACTTTCCTAACATCTTGTTCACACGAATGCAATTTGCAGAACTTCAGGCGAACACTTGCGAACTTTAGGCTGATTAATAATAAGTTCCGAGAACCGCGCTTGTGTGGACAGGGCCTACGAGTTCAATTCGAACGAGGAAGTAAAAAAAACATTTACTGTGAGCTTTCTTTTGACCAAACTTGTAAAGTTTGTATTGTTTCAGTTCAGTATGAACCTTCAAACTTGTTTATATTTTGTATAATATTTAAAACTTTCCTCGAGATTAGGGACCTTGGTCCGTAAAAATTCAAAGCTGATTTATTGATACCAGAGTATAGATGAGTGCTCCATAGTATTTTACTTTGGACAGAAATTACACCGAAACCGGAGCCAAAGTGACTTTAAGTTTCCAGTTCAGAATATATGAAATCGGTAAAAAGCTCAAATGGGAGAAAAATCTCAAATAATGATTTTCTGATCCAACTTGACAAAGTATGATTTCTCAAAAAGTGAAACCTGTGCACTCCTCTTGTTAACGGTTACATCAAACTTATCCTTTAAAATTTTGGTCCAATATATTTCCAAACTTATGGTCTGCATCCTTGATTTTTGCTTTATTTTGTACCTCATCTAAACTAGCATGTTCTCAAGCATCAATTCTTATCCATTCAATGAGTTTTCCTTTCTATTTTAGAAACTGGGAAAAGTAACGACAAACTTTCTTAATGGAGATTACGATGAAGAATTGAATAAATTGAAAGGGGTAATCGACTTGCTAGTTTTTTCCTTGTTTTCTCTCTCTTTCTCTCTCTCTCATCTCTCTTGTTTTTTCTTATGAACCTTCAATTAAGGATGTCCAGTCTACAAAATTATTACAATTATTAAAGGAACACATCTATTAATTATCAAAGCATTATCATCACTGGAAAAAAGTATCACAATCCCGCAACTTTACTTCTGGCTGATTTTGGCGTCAGATATAAGAGTAGTTGCACTATAGCTAGAGGTATGGTTGATTCGAGTATACTTTCGGCAGACTCAACCGTACCTCTGACTGGTTCAACTAATTTCATATCTAGCGCCAAAATCAGCAAGGAGTATATCTGGGATTGTGATTTTTTCCCGTAAGAGAAACTAGAAATGTCTGGTAGAAACACTGTTCAAACTTCTTTATGACTACCCTCCTAGAGACCACTTTAGAAAAGACGATAAAAGATGAAGATCAAAATGATGTGACGCATTAGATGATTGATTCCCCGCATGTTGTAGTTACATACGGTAAAAACTAAATTAAGGGAACGATTGTGGTATGATTGGCCGGTTTGGATCATGAAAATTTCGGATAAGCCGGATACAATTGACCAGTAAAAAACTAAGCATTATAAACTGATTCTCAGTTTTTTTTGGTTACAGAATGAAACCGACGGAATCATGGTATTTTCAAAATGTCAATCATTTTAATGCGAATGTTATCATTTCTCTGATAATTAATCACGTGCCTGCAAACAAAAGTAGATATAGTGGCACAAAGCGATACCTTGCGCTATTGAATTTGTATCACTATTTTATGTGCTCCATACCGTTAATTTCCAGATTCAGAAGATTGGTAGAGCATTGGGCTTTGGTGGGGGTCAACCAAATAAAGACAATCCTGATGTGAGTAAATATGAAATTTACAAAGCAGAAGCTTTTTAATTATGATCCATCATTTTTCCGCAGCAGCCACTACTTTATATCCGTGAGGTTATGATCACAGATTGACCTCATTTACGCCTTTGCCTAGTCTTTCAATCGGTAACATAGATCAGACAAATTATCAAAAACTGTTCCGGAAGAAAAGTTAGTATAATGTCAGGTAGCACGTGGGGAACTCGTTTAAAAATGTTTTGAAGAATTCAATAGCCATCAGATACTGCAACACATACAGAAAGAGATACAGAAAAAAAGGGCAAATTGACTGAAACGGCCCCTTCCAACACTGAATCATACCAGATAAACTGATCGATCTGTACCTTCTTTTTCAGTCACGCTATTACTATCCACCCGAGAACAATCCATATTTTAAAGTAAGACTTAAACATATTCTGTGTGCGTTTCTTTACATTCACGTACTTTACTTAACCTTCCTTCATAGTTTTTCATTTATTCACAATTCACAACTTTCTGACTTGTAGTATTATTGAGTCAATCGGTATCTTACGCGTTCACATACGTTACAAATACTCGAGGTTTTCTGTTTCTTCTTACTCTGATGCATGATCGGTTTGTTTGACCTCGGTAACTGCACTATCTTCCATTTGCATGAAGTGTAGCATACACCATTGTCATAGGATCACTCTGCACCTGGCACTTAAGAGTGGCCTTGAAGAATGACTTCACATTCAAGATATACTCAACTCACCCACCATGAACACATGTGCATGGATATAGTCGGTGGGGAAATAATACTTCCAACGTCACCGAGTGAATTTAAAAAGCCCTCAAGACACAGAACGGACGCAATATTTGCACAGACAGAAGAGTTGGCATGGGAACCTGACCAAAATTTTGAGAATTACCCCGAAGACCTGTTAAACAAACTGGAATTTGACTGCATTTTGCAATTTGGAACTATAATTTCTGGCCCGGTTTAAAAACAACGTATGGGCCATTAGTTTCCCTATGAACATAAGTGTTTCTTTCAGATGAGCCAGAATTTATAGTTCCAAATTGCAAAATGCAGTCCAATTATGACTGCCAATAACTTGAGTGGGGCATACTGATTTTTATTAGGCATCAATAAATGTGATTATGAGCTCTATTTTCCACCAGTAAGTATTAGCTTCCTGAGGATTTAGATTTTTTCGAGGAAACTAGTTTTTTTTTGTTTTGCGGAGAGGGGGGGGAGGTTATTCAAATATTCTGGGCAAATGGTTTCGTTCAGAGAAATGCGGACTTTATAATTGAATCGAGGTATGCGAAAACGTCCGATGTCCATTTTTTTGGATTTTGAGTTTTTTGGCTTAACGTCATCTTCGAGGGTAGGCGCATCTATGTGTAGACGGATTTGACCTGTTTTTTTGTTTTTTCGCCCCCATTTAGGGGGTCGAACCTCAAAAGTATGCGAAAACGTCCGATGTCCATTTACGAGGGTCATCCAATGAGGTTCCCTACCTCTTATCTTCCATACGGAAAGAAATAAATCAAATCGGTAAAGAAGTTCTTATAAGGCATACCCTAAGCTTTAAAAGAAGCTCAAGTTTTTGAAAATTGGTCGAGGGGTTCGCGAGGAAACTTAATTTTACTGCGACAACTTCCTGTCGCCGCGCGCCCACCTTCGGAGTCTGGATGCGCGGAGAGTCGATTATTTCAGACTTGGGTTTTCGCCGCTAAGCATCATATCAAAAAGAAATTTGAAGGTTTTTATTGAGTAGACCTTACCTTACTTTTTGACGTAGTCTCAGCCTCTGTTTTGACATTTCTGGTGTCAATATTGCAGCTTCTTGATGCCTTCCGCGTGGAGGCTGGCTCTTGTCTTGGCACCGGAATCCGTCATTGACAGCGCTCTGTACTTCCGAATCATTCGGATTCCGCTTTCCACCGAGGAAGTTTTTTAGCTCAGTGAACAGACGAAAGTCACTTGAGGCTGAATCGTAAGAGTACGGAAGATGGAGGGAAATTTTCTTATGCAAAGCAACTGATTCGGAAGTGTAGAGGGCTTGTCAATGACTGGTCTCGGTGCCAAGACAAGAGCCAGCTTCTACGCGGAAGGCATCAAGAAGCTGCAATATTGATACCAGAAATGTCAAAACAGAGGCAGGGACTTCGTCAAAAAGTAAGGTAAGGTCTACTCAATAAAAACCTTCAAATTTCTTTTTGATATGATGCTTAGCGGCGAAAACCCAAGTCTGAAATAATCGACTCTCCGCGCATCCAGACTCCGAAGGTGGGCGGGCGCGCGGCGACAGGAAGTTGTCGCAGTAAAATTAAGTTTCCTCGTGAACCCCTCGACCAATTTTCAAAAACTTGAGCTTCTTTTAAAGCTTAGAGTATGCCTTATAAGAACCCTGCCGGAAAAGTACCAATTAAATTCCAAAAAGTACGGGATCTTTCGGCTCTCACTGAGTACTTGCCGAGTGAGTTTTTGCCATTTTACAACGAGCTGCAGGGTTGGCCAACTTCAGACGATGTTCCTAGCAGTGGCGATGAAAGCGAGGCAGAGACCGAGGCCAAAGATTGAGTAAATGTTTAGTGAGGAATTTTACGTCATTTCATTTTTAAATTTATGAATTTTCTACATATTATGTATCTAATTAGTTTTTCACATTGAACTCATTAAGGGGCCCACATCAAGAAGCCTTTATCAATCAGACTTTTATCTGTAGTAGGTATCTATATTTTCTTGAAAGTTATACTTTTGTACCGTCTATCCCTGAAGTTTCTTTTTAATTATGTGATTTTAATCTTGAAAGTTCCTTTTTATTTTTATCATCTAAACTGTATTGTGTATTTTTATTAAACTGACTACGTTACGACTTTCTTTGAATATTTTCTTTGAGCCGATGACTTTAAATTCTGCGAAAACGGTACATGATAGCCCATGATTTTTGTTTAACAACCTGTATAAGTAATCGAAACTTTCCCAATCTTTTTTCAATTTTTAACTTGTTTAAGACGCATCTCAAAACCATTTTACTGACTGTAAATTTTTTATAGATGGAAAGTCATGATTAATGCTAAAGTTTCCGTCCGGTAAATGTATTAATCCAGTATTTGTCTTGTTCTTTCTCCTTAGCATGAGTTTTCCTGTTAAAAAGTTCACACTTTATTTTGTTTAACATCGATTCACCCTACTTTATATAATTACACTTGATTTTATGCATTCTAGGCAATCCTAGAGTAGAGCAAAAGAGTGGAGTGGTTGCGCGGACTGCACCGCCCCGGAAAATCCATTTTGAGACGGTAACTTTTGCAACGCTGGGGTGCCGTCTCGTTACGCTCTAAGGACAAGCTTGATACACGAATTTGTAGCATTTTGAATCTACTTTCATTTGAAAGGATCTACTTACTTTAAAGAATAGCTGAACAACAGTTACAAGCAAAAAACCATTAAAAAACGAAATTTTGAAAATTTTGGGCTATCTATGAGAACCCTGTAGTGACCGCAATTTTCATCAGAAAAATTTCAAACCGGGTTAAATAAGACCGAATTTTTATCTGCTTTCATGTGAGATCCACAAACTCTGTCTTAAAATCAACGGCTTTGGCGATAATAGCCGTAAAACGAGAGAATAACCTATTTTTGACCGTTTTTTTATCGGGGGGGGGGGGCTTGGAGGGGTCCCCATGATTGTTCGAGGGGGCAATTTTGGATTCTCGTTAAGGTCCCCCTATAGATGAGAAATTAAATGAGAAAAAAAGTTCTGCTCCCAAAACATGCGATGGTAGCCGAAAAACGAGAGAAAATAACCGATTTTTGACAGTTGTTTCGATTATGGAGGGGTTTTCGGGGGGGTCCCCATGATTGGTCGAGGGGGCAAATTTGGATTCTCGTTAAGAACTCCCTATAGATGAGAAATTATATGAGAAAAAAATTTCTGCTCTCAAAACGTGCGCTAGTAGCAGAACAACGAGAGAAAATAACCAATTTCTGACTGTTTTTTTGATGTTGGGGGTTTTCGGGGGGGTTCCCATGATTTGTCGAGGGGGCAAATTTGGATTCTCGTTCAGGACCCTCTGAAGATGAATAATTTCACCCTACTTTATATAATTCTAATCGATTTCATGCATTCTAGGCAATCCTGAACACATATCTTGAGGGGCAATCTCAAAGTATGCGAAAACGTCCGATGTCCATTATTTTTCTTCTTCCGCCGTCACGTAACTTTCACTGAAGCCTCGAAGAAAAGAGAAATATTTTTTTTTGTGTTACTGGAGGTCTGACATTATGTTTTACTATAGTTTAAAGGTTTTTGGAGGGGTCAAAAATAATGGTTTTTGGGCAGATTTTTGCAAAGTATGCGAAAACGTCCGATGTCCAAAGCCCTTTTTTTACAATTACTCAGCACTGAATGGGAGTTGGAATGGGACACAGTTGTGTGCCTTTTCTATAACCCTTTACTAAGAAACACATGCCTTGATTTTCTTCAAAACGCCGATTCTAAAGGCCTCCACAGTTTTTTGCGGTTTACCAAGAGTTGATTTTTTGGACATCGGACGTTTTCGCATACTTCGATTCAATTAATTCAGGGGGAAAATATTTGGGAACATGTTTAAATGAATATAGTATTTTTAATTTTTCTTAACAGAAAAATTTAATTGCATTAATTTAATTTTTCTTTGTAAAGAAAATTACAACAGATATATTTACAATTGTACGAACTACAAATTGAACAAGGCTTTCGAGTTCATACCTGTGCGTTTTGTCGGTAAATCTTGAATTATCAGCCTGCATTGCGGTTGAAAAACATGAAATTTTCGTTAAAGTTCGGGTTCGCACAAGAACGTGTCATGGCCTTTTTCATTTCCCGAGAGAATAGATATTTTAGCATTTTCATTTTTTAGAATCCTAGGCGGCGGACCAGAGGTTTAAACTCCACCAAATTCACAGGTAGAACAAGAACACTTATGACATTCCTCGAAAGGCATGCAAACTTTTACTTGTGTCAATCTTACTACACTGAAGTATTTCATACGCACCACATAAAACGTGTTTCTGTCGTTTCATCGACGCAATTTTTTTCCTTCAAGTGAAATGTCATCTTGACCGTAATTTTGCACCCAATCACATTGTTAAAATTTGATCTCTTTTAAACACTGCGATGTAACTGTTTTGCATTTTTGTTTTACGGGGCACAAAAATTGTGTTCTGAAAGGATCGTTTTCGTGTTTTGCATGTCTATTTAACCTTATTTATTTATTTTTACTGACTTTTAAATAAATATAATCCGTTAGTTTTCGTTTTTGCTGAGCATGTTTTGATTTAGGCAGCAGACGCTCCATCACCAGATGCAGATCCAGATGCGGATCCTGGGTCAGACTCAGCAGGACCAAAAGACCCTGCTAAGGCGGGCCCTGGGGATCCATCCCCGGAAGATGATGTGAGTGAAGTTATCTTAGGGAGACCCCCAAAAATTCTCCTACGCTTTGTCTTCGAAGCTACCAGCTATCTACGAGCTTTGCAGAGTTTATAATTTTGCCGAATAACTTAACGAGCTAGCTTTTCCTGATGTGTTCCGTCCAACCAAGGCAACCCCGCCATTCACACCAAAAAGCGTTCATCTCCTGCTGTTTGGATAAAATCGTTAACCGGTAACGACTAAAACCATTACACTGAAAAAAAAAAATCTCGGTGTATTTACAAAGAAAAGGGTAAAATTACCAAGAATTCAGGGTTCTATTTGATCACAGTTTTTTCTTGGTAAAATTACCATTTATGGAATTGGTAATTTTACCGAGAAATCTCGGTAAAATTATTGAATTTTCTCGGTAATTTTACTTGACCTTGGTAAAAACGCCAATATTTTTTATTGACTGTGGTAGAATTACCGAGATAAAATGGCAAAGTTACCGGGCATTGATTATCAATAAAAGTGGTATTCTTACCTGAAAAAAACGGTAAAAATACCGGTTTATAGGTAAGCTTACTAGTCTGTCTTGGTAAAACTACCAATAATTGGTAAAAAAGGGAGATGGTAAAGGTACCAACGGACCTTGGTAAAAACGCCGAGAATTTTTTTTCAGTGTGATTTTATGTTCCGTCCAACCAAGGAAACCCCTTCATTCACATCAAAAAGCGTTTATCTCCTGCTGCTTGGATAAAATCGTTAACCGGTAACGATTAAAATCATTATGATCAGCTATCTACCTCTTCGTATGATCTTCATTTTCAATTACGATTTACATCGAGGGATCAACAAAACCAAAATATTCTAATCTTGGCTTTTGTTTGTACAGTAATGTCTAGACGAGTCTGCTCTCTCTTATCCTCTATTATTTTTGGTTCAGGTATATGTTGGCACAAAGCTGGCCCTTGAAGGCTTTCGGACATTGGGCTACGCAGTTGCCGCCCGTAATTTCACGAAGAATGGCTTCCGTATCCTTGTGTGGCGAGAGTAAAAATTACGGAAAATCTCTTCCTTTTTCATGTGTTGTTAGGATGTTACTGAAGAGTGTGCAAAACAATCGAAGAAGAGCTTTTCTTGTTTTTCTGTTATTCAAAAGAAGTGTTCCAGTGGGCTAATTGTTGAAATTGATAGACGAAGCTATAGACAAAGAAGACAAAAAAGATCCTATTGGTGGAAGCGGGTGGTTAAAATGGACAAAGGGGGTAGGTAATGGCTTGACCAACGGCAACCCACGAGGGATCCTACAGTATAGTTCATCATCTTCTCTGTTCGTCTTTGAGAACCATCCGTCTCAACCAATTGGATCGCACCATACTCTATATGTTTTCTTTGTCTAAAGCTTCATCTATCAATTTCAATAATCAGCCTGCAGGGCAGTTTTTTTGCGTCAAAAATCATTCATTTTTTGCATTGATTCAAATTCTAACCTCCAAATTGGCACTCCAACTACACTTTTAGTGTTGCCCGGTTTAAAAAATTGTCGTGTCCTTTAGTTTTCCAACTCCCTCCAACGCTCGTAATCTTAGCTATATCTCTAACTATGAATTATTACAGTTTTAGAACCAACAAAAGTTACAAATGTACGTATTTCTATGAAACAGAACTATGTGCACGTGGGAAAGATGAGGTAGGCTCGTCGGTCGAGGGTCGTAAGATAGTATGGGAATCATAAAGCACCAGTGACGTCGGCGTCAACGACTGAGACGAAGGGCGACGATCCGAGGCATCAACGCATCAAGCCCTGTCCACAAGGCTCTATCACGTGCCCATGGCTCATAGGCACACAGTTCCGTTTGACAGAATGTAAATTCCCGCTTTTCCAATTCAGCAAACGGAACTGTGAGCCAACTAAATGCCGAACTCATGAACCGTGGATATGCGTCTAGAACGTTGTGGGCAGGGATCATGAGTTAAGGACGAAGCGCGGCGACGGCAACGTCACTGGCGCTTTATATTTCCCATTCATTCTTATGGTCCGAGCACTAACGAGCACACCCCATCTTTCCCATTTATTCTTATGGCCCGAGCACTGACGAACACACCCCATCTTTTCCTTATGTTCTTATGGCCCGAGCACTGACGAGCACACCCCATCGTACCCATTCATTCTTATGGCCCAAGCAAAAACGAGCATACCCCATCTTTCCCATTCATTCTTATGGCCCGAGCACTAACGAGCACACGCCATCTTTCCCATTTGTTCTTATGGCCCGAGCACTGACGAGCAGATCCCATCTTTCCCACCTACACATAGTTCTGTTTGATAGAAATTCGTCCAAATGTGATGTAGATGGAAATTCAGGTTTCCTCTAAGGAAAGCTTTTAAAACTGCTGAATTTGAAAAAAATTGAATGTGCATGTGAAAGTTCGCCATGATTAATCGTGCTCCTTGTCAACAACGGTGAGATTCCTCTGCATGATGTTTAATGCTTACAATGCCTTGGAAGATTCAAGCAAATGGTTAATGGCTTTGAGTTCCCTGCGCAATATTGCATGTTTTTCTTGAATTGTAGTTTCTTGATGCCTTAACAATTTTAATGGCTTTTGCTACGCTTCAAATTGAGCTTCCAGCAATCAGTTTTGACTCCCATACTTGAGTGTTCTTCCAAAAATGCACCTTAGTATAAATATGCTTAATTTTTATATTGTCAGTTTGCTTTTGGCTAATTTGTAAGTGTTTGTTTTCTTTAACAAAATTTACGGAAATGATAGTGTTGAATACTCGTCACATTAGGTGTTCATGCAGCCCCAAAGAAATAAATATTCGAATATTTCTGATTTTTGCCGTTCCAACTTTTCTGGTATATTCAGGGTAAGTACTGAAAACCGGTAATCCAGGATTGCGCGAAAGGTCTGAGAAAATATATGAAGAGTACGCGAAAAAGACACAAGGACTGCATACGAATAGATACCTTAAAATCTTCCACGGGAATGCGTGAATTTAAAATGAAGTTAATATTAGGTAGAATTTTGGCAAACCAGGAAACAGTTGGAAAAAAGTATTTATTCGCTAGTTGAGGCTAGTTTGTTGAAATGTCATCGATGTTTTACCTTCTAATGATAAATGAAGTGTAAATAATGGACGTGGTTATAAAGTACTTTCCTGCCTTTTCTCGGAAAAAAAATTTGATCGGGAGAAACGAGGCAACGTTGAAATGCTCATACGGGAACACAACATGGGCCTTAAAAGCCCCGGCCGCGATTATTTTAATGCGAATAATCGCGCCAAGCGGTGGACGGCGTCAAACGCTTATTAGTGCCTGCAAGACTGGAGAAATACTTCACGTATTGCGTCAAACTGTGCTATCGGCGTAAAGCCCATATTGGCGCCTACAAGACTGCATGAATACTTCTCGCATTGCGCCAAACGCAGTGCAGTGAATGAACAAACAGTCTTCCACGATGTAGTTATCTACCGCAAACTACCAAGGTTGCCAGATTAACGCTTCGTCGTTGAATATTGAATATTTGCGCAAACATGTGAGTTTTCAGTACCAGAAAAATTCGCGCAATCCTATGCATCTCAAAACAAGTAAAAAAGGGGGCATTCACGCAATCCTATCAGAGCCCTGAAAACCTCGTGTTTTCTAGATGCTTCCTATACCTATTTCAAGCTTACTGGTAAATATAGTAAATATAGTATGGTATGTAGTAATATTTTGTTTAATCTTTTCAGGATGCTGCTGGAGGACCTGATGCTGGCAAAGGTGTAAGTTGAAAACTTGAATGTCTCTCAACTCGTATCTTGAAATTTTATATTAGCTGAAATCTTGCATTTTAAATGCAGTGCTGTGTATAAGAAAGGAACACTAAATAAGTAATTTTGGGGAACATAACAGGGTGGATGATCAAAACGCGCAATTTTCTTTTTTTTGAAAACACACATTACTGTAGAGAAATAAAGTTTATTCTTATCATTTTGAAAACAAGAGATCTCATCAATGCAATATTTTGCAATACATTCTTCTAAGAGCGTCTGGATCAGCCAAAGTAAATACCGAAACAAGTTTATACTAAGATGAAAATGTCTGGCAAAACTGAAAGTAGCTGGTAAAATATCGCTATTCCTCAGTGAAGAATTCTCCGAAAGCCGAACGAATTTTCGAAGAACTCAAGCCGCTTCATCGCACATACAATAGAAAACAAAATAAGATGGAGCTATTTCGTTCAATAACGGAGCGATTTCGTTTAATAACTTTGAAGGTTAAGGTTCAACAGCGGTTAGATCCCTGTCCACGGCAGTGTCATCCACTTAGAAATCAAAGGCTCCTACAGGTAAGTTGAATAATCAGGAGAAGAACTTTCAGGAACAATCCCGCGAACATGCTTGATTACTCTCCAAAATTGTGAAGCTATATCCATAAGTCGGTCACGTGAGTACGAGTTTCTCAATCTAAAGTCTCCAAAAAAATGAATATCATCCGAAAGGTTCCGTGGAAACGGAGGAATTCTCATTTTCCGTTTCTTTACCCATCACAGGGATCCTGCAAAGAGGTGATCTTATTTACCACGGTGTTCCCCTTGACTACCTCCAATGAATCAAGCGTTTTCCTAAAAAAAAAAAAAAAAAAAAAAAAAAAAAAAAGAAAAAAAACAAAAGAAGTAATCGGAGCTATATGCACAAATGAACTTTCCAAAAGTAAAAGCCGCTGCCTCATCAAATCTCTGAGAGAAGGTGGATAAGGCTCATGAAAGTATGCTTGAAAAATTCATAAGAAGTTAAATTCACTACATGGATGAATTTCAAGTGAAACACTCTTTGCAGAAGGGAGCGGAAGACTCCGATGGGGCAGATGACCCCAAGGGGGCAAGTGACCCCGATGCAGACGCCGATGATGCTGGTGGAGGTGCAGATAAGGGAGGAAAGCCCCCAGCCGTAAGTTTTTGCGTGCGAAACGGCTTTACTGCCTTGCTCCAACGTGCTAAATTCAAAAAGCCTCGAAGGTTTTTGATTCCACGATTTACGCATAGAAAATTATTTTCCTTGCATTTTTCCTTGATTCTACCGCTCTCGAGTTATGCATAATTTCTTAAGGATTTTTGCGCCCTCCACGCTTCGAATTCCTCCATTGTGCATCAGGTGCTACCGGAGTGTTTTTCACCCCGGCAAAATGGTTTTGCTTTATTAACTTATCATGATTCAATTTGGTTAATTTGCTTCAAAATTATAGCTTTTCTTGTAAAATGATGTTGCTGCAACAGAGAATTACATAGTAAACGGTTTCAATTCATCGTCATATTCATGTATGTATGCATATCCGTATGCAAATTCATTCTATAATTCTTATTCATTCATGTTCACGCCCACGTGCTTGTTCATGTTCATGTTCATGTTCATATTCATGCTCTTGTTCATTTTCATTTTCATGTTCATTTTCATTTTCATGTTCATTTTCATTTTAATGCCATTTTCATGTTCATATCCATGCTTAAAGTGAGACGGAGAAAGATATCGCGTTTGTTTGAAGAGGTAGATCAACTCGAAGGTTGAACTCAAGGTTCAAAAACACCTGTTCAAAATCATCAAAAACGTTTGTAATCATTACAAATTTAGCCATTCCCTCAAAAAATAAAACGGAAGTCTATTTTCAGGGCGTAACAATGAAGACTATTTTTGCATTTCTGCATTATTGTCACTCAAATGGATTGAGGATTCATGAAATTGGTCAAAAGTTTGAATCTAACTTTAAAAACACCAATTTCTGAATAAAATGTATAAGATGTAAAAAATATCAATATGAAAATGGAATTCATTATGGTGTGACCAAGCTTTTGGCCTGAGTAATTTTTACGGAGTTTCCATTGAACGGACGCTACTTAGAGTTTATGGTTGAAGTTATACTTCATCATTATCTCGGCATCCGCTTAATTAAATTTTTATTATTTTTATTTAATTATATTTCAGGTAAGTCAAATAATTTTTGCTTTAATAAATCATTCAGCTTGTTTATAATACTTAAACATGGTCCTATCGAGTATAGAATAGAAATATTATTTAAAAGCTCAGAGTTCGTCTAGAAGAATGTATCTTTGTGTGCTAATTTAGAGTCATTTAATAGCTTGAGCAAGATCAATTCTGGTGTAAAAGTTTCAATGTCATTACCGCTTTAACAATATAGTCTCATGAAATGCTTGCGTCATTGGATACGAAAAAGAATGCAGTGATCAACAGCTTTCAGTTAAAAACAATCTTTTATTAGTGCTTCTTCACTTTTGCCATTATCGCATCTCAGTTTTTATTTTTATTTTTTTTATCAGTTTTTATAGTTCCTATTTTTTAATGTTTCACCGTCAAGCAGCTGCAAATTGATTATTTTGAACGCTCAGGTCTTTATTTATTTTAAAATTCAATGGAGTTACCAGGTAAAGGATAATTTGGGAATGAGAAGTACACCATTATGTGACGCATTTTACAACACAGCCTGGAAAAATCAAATAATGGCATTTGATTGGTAGGTTGAGCTCCGTAATTTAGTATTTGAAGTTATTTTTGGATGTAACTGAACCTTTGAGAAATATTGACAGGAGCTCTGCTTAAAATGACATTACTTGCCTATTTTGGTCCGAATTTGTACAGTACAAGATATTTGTCCTTGTTCGTAGCTCTTATTTCAACAGGATTTTTTATTACAAATTTGATCAACGAAGAATTTTACGATGATGGAAAGTGGAAGCTTTGTTTCTTCTATATGAGGAAATTATAACTATTCTTATTTCAACAGGATTTTTTATTACAAATTTGATCAACGAAGAATTTTACGATGATGGAAAGTGGAAGCTTTGTTTCTTCTATATGAGGAAATTATAACTATTAATAATAACTAATTATATTTTTAATCTTCGGCGCACAATTAGCAGGGTGTTTTGTGCGCGAACAATCATTACGATTGCGTCTCTTATTGCTTAACGCCAATGAAAAATATTCCCTGAAGCTTGCAATAAGGGATAAGTTTATGAAACAAAGAAAAAAGAGTTTATCTAACAATAAGACATTGTTGAAAAACAACGCTGAGCTATTTCGGTGTTTCAGCAGGTACACGGAAAAATTATATTGCTGATTTAACAATTTTGTTGTTAAAAAAGTGACCGAAACGTTCAATGCAGATTTTACAAACACCTCCGCGGTTAAATTAGCTTCCCACTATTATAAAATGTACATTTGAAACATGTCGGACAAATTGTTTAACAATTTAATTGTTAAATCAGCAATCTATTTTTTTTCCGTGTACACGTTTTTGAAAAAGCCTTTCACGGATAGCTCTCATCTGGTTAAAAACACCCATTAGATGTAGTAAGTTGCACGTCTTTGATTTTTCGACAGGCCGATGACACCTCAGGCAAAGACCAGGACTTAAAAGGCAGGGACCCAGAGGATGGTGGAGAGGAAGAGGGAGGCGGGAAGACGGACGATGAGGAGGATCCAGATGGAAAAGGGGCAAAAGGAGACGAGGAAGGTGAGGGAAGCGGAGAGGAGGAAGGCTCACCAGAGGAGGAAGGAGACGACGAGAAAGATCCAGACGTGCCGGTAAGTTCTTCCTTTCTCCTCGTTCTTTCTGCTGTCGAAGGTGAAAAGGGAACAAGCGTGGCCGGCAATGCAGGAACAGAGCCGAACCCAGCGAATTGGCAACATCGGATTTCCTCCATTTAAACCTACTCTGAATAATCGATTCTTGTCGGAGTACCTGACCCCTCTAAGGATCGATACATGTCCATAGGATTAAAAGGGGAAAAACAATGTTGCCAATTGCTGGATCCGCCAATAAAAGATCTTTGTGTACGAAAGATAATTTTTTCAAGTAGGGTTGAGAAACCAGAATTTGAGCTTTCTATGAAAAATACTCTCTACAGTCCTAAAAAGTCAGTTTCCTGCTATTCAGTTAATACGTGCATCAATTCGTCGTCTTCCTAGCATAAGGGCGTAAACTACACTTTGAGATGAACCCTGTTGTCCATATAATGATTTCCCGGGCCCATCTCTAGGTGTAGTTCCGCTCTTATGTGAGCAAAGCGACGAATTGAAAAAGTAATGTTCCTTTACAATCCGAAAATTTCGAATCATAATTTAGCAAATTATAATTTTAGATAAACACTCCCGAAAATACCAGATTTTGAGCTGCAAACTTCAACCCAAAATGGACAGCTAGTCAAAAATTAAATATAAGCATAATGTTTTCAAACCAACATTTCATGTGAAACACAATTTAAGCAAAGAAAATTACTGGAACCAACTCCTAGTTAAGCTATAACCCTTTTAATCGACATTTTAATCGACGTGAAATTTTGATTATAAAACATGTATCCATGGATGCTTCAGTTTGCCTATTGTCTAGTCGTCCATGCTTTATGCGTCTGTGCTTTTAGATGCATTTTTCTAATGACATTGTTTTGTTTTCATTCCAGCTTGTTGTGCCTCCTAAAATACCGGTGAGTATCCTTTTATTTTCTCGTTAAACTTCTCTGATTACCTTTTTATATGAACATATAGTCCATGATTTTGGAGAGACGGTTTTTTCCTGGTTTGAATCCACAAGTGGCACGGGTGTCGCTATTTTCTGAGGGCATTTAAATAGACATTTCCTCTTCACAATTAATGAGGAAAGTTTCTCTATTTTTCAAGAATGCGCTAATCTAGGCTATGAACATTTGCATTTGCATTTCTAAAGCTGTTCCGCCGTGCAGCGCAAAAACGCCGTAAAAGTTATTTTACATTTTTTAGGAAACAATGGATCAAGCAGAAAAACTTGTGTACCTTGCGACAATATTTTTACAGAATTCTTTTGCAAATCATGTACATAACTTAACTTGAAAATTTGAGGTGCATGGATAAAACAGTTTTTATTTCATAAAGTGTTAAGTTCCAAAAAACGAGGGAAAATCTTGATGGATTTACGGTGTTCTTGCCTAGCACGGCAGTGTTATACCTGCGATAAAACTCTCGGCCAGAAACGCCGAACACGTTCCATTCACTAACCCCTTTCATAATGATTTCCCATAATTGAACGTATTTCTATCAAACAGATTTATGTGAAGGTGAGAAACATGAGGTGTGCTCGTCAGTTTTCTGGCCGTAAGAGTGAATGAGAATAATAAAGCGCCAGTGACGTCAACGGAGATGGATGCCGTCGTGCAGCTCGCCTCGTTTGTCATTAACTCATGAGCCCTGTCCACAACGCTCTCGTGCCATGCCCGCGGCACATATATCCCGCATTCATTTGGCACATAGTTCTGTTTGCTGAATTCAAAATCCCGCTTTTCCAATTCGTCAAAAGGAATCATGCCCACTTTTACATTGTTTCTCATGCAGCTTTCTAGAGCACACCCCATGTACATAGCTCTCACCTGCACATAGTTCTGTTTAATAGAAATACGTCCAATTGAATAATTTGATTCCATTACTCTCCAGTTCGGTTCATTTTTTTGCAAGCCTCACCAAATCATACAGCTCATCTCTATCAATCGATGGCTTTATGTGATTTCTTTCATATGTTCCAGCGCCACAAACCGAAGCGGGTGAACGTTCCACTTCGCTTGTTCTTGATGAACGTTCAGAGGTACGGTTACAAGGCCGCCAAATACCCGTACGCCTCGCCGTGGCCGAACATGTACGGCAAGTACGGACGAACGCGTGCAAAGAAAAGAGGAGGCCGGAGACGAAGCAGACAGCGACAGCGCGCGCGCGGCTATGGTTACGGTTATGGTGGAAAATAGGAGGCATCGCCATGTAATCTATAAGTAGTATCTGGCTGCGATCTTAAGGATTAGAGTCTCAAATTTGCAAATATGCAATAATTCAGAAGGTAACCTTGTGGTTGAGGAATAGGGACTGTGAGAAAACTTGAAATATTTTGAGAGAAAATTTCAAAACTTAAGTTCTGAGAAAAAATTCAAATGTAGAGGAAAACCAAAGCCTGCCATCCAACAAATATGGGCTCAAAGAGATGAATCGGCCAAAAAACCGATCTGTCTTTGGTTCTGGTACTTACATCAGATACTATGAAAAATTACTTCATTATTTGCACTTCCGTGCTGAAGTGCAAAAAGTGTTAATTATACATAAATTATAAGTACACTTTAACTTTTTACAATGAACTTTATAGCTTTCTAACAAAAGGTTAAAACTATATTCAAGTAAAAATCACCGAGGACAAAAGAACATTGATTACTACGCCCTCTGGTACGCCTGCATTTTCTTTGTTCTTTTTAATAAGTAGATATTTTCAAATGCCGTACCGAGGTCATCTGCTGGATGTAAATACAAATTACTTGATAATTAAATATCATTCAGGTAAGAAGGGTTTAAAAATATTTACATTTTTAAAAGTCATTTATTAGAAAGAAGAGACACATTGAAGTACATTGATATTTGTAAGAGTGTTTGAGCAGATAACATAGATTCAGAAGCAGAGCTACAGTTTTAAAGAAAAGTCCAGAACAAGCTTATCCTTTTTGTTTCGTCAGTCTCCAAAGTTTTTTTGGGAGAAAAAAAATTAGCCGCAGGCGAGTATGCGGATACTGAAGATCTAAATGCAGTATTTCAAAATGCTGTGATCATAAGATGCTTTGTTTCAATTGCGTGAGATGGCGTCTGCAGCATCCTAACAGAGCATGGATCCAGCCTTTGCCATCTTAACAGTTTTTCTTCAAAAATTAGTAACAAATATTTTCTAAATCGATGACTCGTGTGCTCCAAACACAACTTATTTGACCTCAACTTCAAAAATTTTGAGGGATTTTAATAATTATGTATGATTTTTTATATATGTTTCAAAAAAATGTGATTAAAGTTATTTGTTTTCCTTTTTATACGTTCAAAGAACCGACGTGATAATGTCTCGTTCATGAAATTCATATCCCAAATTTTTATGAAAATAATGAAATTTATGTCCGATATTTTGAGTATTAATAGGGTTGGAATTTTATAAAAGTCACCCTAAGTTGTGCTCTGGACTACACGTACACCAATATCAACCGATTCAAGGGAACGTTCCTTTAAACGGAATTCAATACACTGAGAAAATTAGAAAATCACAAGGCTCGTAATACTCTTTAATGTATTTTCCAATGTAAATACCAACACGGTTGTTTTCTCTTCTCATTTATAAAAGTGTTATGAAATTATTAAATCCCAGCATTTTCAAATACTCCTGACTATATCACTTTTTCTGAACATTCACATTCAATTTCGAGTACACTCCAAAGGCAGACGCTTGCATCCTATGAGATAGTTGTACTTAATAACAAAATAGATCTCTCATCATCCGTTACACAATAGAGTTACCGATGTAATGTAATATATCAGCACTCGCTTCAACTAGAAAAAGTGTAAAACATTGACTAGCATATATCTACAAGGGCTCGGCCATTTTTGAGCCGACTAATTAACAAAATCCATCACTACCTTATCTCTGTTTCCGGGCTCAAAAAAGTGGGTTGAGTAAATACTACCTATTTCCGTAAAAAAATAATCTATGAAAGTACAGTTTCGGTAAAGTCAACCGCATTGAAAAGAAAAGAGGTATAATTGATTGAAACAATTGAAACATCCTGATGAATTTAAAAACAAATCCTCCCTATTCGAAGGTGATAGGTTTTATAATATAAGAGAGAAAAAGGATGGTGAAAGAGAGGGGGTAGAGAGAGAGGAAGGGAGGCAGTTAAAAAAGAAAGAAAAAAAGAGATAAAATTGATAGGTACAAGAAAAGCTTATAATTCTGAGGGAGTCAAGAGTGAATATCCGTAATTCATTTGGCTTCTTTCCACGTAATTTAGCATAACCATATGATAAAAATCGAAACTTTTATCAACTTTCCTCTATCGCGAATTAATCAAAACGCTCTTTCATCAGTAAGAACTTCAAAATCAATAAAGCACTCATGAGCAAAGATTTACGGGGGTATTCTGATCAGATGAGCTTCGAATTAAATACCTGAAGATCCATACAAACGTGTAATTAATTATTCTAATGAAAAGCTATACAGGAAATAGAAAAATTGCAAATAGAAAGCAGCAGTGAGGTAACTAACACTAAGGCATAGTAACGAGACACTAGAAACGAGCATAACTACTCTTACCTCTCAGAAATAAGCATGGCATGATTCTGAATTTTAGGTACTCATTAGAAGCAAAGTAAGAAAAGGTATTTTTTGTCACTTTATTTTTTTTTTTTGACATGCTTTAATAAACTAATAAAGGGTGCTACTGTTTTTAACTGTTTGGTCAAAGATGTAGTGACTAAAAAGTTTGAGCAAGAAAATTTTGAAGTACATTTTTTATATTCAACGTAAAATATGTGGAAACCTTAAAAGTTCTCTGCGTATTATTCAAATAGATTTACACATGTCGATAGTTAAAGTATGAAATCACGTACCTTCCGTTTGCGACGTTGTATACTTCCAGTCATACTTTATTTTTTCCTCGGAAAACTAATCAATGTATTTTTTTGTAAAACTCCCTTATTTTTCCTTCTGTGTTAGTAGAATATTCTGCATGAATTTTGAGCTATAAGGTTGAATTGTTCCTCTCCGAAAAAATAAATCAGGAGCGAAGATTTTGAAACGCCGTAAAAAGGACAATTTTCTCCTGAGGTATATATAACATGAATATTTGCACACTTCATAAGTTACAAAATTGTACTTCAAAACGACGGATAATATGTATAAGAAGATCGCAGAGAAGGAATATATTTCTTTGAATAAAAAAGAGGAATAAAAAGTAATGATGAAAACAGGGAAAGAAACAACTGGACCTGAAATCCTAATATGCTGCCTTCTGCTAATTCTAAGAGGTATGAGATGAGGGCCCTAATAATAAGTGGAAGATCTTTATAAGACATTTAATGATACATTTTGAAGTAAGATAAATCAAGGAGTCCTGATTTTATCTTCAAAAAAATAAAACAATTTTAAGGAGTATCAGAATGAAAGTATATGTTCGTAAAGTTTGAAAAATTTTGACACACAGGTGCCAGTTAAGAAAAAGTAAAGTACGTAGCAGCTTTGAGGAATGATTTGTCCATATTTTTTTTGGTAGATACACGAGAATCCACCCTGCTAAAAGTGAGACTGATTTTTGCAATATTCCAATGATTGCTCACGAATCTTTGACCAAATAAAGCTGATCAAAAGAGGGTGAAGGCTCATAGTTTGATGGATTCGGAATTTGAACCACATTTGATTTTAATATCGAGGGTTAAAAAGAAAATATCAGAGATTTCATTCAGAGTGCTGATTATATATTTGAGCTTTATGCGTAATTGACATTTTTCTTATAAAAAAGTAACTAGATAAGTATACAAGTAGGGAAAAAGCAATGTTCACAAGTGCGTTTTCCGAGCAGAAAAGCCCGGAAAACTGGAGCAGGTCCACTTTTTGTGGCTAAAGGTATCATATTTTTTAGGAAAAAATGAAAGAAATTGACAGCACTCTCAACGGTTCATTTTCCAAACTGGAATACGAAGATAGAAAAATTATAATGTAAGTAAGTTCATGAGCAATAACCATGAAAGATCTGCCTGACATAATAATTGCGAAAATACACAGATACATTTCAGAATTGGATTACATTTTGCAATAAGGAACCACTATTTCCGGCTCATTTTAGAAACAGCATATGTGCCATCGATTTTCTCATTCAGATACGTGCTTTTATGGAAGAGCCAGAAATAGTGGTTCCTTATTGCAAAATGTAATCCAATTCTAAGACGGAACTAAGGGGAGCCTACACCCACCCCCTCCCCCCTCATGCAGAATTGCACTCACCCTCCTTTGAAAAATGCCAAGAATTGCGCGAATTGTGCCTTCCTGACACCCTTTAATGAGGTGTTCCTTTGTGCGCCCCCCTCCACCCCCAAAAACTGCCTAGGTTCCTGCTTTAAATATTTTCTCATACATAAGTGAAAGCATTTCTGTTTTTTAACTTATTTTTTGAAGGTTAGTACGTTGAATGAGTAAACTTTAACAAACGAAAAAGAACAACAAAGAAAACACTGGAGACATCGTTGCCTCATGCACATAAAAAGCTGCTAAACATAAACACTTACAAAAACGTTTTCAGTTATCATAACAGTTTTGTAATTTATAATCACATTCATTTGATCACATAATAGTAAAGCTGTGGAATTTCTAATCAATTCAACTGCATATGACCAACTAAAGCGATTCAAATATGTCAATCAGCGATCAGCACAATTTTCAAAGAGTAAAAATCGCTGATATAGATGACAGCCACGATCATGTATCGTCTGTAAATCACATAAAAATGATTATCTATGAAGGCAAGCTCAGCAAATTTTCGTTTATTCAAGAGTGGAAATGTGCATAGAAAGTTCCCATACATAAATTAGCGGTGCCAATAATACTGGAACAAACTTTGCCTATTTAAAATATCAACTGAAAAACTCGATTTGGACTTATTGAAATCTGCATTTTCAGCCGAAATTCAAAAATATTCTACGTTTTTTGAAATGTTCAAAATTCTTTAAACAAGTAGATTTGTCATTTTTTTCCTTTTTATTTTAATTTGTTTATCTATTATGTTGATTTTCTTATTCAGTGTGTGTATTTACTTTGATCTTCTTTAAGGAAGAGGGAACAACCGATCTCAGAAGTTCTATAATTTTCTTTAAATCCCTTTCAACGTATACTAGATCTAACATTCAAGCAGCTTTGAATTTAAGTTCAATCATTACAAAAAATAAATAAATCTTATGGTTTCTCGTAGTCTTAGTATTCCAAGTAGCATGAAATCTGAACTTTGGTAGATTTCTCTTTGATTAAACAAAACCATTATGAGGGCATGGTGAACGACTTACTTAAACAGTGAGGTCTCAACTACTGCGAGCTATTGTCTGAATTATTGTCATTTTAATTAGCTACGGAAGACCAACACTAGAATATGAGATCAATGTTTCATTATTGTCTTAGTGATATATTTGTGAATAGAAATAAACACTCCTAGAAAAGGATACAAAAATATTGACATTTTCGCATTTACACTTTTCACTCGAAGTAACATTTCTGAAAAGCTTTAGAAGATAAAAAAAAGAAAAAAATACATCAGATATACTATTAATCTTTACATTGATCCATTTTATACTAAAATTTGAGGTATATTTGTACAAAAGATAGATGTATAGCCGAAATTTTCAAAATACTCTGAGCTAATTAAAAAATAAACAAGCACGATTTTCAAATTGGATGCGTGTAAGTGTTTCCCGCATGTTATGATTACACATCAAATAAGGGACTTACATTTTCCCAATTTTATCTTATTCAAACATTAAAATACCATAATTTCAAATCTGCTCAACCTTAAAACAAATACAATCACAGATCACTTGAGTTTTATTTACAAAGTTCATTATTTACCCTAACCAAATGCAGAGGTGTATAAATAGTTCTGAGTGGGTTTCGCTACGTATAATTCCGAAGGAGTTAAAAGAGAAATCAATTGTCAGAACTACGAATATTTTTCCAAATAAAAATATACTCCTTTGCTTTTAGGTTTCTGCCTTGCCCGCAAGAGTTCAGAAAAGCAAAGTTTTGATGAGGTCTTGCTTTAATGCAAGACAACTGTCGAAATTTTGTTGCACTCACATTAAATAAAACTTCTACAGTTCAATTTATCAACATAATTTTAAAGAAACGATTTTTGAAATTACTCATCTAGAGAGGAGAAATGCAACTTACTAATAAACAAGATGGATAAAGGTAATATTTAGCGCGAAAATTATCACAGAATTTTCAAGGGGGTATAAACATGATTGTTGTCTATTAAATAGCAAGAACATTTTTTTAATTTCAACAGAGGGTCGCAAAATGACAAGAGGATTAGGTCACTGGAAATTTTATGTACAAACATATGTAATCCACGCTTGCCTTGCAAGCTCGAGAAAATACAGCAAAATGGGAAAGAAAAGATGGGGGATGAGTCGAGTAAAGCAAAAACATATTTTAACGATGACGTATTTACCTTCCACTGGTATTTTTTCCGTGAAGATGGTTGGTATGAAGAAAAGAAAGAAAAGAGTAAGAGCGCCTTCAATTTTCCCGTATGCAACGTGGACATCCAATAATCAAGAATAGTTGCTTCCAAACACCGTCAAGCCTGCGCAACTATCGCGTGACCCTCAAACTTGCAACGTAATAATCCTGCATTATTTTAATTGATGAGGTCTTCAAGCTGTTGATGTTTGCAAAATATCCGCTCATCTTAAATCCCCTGTCAGTTGTGAAAGACTCGGAGCGCGCAGGCAAGTTTTTTCAGGAGAGCCCATTTTATCAAGTAGAGTCAAGAAATTGGCATGGAAGTAATCGATGGAAAACAATTCATAGTGTCCCACAGTGAAAGATTGCAAGCGGTTTTGTTCATTTTTTATGACCACCATCGAGGGGACTACATTGCACCACGATGGCACTTTTAAACTACGATAATTGCAGATTAAAACTCTCGGTACTTTTTTCGTAAAATTACGTTCCTAAAATAGGAAACTTCAAAACAACCGTATTACTGGTTTGATTTGATATTTTATGGCATTGCCTGTGTCCAAATATTCGTTAAATACCCCTTCGTAAGTATTTTCCCGTTAGCCCGCAGCCAACCGATGACACAAACAGCAACGTCTGCGTCCGAGTGATTTTCATCTCCTCCTAGAGTTAAAACAGTATCTCGGAGGCAAGCGGGTAAGCAGTGATGTTTAGAAATGTATTCTTTGGTGCTAAAAGATTAAATCGTTTTTACTTTTTCACAGACCTGCACTTACGTGTTTTCATAAACCCTACTGCGTGGTAAAAGTGGGCACTTGTGCACATGAGGTTGGTGTGGAAAATTTGTCATAAGTTCCCACAACATGTATATTTTAGAACTCATAGCTTGTTAGAAAGCTAAGGATATGGTCGTTCTAAGGCCGGTCTGGGTTTTCTTTCTAACAGCAATAGTTTTAGAGATATTAAATGGGTAAACTTACGTAAGAATCCACCCTTTTAATCGCGAGACAAGTTGTGACGTGCCGAGTCAAAAACTCCCTGAATACGATCAAAATGCGCTGACTTATCTTAGAGACTCAGGTCTTTGGAACGGTCTTAAAAATTACAATCTTCTCGACTCTTTCAGTAATGAAAATATTTTTCTTCAGTATGGATGGTCATAGGTCCCAAAAAAATATCACCCAGAACTTCGAGCACAATGTGCGTACCCGAGAGGAGCCCCGAGGATACCTAATCGCCAATAATTAAGGTGTTTACGGTAAAAGAGCGTATGAGACTTCCAATGATGCTGAAATTGTGCAAGGTAGTTCTCTAGCTGTAAGTAACTCCGACAGTTCTGCTATGAGTTTTTCCCTGAATCTGCTCCGAGCTTTTCCTCGCTTTTGTACGGAAGTGAGTAGACTGTGAATGGATTTCATCTGCCACGGAAAAAAAAAGCACGAGGTTGTTGGATGATATGGACACATCCAATTAATCGTGGTAGAACCCCAATTAATTATGGTAGCACCCCAATAAATTAGGTAACTAACCCAAATCTTGCGGTACTACCTTAACTTGAGTTGCGGTACTAATAAAATTAATTAGAAATGTCTATACCTATCACCCAACAAATTGGGGTAGTACCACAATTTTAGGGGATAACCGCTGACACTTTATTTTCCGTGGCCGCAAACGTTCTAAAAAATTGCACAATCTCAACAACATTGCAAGCCTTATACGCCATTTTACCTTCTACCGAAAAATGTCTCAAATGTGGATTTGCTGGCTAGCGAGGACTGTAGGATGGGCTCCCGGTGGACTGCGCTATATGTGAGCCCGCGATGAGCCCGGAAGATTTCTCGACGCGTATCGTGGGCTGCGCGGGTGGAAGTGGGCTCCTGGTGGTCTGTCCGAGAAGGTCGCGGGAGTCCGGCTGAGGGTAAGGGTAGTCGTCGAGGAAATGTTGGAGTTCGTGGTCGTGGGACGGGATGCTCTCGCGGAGTTGTTTGACCCGTCAGAGCCGCCTCTCGAGCTCGTCGTAGCGGTGCATCTGATTCAGGATCCAGTCCACGTAGCGGGGGACGTAGGCGTAGACGCCCGGCAGGTGCGGGTGGGCGCACTTGATCCCCCAACTCACGATCCCGCCCACGAACCACCGCTCCTGCTGCTCCACCTCCATCTTGCACAACAGCGGGCCCCCGGAATCCCCCTACAATAGAGCAAACCAAAAGAACGCCTTTAGTAAATATGACATTTCGACGGTGTAAGTCGGCAATCACATATCGGTATGTCTGCACTGCATGTCGACGGCATAAGTCCGCAATCACATATCTCGTTTGCGGTGTCCGAAAATCTTCGCCTCTATGTTATTTTTTTAAAAAGAACAAATTGACATCATTCCCTGAAGTTTTTGCAAAATTTTCTTTGCATAGAGAAGAAAATCACGGCAGTTTTAAAAAATTGCTGTTCAGTAGTTTTCCGTTTAAAAAATAAAGTATGGCAGGAAGCGCCGGTTGGCGCAGAACGCATACCAGCGCCTACAAGAGTGCAGGAATACTTCACGCATTGCACCTAACACAGTACACAGTTCAATCGCTTGTCGGTGTGGAACGCATGTCGACGGCGAAAGTCCGTAATCAAATATCTCGTTTGCGGTGTCTGAAAATCTCCGCCTCTATGTTATTCTTTTTAAGGAGAAAAAATTGACATCATTCCTTAAAGTTTATGCAGAATTTTCTTCGTACGTATGTACAAAGCCGTTTTTATAGCGCTCTCTGGCGCACTCTGCAACTCCTAGCCACCAAAGCCCTTCAGAGAGTTTGCAAGCCCTTATTTTTTCTAAAAACCCCTGTCACCACCCGTTTAATGGGCACCCCCTTCGTCTCCTCCTAGGAGGAACCCAATCAAGCAACTTCTTTGGCAGTTTTCGTACAGAGAAAAAAATCACGGCAGTTTTAAAGAATTGTCGTTGAGTAGTTTTCCGTTTACAAAATAAAGTATGACAGGAAGTCTGCAACGTGACAAACTGAGTTATGTGATTGGCGGCTTACACCGTCGATTTGAAATGAGGTTAGGAGGTCGTTAAAAATAAATCATACACTGTTATAAACCAATGATTCACTCTAAGCGAATGACCAGCGCCAAAAATAAGCTCAGCGCGTTATGCATATATTCTTATGGGTCTCAGGGCTCATGTCTTAACGCACGTAATTATGTTTGGCAGAAATACATCCACTTGTAGGGCACGGCAAAGCACGCTGACCGCACTGCAATGCGTGAAGTATTCCTACAGTCTTGTAGGCGCTATACGTTTCGCGTCGACCGCTGCTGTACGCACTATGTTTGACGCAATGCGTGAGGTATTCATGCAGTCTTGTAGGCGCTAATATATGTTTCATGCCGACCGCCGCGCCCAGGGCTACTCCTTTTCATCTCAAGTCCTCGTCATCATTCCTCTCTGCGCCGCGCCATTACAGACCAAAGTGCGTGTTTGGTTTCTATTTTAACTCGACTAATTAAAGGTGCTGTCTCTTGTATCACCGATAGACGACAAAATTAGAAATGACTATACTCTCAGGAAATGAGAGATTTTGTCGCCTCATCTCGTTTGTATTTTTTCTTTTTTTTCTGAATCCGATTTTTTTATAGGTACCTACATTTAAAAAAAAAAAAAAATCAAAATTTGCCGCCCCTTAATTTGCCGCCATGGGCCGCGGCACAATCATGTAGCCTCCCCCTAAATCCGGCCCTGCAAGTATGTACTCTTATTTTCCTCTCAACTCTCAGAGGTCGTAACTTTCAAGTGGCTAGCGTATTGGACTGCTATCGATGTATTGGAAGTTCGATCTTACAGGCTGGCGTCAAATTTTCAACGAGGTCGCTTTTCAACACAATGATTTGGAAGACTAGACACAGGGGAAAACTAACAAAACAAATTAACACTTGACATTAACTTCAGACATCCAACAGGTTTTTGTTACTTTTTCTTACTGTTTACAGGCATGTGCAAAGGGTACCAGATGATAGGTTGCCTAAGAAGGTTCTAATGGGTCCCCCCTGGCAGAACACGAGGAGAACGCCCTGCCAAATCGTGGAAACTTGCTGATTCTAGTAACCGAGGTTATCTTCTCCGTATGAGGTTTAAACGCTCCATTGACCGATTCATAGACAATCTTTTCCACTTACCTGGCAAGCGTCTTTCCCTCCTTCAGGATAGCCAGCGCAGATCATCCCCTTCGTGACATTGATGTCCCTGTGTTCCAACCAGTTGTTGCAAAGATCTCTGTTCAATACAGGCACTTGGACCTCGTATACTGCTGCTTCATATCCTGAGGCTGTTACAACAATAGGATGATGTGTTAGAACTCATCAAACGGACAAGACAGGGTGTTTTTTGAGTCGACGATTCGGGTTGTTTTATTTATTCGAATTGTTTTCGCTCTGGAATGTCCAATATTTGTTGTTATAGCTCTTTATTTGACCTAAGAAGATTTTGAATCCTCGGCACGGGACATTTTGGGAGACGTGATTCGAGCGATTAGGATCAAAATGATTATTAATATGTCACAGACAATTCTCTCTAAATTCTTATTAAACTTGGGCAGTGCTTCAGCTGTAAAGTTAGGAAGTGACATTTTTCTTCTTCTTTTTGGTACAATGAAGTTTTTCTAGCAATTGGAGCTAAATGTGTGACACTTCTTTCGACATTGAATGAAGTTTTGGATCAACTCTCTTGCTAAGTGTTCATATTTCCATCCTTAATTTTGTGGTTTCAAGAACAACATTCCCTTTTCTTTCCTTTTTTTTGTGTGGAAGATCTCATTTCAAACGCCAGGAATGGGTAATTACTCTGTTAAAAACGTTACTCTGTTAATTACTCTGTTATATTACGAAAAAACATTTGAGATTAAATATTGTGAGCTCGGGTAAGAAAGAGAGAAGACTGGCTTAATGTTTCTTTTTGCGCAAGTAAAATTAAAAACACAAATTTTTTTACAATAATCAAATTGTGCATAAATGCGAAAAACTAGTGCGTGAGTGCAAAATGGTGAGTGAGTGCAAAATTACATGTGAATTACATCAGAGTGTGCAAAATAACATGTAAATTACGTTAGAGGTTGCGAAAGGCTCGGCGGCAAAATGTGCTTCATAAGACAAATGACATTTTTTGCATGCTGTCAACACTGGGATCCATCCTTATAAATGTTAGTGAGACCATCAGTTTTATCAAGGCAGGCCGACTCACGTGGAATCGATTACTTTTGCTCATTACTTTTAAGGAGAAACAGTGTTTTTTAACTAGCAAGAAATGCCACTGAAAAGAGGCGCGAATTCAATCCGAGCATGATAAACTATGTTCTCGTGTTTTTTATTTATCTCGTTGAAGTATGCAACTGTGGCTAGACATAATCGGAGATCTAATAATGATGTTTGAGATTCAGCCTGCTTTAACTCTCGACTAAAAACGAGTAACATATACAGAAGTAAACGTTCCTTGGATTTTTTAAACGTTTTATAGCATTTTAATTCTGGTAATATTATAATGAATTTTTTTGTAGGCAAGAATGACTAAAAAAGTCTTAAAAGGGAATTTTTTTTATAAAAATCTGCAGCCGATTATAACCTATTTTAAATTAAAATATTATCACAATAGGTACACTTTTTCAGGGGTAAAAAAATCAATAACAATTATCTCCTAGCAGCATATTTTTAAATCTGTGATCAGGCATTGTGATCCAGTACTAGTATGATTGAAAACATCATGCTCGGAATAAGTTCGCGTATGAAAAAGGAATAGTGTGGGAGTGGGGGAGTGCATAAAGTTGGAATAATAAGTTCAAAATTAGCAAAGCCGTGAGCTGTGCTTCATGTGCTGAAAAGCCATCTACGGTGCATCAAGATAAGATTGGAAACGGAAATGAAAGAAGGACAACTTAAACAGCGGCAGCCGATTTAAATTGAAAAATCAAAACTTTTGGAGTCTGAATATTACCAGAACTGGCTTGTAGACCCATTGAAAATAGAGTGTTAGCTGCTTCCGATTTGAGTAACTGCCAATGGAAAATTTGGATTACTAATTTAAAACGGAAAACCGACATTATCAAAATTGTAGAAACCGCGAACTCGATATTCCGTTCTTAATAATTGTAAATGGGCGGATAACTAAAGTGAATTTACCACAGACGAGGGTATCACCCGGACCACCCTGTAATACCATTCCCCTCCTAAAAGTTTCATTGTGTTCATCGATCCCTAGATCCTCTTAGTTTTTTATGTTTTTTTTTTAAAAAATACGCTTCTATTTATCTTTTGATGTTCGTCGGTTTTGTGACCTATAAGAAGAAGCGCTATTAGACAATTTCAATGTTGCATTCGATCAAGACTTGAGAAAAAATCATTTAGGTAGGCACTTCTGAGTTGAGCCTTTTTGTCGCGTAAAAGCGTAGAAAAGTCAGTTTTAATTTCACGACTAGATTGAGGTTGAAGGCCGACTTTAAATAATATTTTCCATATTCTTGCATGCGTCCGTATCGGCTTTTTTAAAACACCAAACTGAAAATATATTTCTTTATTTCATTTTTTAAAAAAAGAATGTCGTTTTCTTAAGTCCTTTCACCAGTGCCGATTAATACTAGGTAGCTCATAAAAGATCAATTAAAAAGATGACCACTGAGCATGTACCTCAAGTATTCAAGGTGGTTTTCAAATGCGCTGAAAAACAAAGGAGACAAATTCGGGATCGTGAATACTCGTGAGTGAGAAATGGTGATGTATTTTGATTTAAAATTGACTGATTTATGCAGTGAACATATGTCCTAGACGAACACTTCTTTGTTAGAGGTCAACAAGAGCTCAAACTTTTCATCGATAAATACCACCAATTAAACTATAGACCTGAAAGGTGAAAAAAGTTATTTATTCTTAACTTGAAACTAAATAGTAAGGTAGTTACCGTGAGAATCGTCGGTTTTTCCCCAGCCAATCACGGTGCACATTGTCCCTGGCGCGAGTTCATAGTTAGGAGGAGGAAGACAAACAGGAACTAGATGCTCGTGAAACTCAACTTTTGTCTTGAGCTGAAATTAAAATTAAAAATTTAGAGCCGTGGCACCTTGCAATGTTTTATTGTTAGACTGAAACTTGTTACTAGATGTCAAATTATCGCAATTGTAGCGACGGAGAAATTGTACTTCATTTGAAGATTAGGAAATGCTGTTTCTGGCTCCTTTTAGAGACAACATAATATCATGTACCATGATTTTCCTTTGGGGATAAGCGCTTTTATGGATGAATCAGAAATAATATTGCCTCATTTTGAAATGAATTAATTTGCTTTTTCGGGTCTTTGCCCATATTCATTTTCCTTTAGGCCTCTCTTTCTCTGTGTCATGCTTTCACAATACTTAAATCACGTGGATCCATACTAAATCAGTTCATGTTTCTCCTGAACTTTAATTTTGTTACAAGAAATCTAGTGAATACATATTACATATCCTTCATATTTTTTACTAAAATGATTCGGATACCCTATATTGGGCATTCTAGATAAATAAAAATGAAGCATATTCCACATCAGATCTTCCAGTAATACAACGTAATTAGGGTGATCTCAGGATAACAGGAATAGTCGTGTCATCATGGGTTGTAAACTCCATAGGGCAAAACGAGTGAAAGCTGAGGTGATAAATCGAAAAGAATGGTGACCCTGAACTTGCCTATGCGAAAACAAGTTGAAGTGTTTTTGTATTAAAATTTGACTTGTATTAACGTATTAAAGTATATTTTTTATACCTGAAAGAGCGCAACATCATTATCATGAGCAACTCCCACGTTGTACTGGGGGTGTGATATGACCCTATGCACCTTCATCTTCTGACCCATGTATGAATGAGCGTCTCTGCGGGTGATGCCAAGTTGTATTGTCCAGCCAGTTGGGTCACCCGATGAGAAGCTATCAAAAAACAGTCCATCAGTTAGAATAACTTATTTTTCATTTAGTGAGCATTGGCTGCTACAGCCTCTTCGTCGTATATCCTCTTAAAATATAGCCGAGTACTGTCCCCTCTCCTTTCCTTGCTGTTTTTTCGTGGTATTATGGCTTTACCTATATAACCGAATAGACCCGTCGTAAATTTAAACTGAGCTTTAAAACAGGTTTCTACCCAAAATAATGATGATAGAATAGATCAATAATGCATCAAAATAAAAGTTGCCAGAATACCAAACGGATTCGGAAAATTTTACTGAGTTATTTCGGAATTTAGGTAGGTCCATCTTTTTTATTCCTTAATGTGATGTATTTCTCGCGAAGTGGCGAGAGAGCGTCATCCAAATAATTTTTTAAATGAATTATTCCAACTACTACTACTACTACTACTACTACTACTACTACTACTACTACTACTACTACTACTACTACTACTACCACCACCACTAAGTCGCTCTTATACTGCTTCTGTGCGCTCAGCGACACCCAACCGCGACTGATAGCGATCCTGCCAGAGCTCCTCCGGAAGATCAATTATATCAGTATCAGGCAGATCAGAATTATTCCAACTAACTTTATTAAATTAATATTAAAATTTAAAGTCTAAAAAATAATTGACTTACTTCCCGACACAATGCGAGGCGGTGAGGACCCACTGGTCAGAGATAAGGACTCCAGCACAGTAAAATATCTGTTCCGGGCCTCCTAGCAAAGCGGCGAGAAAGGGCCAGTCTCCAGGAGTAGATTCTACGCCTCCTATAATTCTCGGCAGAGGGCGCTCCATGGGGTGTTTACGGAGACCACAAACTAAACAGAAGAAGGAACTTCAGTCATGGATCAATCACGCTTGCCTGCGTGGCGCTCTGATATTTGCTGCTCATGGATTAGCAATGAGAAACATTAAGGTCCCTCTAAAAGCCATTACACATATATGCAATATTAAAGAAACACTTAGTCCTCACAAAAAACAGCACGTGAGACCCCCTCCCCCTCCCTATGACATGAACCATTCAACCATGTCATCTAGTCTTGATGTTCATCAACAGTCTTTTAAGAAATTAATTTATGACTTGTTCTATAGCTGTACCACTAGCTCTAAAGACTAAATAAACAAAACAATTGAAAAACAAAAAAAAAAAAAAAAAACATGGCTTCATCAGTTCTCGCAGCAAATGATTTGGCAGAATGGAATGGGTTTCTGAACAGGGTTTGGATTAAATCATTAAGTAACCTGTTTTCTTTTCAAAATTTTACTAGGAAAACGAATTACACAAAAAGATATTTTTAAGGAGACTTCTATACAAGATATAGTGCTCACAATTACCGTTGATTAAATGACAAAAATATGAAATGATGCCATTAGTATGATCGAACTTCCATTTTATCGGTATATTAAAAAGTACCTACGCATTTATATCCCGTTCGGGAGTTGAGTTTCAAACTTCCCTTTTAAGTGTATCGTTTTCTGCGTAAGACTTTGAAGAGAAAACTTGTGACATCTTTTTTAGTTCAGACCTTGTTCGTGAGCCATTATAAAGAAGTGCAATAAATCAGAAAATGCCTCTCCTTGCTCTATTTCTAGTGGATCACGTACTTAAAACATATTTGGGTTCAAAATAAAGATGATATTGTTTAAACAGAGGATTGATATCACTTCCAATGAAAGCTTCAGTACTTTTAAACAGCTACCAAATTTGTGAAACTTACTGTAGTCACTGCACGCCAAATTGACTTGATAGTTTTCTCGGTCACTCGTGTTGCAAGTCTTCATCTCACGCATGAGAGCCACCTTCTTCTTCCAGGAACGCCGATATGGATGCCGCTGCTGTCCTTTGCTATAGGACTTTTTCGCCAGTAATCTCTCGGATTTAGCAACGCTGTAACGAAACAAGGTAAAATTACTTGAGTGCAGCTTACAGTTACTTAAGGCGCAAACTTGGATGCTGGAAAATTAAATCACTTTTCAACAAACTTCGAAAAATCCTTCGGAGTTTTTTCGAGGAAATTCATCTCCTACTTGCTGAATTACACGCTAAAGCGATGTCGTGAGGAAATGATTTCCCGAACTTTTCAAACTTGGAGCTCGCTCGGCAGTTCTAGAGTCAAGTTGTCTGTCAACTGTGCGTTTCAATGGCCGTTCATGGATTCCTGACTTTCTCGGAAGGTGTTATTGAGGACATCCCTCATTTTGGTTCTCCGATGGGGGGCGACGAGTTCTAAATGCGAGTATGTGGGTGCAATCCAGAAATTAAACACCACGCTTCTCCGGTTTTTTTTTTTTTTGGGGGGGGGGGTTATTTGTTTTTGTTTGTTTGATGTTTCGTTATGTATCTCTATCTCCCTAATTCTCTCCAACGTATCAAATGTAAACCTGAATATACCATGCAAATCCTGTAGTGCGATATAAAATCCACACTTGCATTGAATTCTGGACGAAATTGATCCAAAAACGCTCAAACTGAAAATTATTCAATTTTTAAGCGCCACTCAGCGCTGCGGTAAGGCTCCAGCTCTACTTAGCTTGAGTCTTTTCCCTTGGATTCATTCGATTGTAGCATTATTCTCGATTGATACCTATCTATATGTACGCAACGATATTTATCTACTGAGGGGTCATTCGATAAAGATTCAACAATGGAGATGTTGCATGTGTGAGAAATTTGCAATTTGACCATTGATTCTTATGTAAAAGTTTACGATAAACACGATGGTGCCATTTCTGAAATCAACTCCTAAGCTCACAAAAATCTCTCAAGTTGAAGCCAAAATGGAGGGGATATCCCACGCTATCCTGAGAGCCCACCTCTCCATGCAAAAATAGGGAGCAAATACATAAGCAGTGCTGCCGTGTTTTCAGTTTTAGAGTCCCCACATAAAGTGGCAGCTCTGTCAATGTATTTGCACCCTATCTTTGCATGGAGAGTTTGTCTTGATGTAGACGTGGGCTCTCAGGGTAGGGTGGGATATCCCCTCCATTTCGGCCTCAACTTGAGAGCCTCTTTTGAGCTTGGAAGATAATTTTAGAGAAAACCAGATGCACCATCGTGTTTCTCGCGAACTGTTGCATAAGAATTAATAGTCAAATGGCAAATACCTCACACATGCAACATCCTAACTGACCTGCGGGGCGATTATTGAAATGATATCGACTGTATGTCAGCGCTTTGTCGTGTCGCGCCATCGACTAAGCCATTGCTTAGTCGATGGCGCGACACGACAAAGCGCTGACATACAGTCGATATCATTTCAATAATCGCCCCGCTGGAGGTCCAGGAACTTACCCATAGCCGAGGACGGAGCAGACCTCCCCCGCGGATCCTTCATCCCAAAAGGAGACGCAGGCTTTCCGCCATCTGTGATGCTCTGGTTGATATATCTCTAGATCTCCCTCAGCTTCGTCACCCATCTCTTTGCTCAGCCGCACTGCAACGCACATCAACATCGGTTTAAAAGCATGAATATGGACCAGCTGGCTGATTATTGAACAAAAAATAAACAAAACCCGGAACGTTTCAAAATGGTTATTTATTTATTAGTTAGTTATAGTTCAAGTTTATAGTTAGTTATAGTTTAATAGTTATTTAGTTTAGTTAGTTTATATTATTTTCCGGTTGAAAATGAAATTGTAACTAGTTTGAAACGTTCCGGGTTTTAAATTCTTTGTTCTTTACACGGAAAAAAATGACTGTGCGCGGATAACCATTTTGGTTTTGTTAATTAAAAGTTGGTGCCGTATACATGAAAAAATTGATAGAATAACCAACGGCATTGTATCGTCCACAATGTCTTTAGCGAAATCAATCATTTTCAATTAGTTGCTACTAGCTATTACAAATCTGTTCACCGAGACAAAATTGATGGTAAACTGCTCCATCAAGTTGACTCATTGCACCAAAGAGTGCGCTTGCGCTTCACCTATCGCTTTGTCTATCAATTTCAATAATCAGCCAGCAGGATCGGCTGAACTACGGATGATGCTGCCTAATTTTTCCTCATGCATGTTTCATTTTTATACACGAAAAATACGAATACAGAAGGCCTTATAATTTTGTGAATATATTACTTTGCTACATTGAAGGGGAAATTGACGACCAATTTCAAGGTGAATTGTTGCTTGGTTTACACAGAATAGAATCTGCAAGGAAATCAAATAACGTTAAACGCAGGTCGGCTGATTCTGATTAATACGATTGAACTGAATGATTTAAGGATTATATCTGTTTAATATTTCTTTCCTTTCCCTGTAAGTTAGATAAAATGTTGATAGTTAATTCACGTCTCTAAGAATGTAACTTCTATCTACATAAACGTAAAGTTGAGTGAAGTAACTAAAAGATTGAATAATGAAAAGTACTTCCTGGGAGAAATAAATAAAACCGAATTTCTGCTTTGCCCCGGCATGCCCGTGCGTCATCTCGGAACGATTGAAATCATTCAAAACGCCTTCAATTTTTGCTTATGCAATATGGTCAGCCATCATACAGGAATAGTTGTATTCTGGCGCCTTGCATCCGTCGAACAAAATACGAACTCAGGTAGCCGGCCGTCCGGCCGTGCGGACTATCAACCTGCTCCAACAACCTTATTTACTTCATAGTTGATTATTTACTTCATAGTTCATCATTAATATGTTTTAAAAAAGAAGGTATCACAAAATAGAGCACTCATTTGAAAAAAAAAAAAAAAATCGGTCTTTAGTAACTTACTGCAATTCCTCTCATCTTGACCGTAAGGGCAATCTACTCGTCCATCACACATCTGACTCATAGAGATACATCGATTTGAGCCACAATGAATCATTCCTGTAAAGGAAACAAAAGTCCGTTAAATTAGGAGCTCCTAAAAGAGTGATTAGAGCACTTTTATTTAAGTGATAGACGTGATCAACTTTATTTTAAAATACGCGCCAGAAATCCTTTTGGAGAAGCATTTTTCAACAAAAAATAAGGTGTCCTTCTCATAGCTTGGAAGAGTCATGTTTGATAAAGTATGTATAAAAAAAGAAAGAAAGATGAAAGTGAAAAATGAGACCCAAAGCATGTGACCCACTTTTTATAATGTTTTTTTTGTATTTGTCGCATTAGACGTTCGATATACTATTTACTATTTGATCATCGCAATGCAAGGAAGTGAACAGAATGAAAACATGCCCCTAATTTAACATCATTCTTGCTAAATGAAAGGAACAGTTGATTTTATGGATGATACCCTCACGAGCACATTTAAATTCATTGGCATTACGAGTGGCTTCAAACTTGTTTTCGCCACTTCGCTTTCCAAGCACGCAGATGGAATGATTCTAATTGAAAGGTCTCCAAGCATTAAAAAAGTGGGGGAAAAACGTGGGCGGATGAGCGAGAGTAAAATGGATAGCAGAGATTAATGAACTGATAAAAGGAAGAGTTGCTATATTTCAAATTTAAAACACATTTTATTGAACTCGATCCAACTGCATACCATAGATACCGAACATCATGCTTACATTTTCTAAATCCCAATCCCATGTTGTTTAATTTTTCGGTAAATGTGCCATATGCCGATTTAGATCCGAAACCTTAACAAGCGTGATCCGGCGGACAGTGGATAGAGTCGATAGGAGAAGTCGGACAAAATTTGGAAACTTTAAACGCTTATAACTCCGTTTATACAAAACTTTGAGATTCTGAGAGTGGCTTCATTGGTGTTCTCGTGAAATTTTCTTCCAAAATCACCCCTTTAAAATTTAAAATATATCAAAATAAACATCAAAATGTGCAGTTTTAGTCAAAAATTTTATGTCCGACCTCTCTGATTGACTCGATCCTTTGTGCGGCGGAAGTAGAAATGCATGCAAAGCAGAATCGAGGGGTTGGATGCAAAAAGGTTATTTCTTCGTTGCGGTGTCTTAGAATCTCCACCGCTACTTTATATTTTAAGGAGGAAACTTTTGAGCAAAGTATCTGAAATTTTTTGGTTTTAGTAACGTGTAACCATGATGAAAATTCAGGAAAAGTTTCAACGAATTCCATGCATTTGCTTTAATTATAAAGGATGAAACGTTACCGGAGATCCTGATTCCTGAGACACCGCAACTATGAAATGCCCTTTCTGCACCCAGCGCTTCAATCATGAGATTATGGCAGAAAGATGAGAAAACCAGTGTTCGATTGAGAGGCCTCGCAAAGAAAATGTTTAAGTAAAAATATGCCGTTTAAAGGCTTTGGTAAGCATTCACTTATCTACTTTGCAACGTATATGTGTTCGTAATGGCATCCAATTGTGAGTAAGTTTAATTCTAGCTCGGGAGCACTACTTTCTAATTTAAAGTTTCCTCATATGATTCGCGTGTCAGTTCCGATCCGAGCTCTCAAGCCGTTGATTAAGTGCAAATAATGCGTTTGCGCTGCGGGATGATAGACGTGTGTTCCGTGCTCCGTGGATTATGGAAATTTTTACTTGCGTGGAATTTTCATTTAAATCAAAGTGTCGTCAGGCTCCGCTCGGATGTTCGACCTTGCCTTTAAAAGTTGACTGTATCTCACCCTGACCCAAAAACTACGGGTGGAATTGAACGCATACCTGAGCGAAAGAATGCCACCTGGATTTCACGATAAGTTTCTACTCGCACAATACATCAATATCGGGGCTTTTGCCAGACCGATAATAGCCCACTTCCGCATCGAAGAGATAGCGAACTTCCAAACTATACGTTCCTCCATTTCAACGTTTCAAAGTTTTCATTTCATGCTCCCTTTGGATTGCATTTTGCAAAAATAAACCAAGAGCGTTCCAATGTCGCTTAGATGGTGCTACTTTTTTACCTTGCGAATATAAACTGCTATATAATCTTTACTCCCCATAAACTATAAATTCAAGCCGAAAACGACCTCTGTAAATTTAATTTGTTGTATGACTTCAGTAATTTTATCGCAAAGAATGTAATTTGCACAATCCTAAAACATTGGAATGCCCTTGGTTCCTTTTAGCACAATGCGATCTATCATTTGAAGGACATGAAGGAATTGATATAGTTAAGTTCACCACAATTTCACCTGATTTTTTATGTATTGATAGACTTTTGATAACATTCATAGAATGTGAAACATCAGTGAAAAAAAGTCAGAACAACTTTTAAGCCATTGTTTTGATTGTTCGCACAAAAACTAGGCATGAACAAGAATTTAGAAATGGTCCCAATTGAATTGGTCATTTTCAGATAGGGGCATGATGTGCGAGAAATTATAATACGACAATAATGCTGAACATGGTTCAATTAACCGGTTTTTCGTCATAGATGAGCTATAAGGCTAAAAACTGGCAAACCAAGGAGATAAAAATTGGCAAACCAATGAGAGATCGGAGGAAACAGGGCAATGCCCTCCATATAATGGTACTCTATCCGACAAAACCTATAGAATTGATAAAATTAACGATACAATAAAAGCGACCGATGAAACCGATAAAATTTAATTTGAGAGGGAGAGGGATGCATATCTTCGATCAGGATACAAAGCTGTATCATATTAGCTTTCAGTAACAGGCGAGAGTGGAGCACCTTTATACAGTGAGTATGGAAATGACGCCCTTTCACTGTCAATGGAGGCCTCAGAACTCAAAAATAGTGGCGCTTCGTTTTGGTTTTTGATGATGGGAGGGGGTTATTGCCAACCGTTGGGGTTTTTACCAGCTACACTTGTTGCCAAACTTACCATATTCAAGTTGAGTTATCTCCAATTTAACACACAATTTGCCGTATAAATATTTGAACTTGTCGTAAAAATGTGATGGAATGAAGTATCCGTTGCGATTTTCAAATAAAAACCACATTTTTAGTCATTTCTCAACTAAATATGCTTAAAACGTACGTCATTTTTGGGTCCTAAGAGCTCAGAGACAAGAGACCCTTCACTGGTATCTACAGTGGTGGAAGCTTTTACTGTAGAGGCTCCAACATTCAACTATTGACCTACCTACTATTCTCCGTTGGTGCGAAAATGGAATCTTTATTCCCGTTTGTGACAATGTGGAGGCCTCAAATACGGTAACCAATCAGAAATGGACTCACATTGTTTTAACTCTGACAAAAGGTCTGTCTTACTGTGATTATAAAGGGACTCTAGGCGGGAGTAGAAGTGGCAACGGTTTAGGACGCGGAGAGTATCGAGTAAACAAGTGCTCCCTGGTGGCTACAGGTTGAACTACTGACCGTAGCAGAGACACACGCTTGCAGAGAGATCAATTACACGGAAACTCAATTTGGAGATCGTCTAGCTCCTGTCTCGCGAATCCACTTCAGATCGGGATTCCAATCCCGACGCTAACGCATCCAGAGGGTCCTCCCGTCCCTCGCGGTTGCCGATTTTTCCTCCGAAAACTCCCCAAATCCTGCGGGAAAATGTCAGTTGGGCGGTTTTAGCTAGAATCAGCCATAGTGAGAGTCAGGACAATGTGAATCCATTTCTGATTGGTTCCCGTATTTTAGGCCTCCTCAGTGTCACAAACGGGAATAAGGATTACATTTTCACCAATTGCAAAGATTATAATCTGGAATGGACCGGAGAATTACGGGTTCGGCAAGGAACAAACGGAATGAGAGAAGGAACGGAGAGAGGAATTTGAGAAAGGGCCATGCAAAGGTTACGAAAAACTTTCAATTTGTGTAATATTTATTCCCGTTTGTGACTCCATGGGGGGGGGGGGGGGGGTTATGGCCACGAAGAGCGTGGCAGAGAGTTCAAGACCATTTCGTTGCAACCAGATGGATCAAGTCGATAAATGAGTTCATCTCCTCGGGTCAATTTAAAACTGTAATTGTTGCCCATCATCAGTCTTCTTTCCGCTCGGATGAACACAACCGGAGAAACCTTTGACTCCTTAATCATTGAAGCCAACAGCAGATCAGCATTATTCAACAAGAGGGTTGATTGCAAAAAGAACATTTATATTACCTTTTTGACACTGGATGCAGTCCAATTCGTCACTTTTATCTTCACAGTCCACGTGACCATCACATCGGTAGTCCTCTGGGATGCATCGCTTCATATCACACTGAAAACCGCTGTGGCAAACTGCAGACATAAAATTTAACCTTTTGGGATAAAAATGTCTCTGAATCAAAGAAAAAAATGAATAAAATTTCTCGGAGTTCTTTACACGTTCGAGATCAATACATAATAATAAAAGGTCGACTTTTAGTAATAGTTACAAAAGTGTACAATTAAAATTACTTTATACTTCCAGTTGAGTTATTCATTTAGTTATTTAAATTATGTACATAAATTTGCGCATCATTAGAGGAGATAGATATAATCTACTATCATCTTCGCGATAGTTAGACGGTTTCTGTCGACAAAGTTGTGAATACGATACATTTTGTTAGAATTACGTCAACTTATTCAAATTTTTTCATGGTGTGCTCTCTGGTTGAATGAAGGTTCAGTTTCAAATTGGGTTCAAGCGCACTTATCGTCTAACTGTAAACAGCAGTGGCGTGGCGTGGTTTGCAATAAATCGATTGATTTGCCATTTAAACTCATGGAAAAGGATCGATAAACCGGGTTTTCGGAACGAACACTTAATAATCGATTCTTTAAAATATCTTCAAATGAGGAGATAACGATAGTCGATCGTTCACGCCTCGCCACTGGTAAACAGCCATTGACGTAACGCTCACTCGGAAACACTCCAAAAATAGCTTCCTACCTAATGGGAAGAAATTACTTTAGCGTCATATCAGTTTGCCTTCAATTTTTAGTGTAGTCAACACGAGCTCCCGTGTGGTTGAATAGTGCTATCACCTTCAGACGGTCTCCGTGAGCAAATTCGTCGTGAACATGGTACCATGAGAAGATGCACAGTGAAAGGAGAAAAAGAAATTAGTAGCCACGAATCGGTTAATTATTTATTTAATCGGTTGATTTATTTTAGAAATAGTGTAACTTTGAAGTCACCATAGTAACAGCCTTAGGACGAAAAAATTGTTCACAAGAAAAACGTCGAACCTAACATTGGAAAAATTTATCGGAATGACATGAAATTTTTGTTCAGTATCTCGGCTGCAAAATGTAAACAAATTGCACAAAATATTTTGCATTTGGACGGCAAAAAAAGGATGCAAATGATTGCATTCTGCTTGTTTGGTTAAAAATCACAGAATAAACTGAGAGTAACGTCTAACGTGAACAAGAAAGACTTATTCTTGGGATCATATTTTATTTCCCAATTAAAATGTAGCTTCAGGATTGTCTGGGTAGGGGGAAAAGGTTCCGTTTTCCTATGGTCAAACGTCTTCTCCCAGTGAAAGCACTTAATCACAAACTGCATCAGCTATTTAAAATATGGAGAACGTGATTCATCACTGGAGAGAGAAAAATATGCGAGTGAAGTTTACCACCAAGATTGCTAGGGTAGAGTAATGACCATAATAAATATTGTTACCTCAACACGATTGTAAGATCAGCTCCTATGCATTTCCGTAATTTTGGCCGTCATAAATGCCTTAGTCGGCTAAGAACCGGACTCTTAACAAAATTATAAACTCAAGCTTATTGTAACAAGTTTTCCAAGTCTAGTATATTAGTTAGAATTTAACTTCATTCGGTGTAACTGTGAAACGAGGTTAATAAGTGCAAACAATATCCACTTTGAGACTGGCGTCAGTGGTAACACTTGAGCGTATGCCCACACGGGAAAAACTATTCATTCGGTATAACTGTGAAACGAGGTTAATAAGTACAAACAATAGTCACTTTGAGACTGACGTCAGTGGTAACATTTGAACGTATGCTCACACGGGTTGCTCGCTCCGATAAATTGAGTGGGCACTTTTCAAATCACGCGCCAAACTATTCGGTCGACAAAACCTTATCGAAATATTTTGGATAGTATGGATCTTGTTCCTCACGAAATAAAGTTTCTCAGATCATTGAACTGAATCTTCAACTTATGGACATTAGCGTCAATTCACCGAGTTGAAGTTCGATCCTGTTTGTCAAATTGGTTGGTTTGCATGATTGAGGCACTAGCCTTACGAACCGAGGAATTTTTTTCTCACTGCGGTGAAAACAGCTTGACCCCTCTCACGTCGGTTTTCCTTCTAGGTCCTCACTAGATACCACTATTTAGTCACGTGGGAGATCGTGTTGCATATCTCGTAAAATGAAGGCGTTTTGGCGATTAGCTAAAGTCATAATATACAAAATTAAGTGTCTCTCTTTCTCGAAACTTGACAACCCGTGCGATTAACCTGATGTTATTACGAACTTGAACCGTGAAATTGGGGCAGAGAGGTAGACGCTTCGGCTGAAAAAGGATTCGGTGGGGGGGGGGGGGTGGCCGCACGGACTGAGAACTGGGCGCCGAGCCAAATGGCCTATTTTTGAGAGTCTTTATTACAACAAGCCACCCCTTTTCGCATTTAATCGTCCAATCTCCCGGCGCGGCGTGGCGCGGGTATCTCAAAAACGCTCCTCAAGGGATTTAAGTGAGCGCCTGCCCTCCAGCACCGGTTGCAGTTGGCAGCTTTTATCACCGAAAACAAAATTTTTAAGCGGGTTTTGTGAGTCTTCGATCCCTCCGGATGCGGTTGAGGGGAAAAGTATACGAGAAAAATGCGCATACAATCTTCGTAGGTGATTGTGCGCTGTTTGGGTATTCGTTTATTTGAGACTTCATCCATAGTTACAGAATTTTTTTTCTTTCTTTCTTTAATCAGTTATACGTGCTTAATGGAAAATATTATACTACACGTCGGACGTCAAATTTTAGATTGGTCTATTCGGTTTCAGGACATATTATCAACGATTTTTTTGTCCGCGCACCTTTTCTGTCCAGTAGTTTACGCCCAGTAGTTTAAACGACAGTGACTTGGTCCAAGCGTTATATTTTAGTCGGTATGTAATGATATATTGACAATGTGGAAATGAGAAATTGAGAGAGAAAGAGGTGTTGTTATGGTTGCTCATTTTCTAAATGAAATGTTATTACTTCCTCCTTTTGAACCATCTTTTTGAATTGTCATTGGTGAATATTTGGTTTCATTTCTACCCTTAAAGTATTCGATGTACAATATACCTCAGGTACTTTTTTTATTTTTTTAATTTTTTCTTTACGAAACTATTCCTTCATTTTGAAAACATTTATATTTTTAAAACGTGGCAAATATTTGTAAAACCTTTTCCAAGCGATATTAATCTCAATGAGCTGCAGTTGTGCCGACAGAAACTTCAAAAATGAAAAAAAGAGGGATAAAAACCAAGGAGCACGCAATCTTTAGTTTTAACCCATTTGTACATTGATCTTTAAGAGTAAAATGCGTCAAATTTTGAGCGTTTGGTTACGCGTGCACCTCGCTGCAGCACAATAAAATCACAAAATGTAAAAGAAAAAAATAAAAAGCTTTGGAAATCATTAAATTTGACACAGAACCACCAATATTTAAAAATACACATTATATTATTATTCTCCTTTGATAAATTGATACATATTTTTTCCCCATCAATTTAAATGAGAATAATCAATGCAGAGTGTGCAAACATTTCAAAATCATGAGTTAAAAAACGCTGACTATGCGAGTATAAATATTAAAGCCTAACAGAGCGGAGCGGCGCGTGCTGCCAGCAGCGCGAGAGGCTCACTGGCACCTACAAACCTAAGTGGATACTTCACGCATTGCACAATGCTTGAAGTATCCCCTTAGGTTTGTAGGCGCCAATGCGCGTTTTGCGCTGGCCGCGCGCCCGCCCGCCGTGCGGTGGCGCCTGAAGCAACTATTTCACAACAGAGGTGTTGCACAGTGTTATATGAAATTGAACGTATTAAGAATGACAGGCACCCTTTAAAAGTACAGATTTTTCCTCGCAAAATAAATCAAATACGTATCGTACACAGGAAAAATCTAAGAGCCTTTAGCTCAGGCAAATAAAGAGGTTTATCCGGTTCAGGTATAACAAGGTGGGAATTTCTTGAAAGATAATTAAGTCCTGTTACACCAAAGAGGTGTAGAGAGTTTTAGTGAATTTTGTCTCATGAAACTGACGCTCCCCCATTTTTACCAAAACTCTTAATTGTACATTACTTTGCGTTAGACCAAACAGACAAAACAAAAAAACAAGCAAATAACCCTCATTTTTCCAAGACATTATACATTTTCATCCAAAAACGTCGTGAGCAATTGTCATTTATATTTACATGTGGGCCAATTAACTTTGGGTCTCAACTGGCACGTGGACCAAAACTCCCGTGCTGAAAAAATGCGTGGACGTAAATTACTGGAAAAAACAGATGCGCGGACAAAAAATCGTTGACGAAATGTCCTATTACCGGTCAACTTAAATTAATCATTTTTTTGTAACATTTTAAACTCGGTTCACTCCCCCATACGTATCAGGAAAATAAAACTTTTGTTTCAGTCTCGCATTGTAACGACTTCTTTCTATTGAGCTTTGCAAAGAGAAAAATAATTTCGTAGAATTGCTCTTAAAAGCAACGATAGTAATTTTTTTGGAGAAGGAAATGGTTCTGGGAATATTACGGATGTTTTCCATGTAAAGTCCACATCCAACTAAATTTGTGTTTTTTTTTGTTTTTTTTTTTATCTTTGAACTCATCACGATTTTTCATTCAGCTTTGATGAAAGAAAACCATCAATTCAGGACGTCTCCAGTGAAAAAGCCCATGAAAATTGCAATGTGACTAAAATTATGTAATTCACGGAAAAATGAATTATTTTAAGTTTAATTAATTTCACAGAAAATTGAAGAAAAATGGAGGGCTTGTTTCGGGAAAAATACAAAAAGAGACGATACAAAAAATAGGTCAGTATTATATGAGCAACTGCGTTTTATAATTGTAACTGAACTTCAAGCCTTACAGACAAGGACCAAAAGCCTCCAGAAGATGCTCTCGTGCAAATTCACTCCGGTGGAAGTTTGCTAGAGACTCAATGAGTAAATTGCCCTCTCTTCCAAAAAAATTGTTAAAAATCTAAATCGGTACAAGAAAGATAAAATTAAAAGCCAGGATGATGCACTCATACTGCTCCCAGTTGTTTAACATAAAACCGAATTTATATCAAAGCAATTACAGCAGAAGAGGACGAAAGAGGACAGAGGAGACGTATTAAAAACGATGAGAATCAATTATCCTCCTCCTTCAGAAAGGACCATATAATTTTTTCATTTGAAAAAAGCGTTTTCCTCTAGATGCTCATTGTGAATTTCGTATCATGTTGGAGTTGAATCCTACATTTTCCTAATTCATCGATAAAATCTCAAAGATCCGCCGAAATTTGACAAGAAATACGCGCGTTTATCGAGTCCTTTACTCAGAAAGCTCAAATAAGTAGAGCTATATAATTACGGTGACAGCGTCATCTAAAGATGTCTTCCGAAGGTTCTTCTAATTTTCAATAAGTTTAGGGATTATTAAAAAACTTCCCGTTTGAGGATTAAAACGTTTTTGAAACAATAATAATGCTCCCACTAACTTGTTTATCTGCGGACGTTTGCTGACAGGAATTGATAAATAATGAAACAAAAGAGCACTTTCTTTATTAACTCAATTACTGAGCTTTCAATTTAGATCGCGCTTCAATTCCTCTCACGTCATTTTCCTTCAACTATTGGACGGTCCTCCTACACGAGCCAAGCGTCTCTCAAGAGGATAAAAATAAAAACTAAAAAATAACAGGAAAACCTGCAAACGTGAGTTCTTTCCACAGAGCTGACGGCAATGAAAAGTAGATACATTAAAATAACAAACGAAAATGATATTTCGCTTATTTATTTGTTGACCTGCATTGCTGTACAACTCTGTTTAATTTTATTTAGGTATAGATCCTATTCTATTGTGGTTCGATGTATCGTTTGGTTCAAAACAATAGTACGTAACCCCGAATAAAAATTTTAGGAAAAGTTAAAAATGAGAAAATTCTGGCAATTTCACTTTTTATTACCATTTTATACTCATAAGAATTAAAAACCTATCACAAGAAACCCGTTCTCTCAGATTACTCAAGTAACTTTTGAGGCTATGTTTACCATGTTGAAAAAATCGATATCGATACAATCTTACGTGTTCGATGCATCGAATACGATCCATTATTAAAAAGTCATTTTTTTTTTAGAATAACCACTTTCCTGACAAAACTTTGATCCATATGAAGCTTCCACGGTTTCAGGAATGCCATTAAAATCTCTCTCATTAAATAGTCGTAGTGTTTCCAAGTTAAACTGTGACTGTTTAATATTTTTTTGGGCCTGCGTGTATTTCCAATTCCTTTGTATCCCACATTCCTTTGTAATTTTTTTCTCTTTTGCAAAAGTACGCAAAGTCTCAACACACTTGCAAATTGGCAGTTCAGCCAACTTTTTATCTTCCTCTTCCAAGAATTATAAAATTACTAATAATGCAACTAAGTTAGCCTTAGCGCAAAGAAACGTTTCTTTCAAAAAGAGTACCTGCAATCTTGTTTGCAAGATCGCATTGATTCATTCAAAAGCGACCAAACTCATTGAATAATGATTTCATGATTTTCGGGGCTTGCCAGGCCGGGTTGAATGATGGGAAATGAGGGTCAATTTGCTGCCTTACACCCTTAAAAAAATTATAATTTCAACAGATATAATTTTTTTCATGTTTCAGGCTTTCTTCCGTGTTCTTAGATAAGGTTCTTCTTTGTTCTTTCAAAAGGTGAGGATGGAAGATTCCATAAAAAATTCCTTGCACGCTAGCAGGAGGGTAAGCCATTCGGCTAAATGCCTCACGTAATACTTGAATGGCCGGTGAGAGCCTAACCATACGGCTTGACCATATGTTTGACACGTTGAGAGTTAAAGGGTAGACGCCGCGGGGGGGGGGGGGGGGGGTGCGATTTTTGGAGGGGCATAAGCTTCGGTCTGTTGAAGCGGTTCGGGATAGGTCATCGAATTGGCACTTACGAAGAAGAATCATGTAACTGCCATAGAGACCTGACGGAAATGCGCGGTTTTGGCTTGGGACGGCACCAGTGCGACGTCAGCCAAGATTGATGTTGGGGTATGAACGGAGCCCGCTAGGCTTTGTCCGGAGATTGATCGAAAGTCAAACACTTGTTCCCTTCTCATATCGGGGCTTGTCGCGCCAAATTGCCGCGAAAATTTGATCCGGAGCTCGCTCGCTCATCCGGGATGCCGATGGGGTTTATAATCCCATCTTGTTAACAACGGATTTATCATCTAATCCCACCGTGCACTCGAACGTCAGGAGAAGAAGGGACCGATAGACAACGTATGGATGATTCTAGCACGAACCGCGTTATCTAGGATAGTCGTGAGTGCAACGATGAAGATTCGAGAAGATGCATTTCTTATCTTTCGTGTGTGCGTTTGATTGGAAAATAATATCACATTGCAATTTCACACGCATGTGCGACAGAACTGCGTCATTGAAAGGGGTTGCTTGTTAAGATATAGCTTTGGTCAGGCTAGGTCACACTGTATGTCTCTATATTGAAGAGTTGATAACCGCGTTATCTAGGATAGTGGTGAGTGCAAGACGAATAAGATTCGAGAAGATGCATTTCTTATCTTTTTTGTGTGTGTGTCTGATTGTGACTGGAAAGTAATATCACATTGCAATTTCATATGCACATTATCACGTGCGACAGAACTGCGTCATTGAAAAGGGTTGCTTGGTTATCGGTTAAGCAATAGTTTTGGTCAGGCTAGGTTACACTGTGTTATTTCTCCATATTGAAGATTCGATATTGAAAAATTTAATGGAAAGTAACGGCATTGATTAAAAACAATTATGAGCAATCTATGTGCTCTCAAAAATGATTTATCACGATGCAAAAATTCAAACACGTTCCCGCCACAAGAACGGTTTCAAAATACTTGAACAAGCAATTGAACTCGACACAGCGCACAGTGCGGTCAGGAGCGGTTGGCGTGAAACGCATAGTGCCTACAAGACTCCAGGAATACTTCACGCATTGCGCCAAACATAATGCGATCAGCGCGGCAGCGGCGCAACTGGACTGAATTTTGCAATTTGAAACTATAAATTCTGGCTCTTCTGGAAAAAACGTGTTTGGCGCATAGGGAAACTAATGGCACATATGTTGTTTTCAACCCGGCTAGAATTCATAGTTCCAAATTGTAAAATTTAATCCAATTGTTGAATCGATATCGATTGACTATGATCGATAAAAAGCATTTGCTAAGATGATCATTCGACATTCAATATTATATTTACCAGGCCTTTGTGATCGTATGAATTCTAGCTCTGTTTCACGATGTCCAATACAGGTCTCGGGATTTGTGGACTCAGGAAACATTTTACAATCGAGGTAATCAGGTAATGTGAGCCCGAAGACCTCTAAGAAAAAGCCACACCTCCGGATTGTCTCTGGAAAAGAAAGTTACAAGTCTACTTTATCTTCTTATATGAATTAAGTACACAGGCGCATTTCACAACGAGAGAAACTCCAGCATATAAGAATGATTTTTCATTGAGCTTGGCTGTAAGCTCCTTTCTTTACGTCCGTCATCATATTTTTTGAAGAGAGCTATCATAGATTGCTCGATTCGAGTTTATAACAGGAGGTAACTCAAGAATTTTGGGAAACGAAGGATTTCCTTGATGGAGAATTTTATTTTTAATGAAGAGAAGTCTCCATTTCAAAAATGTAATTTCAAGAAATTACGAGCGCTTTGTTTATTTATTTCTGACTAAACAAGTCAAATTTGTTGCAAATATTGTCGGTATTAATTCTTTTACTGTTCTCTTTTCGTCTCAAAGAGACGGGATTATTATCATTATGTTTTTTTCTTCTTTTTTTCTTTTTAATCTCACAGGATTTTTCCCGGTATTAGGAAACCAAGACGAGTCGAGGACTGCAGTCTTGGGCCATTTTCTTGTCCTTACCCCTACCAATTAGACGTTTAAAAGATAGAAATTTAAGAAATTGAAGAGATAAATAAAATGAAAAAGAGAAGAAAAAGGACTGGTATACAAGTTTAGGAAACCCCTAACTATGCTGCAGGTACTAAGAATGATGGACTTCTATATGGTGTAGAGAAGGTGATCATGGTACTTTCAGCCCCTTAAGATGTTAAATCTGGCTTTCAGTGACCAAAATGATGAAAGGTCTGATAATAACAATGTCCGTGTCCAAAATGTTCTTAATTTCCGCGGAGAGAGGCATGTATGTGAATATTTTTTCTTCATACTGTAACAGCAAATTGTGTCCGTTAGGGATGCTGAAATCTATGAGCTGCACAACATGCACTGGAAAAAAAACACATTGGATCTAGAGTCCAGACTCTTGACAACATTGACAAGAAAAAATACTCTTGATTCAATCAGATTTAAGCTTAAATCAAGAGGAAATCCGCTCAAATTAAGAGGCTCGGTTCTTGATTTAAGCAAAAATCTAATTGAATCAAGAGTATTTTTTCTTGTCGATGTTTTTAAGAGTCTGAACTCCTAGCTCCAATGTGTTTTTTTCCAGTGCGCGCCCGCTTATTAACATTTTCATTAATTGGACGTATTTCTGTCAAACGGAACTATGTGCACCATGACGTGAGCCCTGTTATGCACATATTCTAATGGGTCTCCGAGCTCATGTCTTAATGCACACAGTTCCGTTTGGCAGAAATTCGTCCATTTGTTGTTTCCTCGTCTGGACGATTTAATTTTACGAGGAATACCTTGAAGATGCTTTACGTTTTATAGACCATATTCGATAGTGATGCGATGTCTCGTTTGTTTCAAAACATAACCTCAAACAAAAATTTTAGGATTTAAGTTGGAAAAGAAGAAAATGAGAAAAGTCTTAAAATTTCAGTTTTTGTTGGCATTTAGTGTATTCAAAAGAATAGAAAATCTTACATAAAGAACCCCCTCAGATTTCTAAATTCCTTTTTGAGGCTATGTTTGCATGTTGAACCAATCGATGTCGATAAAATCTCACTTGTTTGATGTATCGAATACGCTTTATTAAAAGTACGAGTTACTTACCGTCGCACAAGTTTCTGCACGGCCGAACTAAATTACCTCCCGATCCACACTTGGGCGCGAAGAGAGTGCAGAGGAAAAAGGCCGCCAGCTCATAACAGCGCACGTCCACAATGGCGTCGTACATCTCGAGTTCCTTTGGAGCAAACAAATAGAACGGAAACATCACTCAGATTCAATGACGAATAGAGCCGTGAAACATATGACGTGGGGAAAAAATCAGAGGGTGAGGCATGATAATCGACTCTCGATATTTTACCATTTGAGGCCATGATAAAAAATCGATCATGCAAACGCCCTGATAATCGATTCTTTTCCATAGGTTTAAACGGTAGATCAATCGATTCATTGCAAAACACACACCGCGTAAATGGAAAAAAAAAAATCTGTTTAGGACCGACACGTGTCTGCGATTCCAGACGAAAAGATGCGCCCGCAATAATCCGATTTGCCATGGCCAAGGAACGAAAAGGAGAATCGCTCTTCCGACCAAATCTGCTTTCAAATCATGCTGTGAAGCTTCAGTTAATATGGCTTCGCATTGGCGGGGAGCTTGGTTTGGTAGATCTCAAATTCTTTTCAAACCGCGAGCAGAGGAGTAATTTTTGCAGGAAGTAATTTGAGGAGTATTTTTTGTGTGGAATCGAATATCATAAACACAGGCGTACACATATGCACTCTAAATTCCACACATTAGAGCTCATAGAGATATGACTGACGGTTCACATAGGAAAGGGGTCATTGAAGAAGCAGGACATGAAATATTTGACAAAAAGCGAGATAGGGGTAAGTATCAATAAAGGCCATTTTTGGGCCCATCCTGAATTTCCTCAACTGTACAATTTGTTGCGCATTGCAGATTGATTTTTTAGTATACATTTTAGTATATTTTATTATTACATTTTAGTAGATTTTATTACTATACTTTAGTACATTTTATTACTGTACTTAAGTATGTTTTATTTCTATGATTTACGTTTCAGGACAATTCGTCCACGATTTTTTGTCCGGGCACCTCTTTAGTCCAATAATTTACGTCCACGCGTAAAATAAGAAACAGTGACTTGGTCCAAAGATTATAATTCAGTCCATATGTAAAATTATATTGACAAATATCAAATTAGAAAATTGAGAGAAAAGGTGTTGTTATGGTAACTCATTTTTTAAATGAAATGTTACTTTCTTATTTTGATTGATCTTTCAAATTTTCATTTGTGAATATTTGTATTTATATCTATCGATAAAGTTAGTCAGTTAGTATAATTTTAACACATAAAATTGTCGATTGAAAATATACCGTATATATATACCTTTTTTAAATGATAATATTACTTCATTTTAAAAACATTATATTTTTAAAACGTGGCAAATATTTGTAAAACCTTTTCCAAGCGATGACATCGATATTAATCTCAATGAACCGTACTTGTGTTGAAAGGAAGTGTACAAAAATGAAAAAGAGACAGAAAAAACCAAGGAGGACGCAACCCACTTTTACATCGATCTTCTACGGTCAAACACGTCCAATTTTGAGCGTTTGGTTGCGAATACACCACGCTGCAGCACAGCAAAAGCACAAAATATAAAAGAAAAATTAAAATGCTTTGGAAATCATTAAATTAGACACGGAACCACCTTAATATTTTCAAAACACAAGTCATTTTTTCCTTTAATACATATTTCTTTTTTCATCAATTTAAAAGAGACTAATCCGTGCAGAGCGTGCAAATATTCCAAAATCACGAGTTGAAAACCACTGACTCCGCGAGTTTGAATATTTGAGCCTAACACAGAGCAAAATGAACACCATAGCGCCTACAAACCTAACGGGATACTTCACGCGCTGCGCAATGCGTGAAGTATCCCTGTTAGGTTTGTAGGCGCCTATGCGCGTGTCACGCTAGTCGCCCGCCGCGCCGCGGAGTGCTACGGCGTTTCAAGCAACCATTTCGCGACATAGGTGTTGCACAGTATCATAGGCGCTCGAGTGCTGGAAATTACCATATATGATGAATTTTGCGAAATATAGACCTTTCATGAGCAAAAAATCGTGAAGTTGTGGAAATTTAGATAAGATTTGCCGAAAAACGGGTTATTCATACCTCTCCTTTGGATGGTTATTTCGTCTCATTATTAATGTAAGGGGTGTTCGTTAAACATTTTAACGATATAAAAGCAAAGAATCTGATTTTGAAATTTCTACGTTGTGTATTAATCAACAAAGTATAGGCCTTTTCGTTTTCCATGTCATTTCTGATCTCTTACAATGGCCCGTCTCTCCTTATGTGACACTTCTCAAGAGCCCAGGCCAGGGCCCCATGAGGTGGTTGTATCGCATGTCTGCCGCACTAATAATTGTCCTAGCATTTTAAAAATCAGAAGGCCAAAGTTACTCTTATGTTCTACCGTGCTAATAAAACACGATACACGAGCCTTTGAATTTTGCAATTTCCTTGGTACAATGTTATTTCTTGAGTAATGTTAGTAATATTTCCCGTCAAATTTTGCAGAAAAATTGTGGATGGAGTTTCAAGAAAAATTCATATGATAAAGGGCTACGTTTTCGAGAAAAAATTGTATAGCACTGTAAAAAAAATTGAATACTCCAAAAATGTTCATACGGCATCTTTCTTTGCACTGCTTTGGCATCTTTGCTCTGTCACGAGTCATTTAGTAATCACCGAGCTCATTGAGCTCGGCAAATCCAATGAACTTTGACGAGCGGAAGGGTAGCGAGGGGCACAGATTCACGGAGGGGGTTGATACCTGTTGCGTAACTTTTGTGTCTCGACATTGTTCTCCCCGGGCTGAGTTGCCAGTTTTTAGACTGAAAATCGAATTTTCACAGGGTAAACTTGTGTGAACTGGATCGATCTGACGCCTCAGCTGCCGCAATTACCGTAAATTAGCGCGAGTGCCTTGATTTTTTAACGAGTCACTTCTTGCTCCGTAACTTTACGGTAGAAGGTCGAATCGGTTACGGCGAGAGGTGGGAACAGCCTAATAAGAGACTAAAGGAGTCTTTGGTGATTATGAAAGCGACGAACAAAGGTTCCCTCTTAGCTGGAATTTTCTATCTTTCGAGTTCATTGGCACAAAAGGCACATTGGCACAAGAGCTTTAAATACAGCGAAATATGTTTACTGTAAAATGTAAGATGGTCTACGTATATTAAAAGGAAAATAAATATCTACCATTGTTCACAGATAAATGTAAGCTGAGAATTGCAATTATAAACGGGATTGGGAAATCATAGCACATTTACAGAAATTAAAACCGTGTTTATCGTCGTTGAGTTCACATGGCCAAATTGCAAAAAGCAGTTTTAAAAAAATGTAAGATACGAATGAAAAATGTCGAGTTACATTACATTTTGCTTCTTCCGTTTTTCAATTGATTTTAGAGGGAAACATTTTTTTTCTAGACAGGGCCGTTTTTTTCGTTATGAGTGGTAGAAATAAAGGCTCTGGTGTATAAGAGTGGCAAAGCCTTTTGATTAAAAAAAATCTACACTAAAGTCGACATTTTATTTTATTTTGAAATGCATCAGCTATTTGCTTACCGTTTCTGCAAACTTTTGATTAAAGTGTCCAATGTAGTTGGGAAAAACCGTGTAGTTGTAGGGTACTTTATGAATTTGACAAAAACGAACGATAAGTGGTAAACAGATTCCTGTGAACAGAAACATATGCTTATTATTTTACCATCCACGTTAAAACAGTTACATCGCTCAAACCAGTTATAGAACACCGTAATTAGAACTTGGGAACAACTGAGCCAAGTTCGAAAGTGACTGGACCAGCATCACTTTGGAATTGAGAAAAATGTCTCTGTTTTTCCATTAAAATATTATATAAATGAGAAATTATCGCCACGACTTTATCTTTGGTTTTTCTACCCAAACATTTTTATGCAACTTCGTATCGTCGTCAGGAAGAAAAATGACTCGTAAAACTCAGGAAAATACAACTAATCTTAACTAATTATTTTTTTAAATGCAGCTTGGCTCCTGTCTCCTGAGTTCATCCAAATGGTATCTAAGACACTATTAGTCTAAGACTTTTAGTCACCTTTAGTCCAAGACTAAACTACCAGACCACGTATCTCGTTTGCGGTGTTTAAAAATCTTTGCTGCCGTTTTATTTTTTTGAAGGAGAACAAATTAACATCATTTCTTGCAGTTTTCACTGAGTTTCCCTCGCACAGAGAAAATAAAATCACGGAAGTTTTCAAGAATTGACGTTGGGTTGTTTTGTAAAGTCGGTCTACTTTATATACCCTATTAACAATGTTTAGTATTAGTTTTACCATTTGTGTTTTTTTTTCTAGCTCCCTACTATTTTAGTCAGACACAGAGTATTTCACAAGTTTCACGATCTCAATTATTTATTTTTGTGACCCATACATACATATCAAGCCGCTACCTCAGCGCACTAGAGCGCTCTGCGACTCCAAATCGCCATCGGAATCGATCCTCCCACAAATCGTCGGGCAGATTACACCGTCTGATCGAGCCCTCCACTCCCTCTCGCTAACCTTTTACTGGACGTCCACGCTGCCTTCTTCCGGGAGGAACCCAATCAAATACCTTTCTGGGCAACCTACAATCTGCCATTGTCCACATGTCCATACCAAACCAGCTGCCTGGTTTTGATATCGTGCACAATATCTTCCTCAACTCCCATTATTTCACGCACTCGTTCATTACGAACGCGCTCTCTCCGCGAGATCCCTGCAGACCTTCGCCAAAAGTCCATTTCGGTTGCCCGTAAGATTTTTGTGACCCTCTTGTGTAATTTTTTGCCGTTATTCCAGCAGAAAAGACGAGCATTGAGTCAAAGTTCACAATAGTTGAGAGTCTGTCATTTAAAAGGTTGCAAAGAAAAAGAGAAGTAAAGTTAGGAGAGACAACTCCCCTTATCACACACCTGGTGCGGGGTTCAGATCTTCCTCGTAGACAGGCTGAAGAACGTACTGCGTTTTGGTGAAATTCTGAGTTATGGTTTTGTTCACGTACTTGATCTTGACAGGATATGCTGAAATTAAAATCACAGCCGTGAATGATTTCTCGCCTCAAAAAGAAGGAGGCTCTGTATGCCGTGCCGTGGGAACTGCCAGAGGAATTCGAATAAATTCTCTGTCACAAAGAATTCGTCACACAAGTCACAGCTGCCGTTCCATCAACCCATGGCACGACTCTGTGCTTATGTAGCAAATAAAACTCGACTTCAAATCCCATTTTCGGAATCCAAGATTTGTAATATTAATCTGAATTACGTGGCTCATAATTTTGCTTCTTTAGTAAGTGCCGTAATGGTAGAAAGTCTAATTATTTTGTCTATGGTTAAAATTATGTAATTTGACGTAAGACGTCGGGCCTGTTTTCTAGAAAATACATTTTTGTAAATCAACAAACATCACGAACACATTAAACTCACCTAACACATTAAACTTATCTTAACCATCAAACCCAACGCACTCATCAAACATATCAAAAATATCTAAATACAACCAAAAAACTCAACGTACCCAACAAACCCACTTAGCCCAACAAATTTAACCTACCCCGTATGTTCAACACAAAGTACACACGGGTACTGTATTATGTGAATTTGTACAAATTCGGAAACTTTTTATTCATTTGATTTGTCATTATAGTTCCTATATTTTAAACTTTAATGTTATTTTTTGGAGTATACCCTCGTATTTAAGTCATATTCAAGCCATTTTATCATTGCTAATGGACCACTAGACAAGGTACGAATTTCAGCATTCTGATGATTCTGATACATGTTTCTTAACCAAAATTTCACGTAATACACGATGCGCACAACAAAAATTACCGAAATCAACTCCTCACGAAGATGTTTAATGATTCTTGATGCGTGAATTCAAACCATCTGCTCATGAAAACTCAATGCTTTACGTGATTCACATCGCGCGCTAAACGTTATCACGACAGTCTCTGCGATTTAAAAATTTGGCAACCTCAATCTTGACGCTTGGGCCCAGCAAACTACTTATAGATTGAACAACGTATGGTGGAAAATGAACATTGCTCGATTGAGAAGCTTGCTGAAACCGTTGTGGTCTGCGATTTGACTCACGTAGAGCTTTGAGTTTCTTGTGAGCGGGCATTTCGAATTCCTCGTAACCAATGTGAAATAAAAACGTTAATATCTTCGTCAGGAATTGGTTTCAGTAATTTTCGTTGTGTGAATCGTGTTCTATGTGAAATTCTGGTCAAGAAACATGTATCAGATCGCTTAAATTCGTACCTTGTCTAAAGGTCCATTAATAAAGTTTAGAAAGCATTATTTGCAGACGCTAAAACTTAAAGCATGACCTTTTCCTAGTAAAAATAGGGTAGCCATCTGAAAGGAGAAGCACACTATCATTCGCCCTTCCATGAAATAAGATGAATTTTGATCAATGACACTAGCTCTTTATCGATGGATTTCGTCTGAAGGGTATCGATCTACTCCTCAAAGCGGAAAGCTTACTAAGTGGAGAAACGAGTGATTACACTCGAAAACTTTAAGTGTCCATATGTTTCTCTCAGACTTTTCAAGTCCTTCTCTTCTTATTACCAGAAGACACAATCCTATAGGTGACTTGACGGTGACGGCATACTCAGTAAAAATAAGTTGTGGTCTAGCTTTTCTTTCATCTCGATCTCTGCTATTTACGATACCTCAATTAACTTTACAGAGAAAAGAAATCAGTAAACTTTTAATGACGAGAAAGAGAGCATTCAGGGTTGAGTGTTGATAAAGGGAGGGTGGAAAGAGAAATTCGCGTTTCCGCTTTTCACTGAGAAAAAACTGTGGTTATAATTACCATATTAGTGGTGTTCAATATGCACTCTGAATTAATAGTAGCCATAACCAATAATAGTGATATTTTTACTGGAGCAATCGTGATTTTACAAGTGTGCGGTGGTAAAATTACCATTTAATGGTAAACATATCTCTATTTTTGGTTATGGCAACTACTAACTAAGAGTTCATATTGAGCACCACTTATATGGTAATTGTAACCATAATTTTTTCTCAGTGTACAGAGAGTCACATACAACTCGGACATTTCAACCCTATGGATCGGATTTAGAAACTTCCTCCAGAAAATTATCCACATCTCGCTCTAGTTTCAGTGGTTGCATAACGTAGCTTCGCAAAGCAACGCACTACAGTCAATATGACCCATGATAAGGTTGCAGTCAGAAGATTCTTAAAGCAACCGAAAAATTAGGTTTTCCATGTTTTGGAATTATAAAACATTGCCCTCCTACTTGGAATGATCCATATGACACGGATGCGAGTTCTAATTGGACGACAAGACTATAGTACAAACAGCACGGCTTCGCTGTAATGAACGTGCCAATGAAAATGAAATATGATGAAGAGCTTACTATTAAAATAGGCCGCTAGACCGGCTGCGATAGCCAGAAGTGCGATAGCGTTGAGAATAATTTGAGCACACTGAAAGCGTAGTCTTCCTCGGGATATGTAATGGGATGACGGACGACGGATATCACGAATAATCTGTAATAGCAACAAGAAATATAGTAATAAATAATCAAGAACCAAGTTATACAAATGTGATACAAATTACAGCAGAGCCCTCTTGCCGCTACGCAGCTTATTTCCTCCGAAACATCAATCGTCGGAGAGCTAACAGACCTGCAGCCAGATTGTTGAAACTTTAACTGGCTTTGTCGGCACGATAAGACAAGACATATGTGTGCATATGTGCATATGTGCATATGTGCATATGTGTATATGTGTGCATGTATAGTAAAATCCGTTACTGCCTTACAGTTTGGTTCGTGTAGACAACAAAATTAACTGTGTGGCAACGCGTGGAGTATCACGGGAAAATGAAGGCGTCCCGAACATAGATTGTGTTTCGCTCGCTTTTAGCTCGCAATGAAGCCCTCCCTACGCCGATACAAATCGTGGAAATTTTATCAGGGGTCGCTTCAAAAACCGATTGCGATTGCTGATTGTCTGCATGACATAAAGGGTGACGGTGAAACTGCCTTCAAACTCGACATCACTGTATCAAAACCGTAGAGAACAACGGATCCACTCAAATAAGCAAGACAACTTTTTCGCTAATTAAATCAACCATAAATAATCGATTCTGGGAGAGACAGGCTGCCTTTATAACTATCGATTGTTTCACTTGCATTTACACGGACATGGTCCAGTGTTGCCACTTAACGACGATTTTTGCGTGAAACGCGCGTTAAAATCCGTGTGAAAATTACCGTTATTGTTACATAACGCCCCGGCTTTCTGAAGCTTAAGAGGAAGTGAGTTGCGCGTCGGGTGAACCTTGAACGGGTCTGTTATAAACCAACGTTGGGGCGAAAAGGAAATCTATTTTCGAAAACTAGCTTGAAAATCACACTGAGCGCACCGGGGAAAGTCTATAGTTTACTCATGACTTTATAATCTCGTAGAAAATTTCCACAGATAATTTGAGCTTTTCACATCCAAAATCGTACTACGACAGTCCATGTGTAGCTAAAAATGCCCCCCCCCCCCGTGTGGTGCTGCAGATTCTGGAGAAACCGCAAACGAAAAAAAATCGTCCCCCCTTATTAAACTCAATTTCAAAAACAGAAAATTGAAGACACAGGTTGAATGACATTCGTTATGCTCTTTGTTTTCGATTGAAACACTACGAGACACGATGGTTATTATTTTGAATCGGAGTACATTTTGAAATCAGGAACTGCAATTTCTGGCTCAGTTAGGAAAAACGTAAGCACCATTAGTCCGCCAATGCACATACGTGTGTTCATGGTTGAGCCAGAAATTTTAGTTTCCGATTGCAAAATGTAGTTCAATTGTGCTTAAAATTTTGAAACTGGGTTGACTCATCTCTGTAACATTATGTAGCCATATGCGACTGCACTACGAGGTTAGGACTGGATTTTGGACTTTGCCGATATGCTCCATCATGATTTTGGAGTTACTTTTCATAAGATACAACTCCTCTTTGCGCTTCAGCGAAAGATTGTGCTGGACTGATTTTCTCTTCAATTTGGCTCCGGGCAACTGATGCATCAGGTGGTGAGAGAAAATTGGGACTCATGTCAATTAGAACCGTGTCAATTCGATGAATGCGCTTGGGAACGAACCCACCGCAAAATGACATTGATCATAGAATCTGAACTGAACAGTGACGGGAGGTAGAGCCCCCCTAAATTTTGGCATGAGCCCTAAATTTCCCAAAATCGCACCAGTGCTGGGGCTCAGTCCACAACGAGGATCCTCTCAACGCTATTCAATTAGTTCCCAATCCGTCGGCATTCGTTTAGCTCTCACTCGAACATTTTACGGACGTGAAACGCAGAAAGCCAACCAATTTGCATCACCTAAATTTGATTACTTGTGGATGAGGGCTTGTTTTGAAGGAAAATTAAGTATTCTGAAGAGAAATTTAATAAAAGTCTCGTGGAACAATTGAAGTTCGGATCATTTCTTTCTTCTGCTCATATTTGGAACATTTTCTATTAAAGGAATGAATTGGATTTTTGGAATAGAGTTTGGAGGCTTGCCTATGCAAATTGTGTTTCAAAAAGTTGACAGATTCAGTTCACAGATTCAGTCATTTACACCTTACCCCGAATCTTCCATGTTTTATGGAAGTAGACCTGGCAACGCCTCATGCCTCGTATGGCATTCATCTTCAACACGGACTGTTGCAGAAGTAAGCCCCCCCCCCACATACTCCTTACATTCTCCCCTCCATACCCTCCTATATACCCCTACATACCCCCCTACATACCCCCTTTCATACCCTCCTACATACCCTCCTACGTAACCCCCTACATACCCCCCCTACATACCCCCCGACATAACCTCCCTCTCTAAATCCCCCTACATACCCCCCTACATACCCTCCGACATAACCTCCCTCTCTAAATCCCCCTACATACTCCCCCTCTCTTTCTATAAGACAAAGGAAATCTGATGTACATTTTTATTACCTTATGGTGAAGAGACATATTTGAGCCGTTGCTTAGTTTGACGGCCGTCTGGAGGCTGGCGGGAGTGGACATGCTCTTGGTGAGCGGGGAAGTGCTGCCCTCTTTGATCCGGGTCTTGTTGCACTCGCTCGTGTTGAGGCACTCGAGGGTGGCCTTCTTCTTGTCCTTGCCGACCTTGGGGACGACGACTTTGCTCCCCTGTTTGGACTTGGAACGCGGGAGGAGCGGGGTCTCCATGGACTTGATGTTGTAGCTCGGCGAGGACGTTTGACTGTAGCCGTCGCTGGAGACGTTGGAGTCTTGCCGGATGGTGTTCTTGTCTATGTGCTCGTCAGAGAGCGTTGCTGGCGCCTCGCCGTCCGAGAACTCGGTGAGCAGCGTCGCCCGGGTCTCGATCGGCGGCGGGATCTTCAGGCTCCGTCGTCGGTTGCCGAAGACGGCCGCCTCCGCGGGGAGGTTGCCCTCGGAGAACTTGCGCTGGTATTCGGGCGGTGGTGGCGTGTCCGGCCGCTGCGGGGGCCGACCCGGCCCGGGAGCCTGTACCTACACATAAAAACAACGTATCATTCCACACTGGGGAAAAAAAACACTTTGGACCTAGAGCCCAGACTCTTAAAAACATCGCCAAGAAAAAATACTCTTGATTCAATCGGATTTTTGCTTAGATCAAGAAACAAGCCTCTTAATTAGAGCGGATTTCCTTTTGATTTAAGCTTAAATCTGATTAAATCAAGAGTATGTTTTTTTTGTCAATGGTTTCAAGAGTCTGGACTCTAGATACAATGTTTTTTTCCAGTGCATGCGCATCTTCAACACTTTTCAGAACGATTCCAATTGGCCATTCGACCACTAGATGAGATAGAAAATTAAGGGATACAGGACGAGCTTTCTCATCCAAACACGCAGAACATAGGAAACTTCTTCCATCGTAAAATTTGCCTAAATTACTTCAATGCTCAATTCAATCGGAGTTGACTATGGTGTCTACGTGAGTGGGAAGTCATGATAAACCTAGACAAAAACCATTAGTTTCTCACTCTTGGGTTAATTTTGGAACATGCTTCTATCGTATTCTACTTGAAACGTTGATAAAGAAACATACATCGTTCAAACGTTCTCTATTTTTTTTGCGGGCTTTTTAAATTAATATAAGTTGAAAGATAAGACCTTAAATCTCCCCCTTTTTCTTCGGCCTATCCTGATATCACCCGGTACGTTGGAAAAAAGAACACATTGGATCTGGAGTCCAGACTCTCGAAAACATCGACAAGAAAAAATACTCTTGATTCAATCAGATTTAAGCTTACATTAAGAGCCTCTTAATTTGAGCAGATTTCCTTTTGATTTAAGCTTAATCTGATTGAATCAAGAGTCCTTTTTCTTGTCTTCAGAATCTGGACTCTAGGTCCAATGTGCTTTTTTATCCGGTGTACCTTCATGTTGAGATCATCCATCTTTGAAACACCGTTCATCAGGATCTAATATCTCAAATTGGGTTTTTCTGCGCCAAAGTCCCGTGGAAAATTAGAAATTGGGTTCGTTTCAAATGGATTGTCTTACCTTGAGTTCCCCGGCGTGGGAGTAAGAGTAGCGGCGCGGCGACTGCGGACACTCTGAGTTACAAGGGATGAAGGAGACCTGGTTCCGGTTGAGGAGCTCGTAGTTCTTGAACTGCATCGAGCTGAAGACCGAGGGACCGGCGTCAGTAGGCGTTGGAGGGAAGAAGGCCTGGGCCGGCGGCGGCGCTGCCGTGGGCTTGGGCGCCTCCTTCTGGGAGGCCCCGAGCGGGGTCGGGCGGGGGACCTGGCCCCGGGCGCGCGGCTGGATCGGCGGCGCCGACTTCCGCGGAGGCGGCGGGATTTTGTGCTCGATCAGGGCCGGCCGGGGGAGCTGCGGGGGCACCGACCCCGGCTTCTTCCGCTCCGGCACCTCTGGCGGCGTCCGCTGGGGCAGTCTCTCCATTCCGGGGCTGCTCGCAGTCTGTCAAAGCAGAGACAGGGTGGCATGAAACGCAAGAAAGAGATGAAAGATTGGAAATTTCCAGTGGCGTGGCGTGAATGATCGATTATCGATATTTCCCCATTTGAAGCTATGGTAAAGAATCGATTATTAAGGTGTTCGCTGTGAACACCCTGATAATCGATCTTTTTCATAGGTTTAAATGACAGATCAATCGATAAATCAAAGCACGCCACGCCACTGGAAATTTCAGTGAAATATTTCATGGAATTTCACGACGCTGTGAAATATTTCATATTTTTTAGGGGCTAGAATATACAACCCGCACTCAAACACACGAAAATCGAAGAAAATCACAATTTTTACATTTTACGAAACACATGAAAAGGAACCGGTATTTTTCAATATCTTTCATGAATTTTTGAAATCTCATGAAATAGTGCACGTGAAATTTCAAGATTTTATTTTTCATGAAATTTTGCCACTCTGAACAGTGAACAGAGAACAACAACAAACGTCCCCGAATAAGCATGGCTCGAATATGGATCAAAGGTATATTATAATGAGTTGACACTTTATCTGGTGAATACATCGAAGGCTAACAGTACTGCCGTGCTAAGGAAGAACGCCGTATGAACATTCGAAAGTTGCCGAATTTCCTTCAGTAAAATGTTTACTTTTGAGGAAAGTTATGAATATTTTTCCTTGAAATCAGGAACTTTAAGTGAAATTGTGAACAATATTATCTGGAAGAAAAATGTTCACAAGTTTATCAGGAAACTTGTGTTTTATCAATCGAAATTTGGCAACGCCTAGAGGTTCACACGGCGTCTTTCTTTAGCACGGCAGAATACCACTGCGGGTTGAAAATTGAATTTGATAGCAAAGTGATAGGTAAAGCGATAGACAAAGCGATAGACAAAGAATACATGGAGTGAATGGAGCTATCCTATTGGTTGACGTGGGTGGTTCCTATAGACTAAACGAGACAATGATGGACTAGCTATGCATGCTCTCGTAGCAGGTTGCCGTTATAGTTTATTATCTACCTGCCTTGTCCATTGCAACCACCCGCTTCCACCAATAGGATCCCTTGATACCCCTTTTGTCTATAAGTTTGTCTATCAATTTCAATAATCGTTCCGAGGAACTGATAATTTTTGGCGATAATTAGTTGGTGATTTTGCCGCCTTAGTCTACACAGTGAAAAGTAACCCTGGTAAAAATTGGTGATAGGAGCTGCGTTTCAAAATACCAAAGGAGTTCTTTTAGCCGACTAAAGAAGGCTATTGAAAATCATATAGCTAGCTGTAGAAAGCGGAGGAAATCATATATCCGGGGTATACGAAGCTATAAAAAAGTATACAGTCGGGCTGTAGTTCCTATCGCCGGGCTTTACACTTTATCGCCATTGGCTATAAAAGGCTATAAGAAATTGTGTAGAAATTCGTGTGCTTTGGTAATTATTAAGAACTATCTTTATATTTACAAAACACACATTATATTTTCCTTTAAAACATTTTTTTTTTCATCAATTAAAGTGAGAATAGTCCATACAGAGTGTGCAAACATTTCAAAATCATGAGTTGAAAAACGCTGACCCGCGAGATTGAATATTAGAGCCTAACACAAAGCGGAGCGGCGACGCACTGGCGCCTGCAAACCCAACAGGGATACTTCACGCATTGCGCAATGCGTGAAGTATCCCTGTTAGGTTTGTAGGCGCTAATGCGCGTTACGCACTCTCTGCCCGCCCGCCGCGCCGCAGCGTGCCACGGCGTCTGAAGCAACTATTTCACACCAGAGGTATTGCACAGTACCGTAAGAAATTGAAGGCTCTCCAACATATTAAGAATGACAGGCATCCTTCAAAAGTACGGAGCTTTCCTCGCAAAATAAATCAAGATACTACGGCACAAAAAGAGAGCGGTAGTCCAAAAACTAACTAAGTCCTAGTATCCGTATTTAGTGACGTTTAGCATAAACTTTATCGTCTGGCTGTTGCTTAGTCGCCATCGGCTATAAAAGGCTATAAGAAATTGTACAGCCGGCTACAGAAGCTATTGGAAATCTTACAGCCGGCTACAGAGGCTATTGGAAATCTCACAGCCGGCTTTAGGTCTTTAGTATTTTGGAACACACATTCTACTGCCAATTTTTACCAGGGAAGCAAATTGACTTTTTTTTAATTTTTTCCATTTTCGGACTCGAGCACTTTAATGACGCTGTGATGTATGGAGAAAATGCAAACCTAACCTCATAATTACAAAAATGGCAAAGTTTTTTCTTTGTCCGTAGATAAACGGTATTGTTTGTTGGCCATCGATATATACTTGAGTATAAATGAGAAAAAACAAGAAGTGGCCCGAACTGTACGTAACAAGGTGGAGAAATGGTGGTGAGTTCACAACATTCCGCTGGGAAAACAACGCCCAGAAGTTCCAAAAATTATAATTAGAGTCAAAAAAAATTTTTTTAAAGAAAATAAACAAAAAATCTATTTTGAGGATGGATAATGCTGCGGGTGAGTCATCCAGTCAACTAAGAGACCTCAAAATTATAAAGCAGTTGTTGGAGCAATTGAGTAGCATGTTGAGCATAAATATAAAGGGAGCGTCATGAATATTGTATTTTCAAAAAAGCTTCATTCGTTTCCGTGCGCATGTTATTACAAAAAAGGATAGAAATTTGACAACAGCTCACATGATATTAAACGCAATTACTACATCTGAGTCAATAATTAATCTTTGGATTGACGCAAGAGGGACGAACAAACTATCTCTCCGGTGATTGATGTACAACCCAATGACGAAACAGCCTAACAGATGAAATGGACGTATTTATGCAAAAAGGAGCTATGCGCTAAGGGTTTGCATGTAAAATTGTTCTCTTTAGCACTAATATACGTTTAAATGAAATGCGCTGCTCCACCGAGTTTGGAATTTACATTCACTGGAAGCCGTGTCTATTTAGGAGCATAGAAGAGTCTCCTTTCTTATTTGCGTCCGTATTCATCGTCTTTAAACATTTTATATGGTTGAACTTTGACACAACAATATTTTTGTGAAAAAATGAGGAGACCCTTCGATTGATATTTTCCGCAACTCTGCTTATTTCAGAGTTTGAAAAACAAATTATTCAAATAGGATATAAATGTAAATGATTCTCCGCCTACGGTTTTCATCGATATTAATTTACAGGGCACATTTTATTCGATTATTTTCACAGTATTTATCATAACAAAAGATCTCCGGGGTATGTGTCCCCTCCTTGGTGTTTTGAGGGTTAGTGCTGTGCACATAGGTTTAAAAACCGATGGGATCACTTTCCATTCACACAGTTGCCCAATTTCAAACGAATCCGATCGCCCCTTCCTGCCCCTAAGCAGTAATCGCCTAAATATAATGGAGACCTTATGTATATATATGAGAGTTTTACTCAGCAAAACGAACTTCAGGGTTTATTGAGCGCATTTTCGGCACAGCGCGACAACAGTGCTCCGCATCGGTCTAAGCTTCCTTTTAGTGGTCCGTTTGTTTTCCGAAGAGCTTACTGATCGATTAGTGTTGAACAAGTCGAGCTTTCAGCAATGCCGAACCGAGGGAGAATGGTCAAAATTTTCCACGACGTGTCAAAGCCAATTTTATTCACAGAAATTGATAACAGCAAGCCCTGGCTATGCTGCCTTTTTGCCAGTGAAATTATTATCCGTCAAGAGCTCCAACGACATGGACTTTGTTGACAGTGCAAAAAAAACCGTCTAAATTTATGAGTTACAAAGATTATTCCGAAGAAGGACTACCGAGCCAAGGAAGAGCATACATCGCGAATGAAAATTAGGCTTCCAGAGAAAATCGACTTAAACTTTGGCGCAGTGTTGCATAACGTCTCATGGACTGGTCTCATGTTTACATTTCAATTTTTGTTATAATTATGCTGTGACTTAGTTTTTCCAAACGTGCAGAGAAATAATTAAATTTTAAACGACATGGGTGAGAGGGTATTTCCTTTCTACATACTGTATCCTTCCCTCTTAAAACAGCATAGATGGCAACATGCAACTCAGAGTTAAGTTACCTTTTCCTGTGGAAAGAGGAGGAAGGGCAGTGCGATTGTAAGTTCTCTAACATCTAATGTAGCTCTAAACAAATGAATCTATGTAGCTCTAATCTGCTATGCTCTAAACATGTTTATTTTTACAAAATCTGTTTACTTTTTGACAATTTCTGAATTGTCCCCTTTTGTACGTACGTAAATGATAGTTGAACTTCATTTTGCAAGTGGGATATACAATCTCTAGCTCCGTTTAGAACTAAGGTATGTGCCATTAGTTCCCCATAAGCATATACGTGCTTTTACAGATTAGCCAGATACTGTAATTCCTTATTGCAAAATGTAGTTCAATTATTATTTCGAAGAAACGGTATGTGTCTTTCCAGCATACAACCATACAAATAACAATAGAATGTTCAACTTTTAAAATAACCCCTTGAAGATCTCACGTTGCGGATTACGATAAAACACACTCTCGAGTCATCGATTCGCGGTAAAATCTACCTTTTGTGTAGAAATATGGCACCGGCCTTCACGGTTAGAAGTTCAGGGTCAACAAATTCTGCATAATGAGCGCGGGACCTGTACCGTTGGTGGCCGAAAAAAAAAGGAGAAAATTCGCAGCCCCCGATGGAACTCCCGGGGAAGAATCAATTTGACCCGACCGTACCCCACCCCCCTCCCCTGCACCTCACCTAACGGGAAAGCGAGAGGACGCAGAAAGGGGTAGCGGCTGGTGGAGCGGATGCAAAATTCAATTTTCAGGTCACAGCTTATTTATGTCCCCGTGCTTCTTTTCAGATACGAGCGCGGAAATCGGGTAAGGTTGTCACACTAAGCGCAAAACAGGACCTATATGAGCAAAGGGTTCCCAGCTCTCGGCTGCAAAATTTTCAGTAGAGTACTTTACAGTCCGGCTGGGTCGAAAATTGGAATTTCGATTTTCGGTAGTAGAGCTCTCGACTGTC